CTGCTGACACTCAGCAGTCCAAATCCACTCGGCGTCCTTCTTCGAGAGCTGTGACAGCGGGTGTATCATGCCCGCGTAGTCCTTCACGTATACGTGGCCAAGCCAAGGAACTGCCGCAGTTCCTTGACGTTTGGCGGCGTCGGCCACTCATTGATCACTCTGACCTCTCAGGGTCAGGGCGGACGCCCTTCTTCTCAACGAGACACCCAAGCACGGGTATCTCGCTCGCCCCGAAGATACACTTCTTCCGGTTTGCGTAGAGCTTGTGCTTGCGCATGAGCGCAAGCAGCTATCGGAGATGCACCTTGTGCATCTCAACATCACTCATCCCGTCCGCAGCTCGGCTGTGGACGAACACATCGTCGAAGTAGCTCGGTGCGAAGTCGCGCACCGAGCGCAACAAGTGCGTCACGCACCTGTTGAAGGTCGAAGGGGCGCTCTTCAGACCCTGCGGCATCACTAGCCACTCCCAGAGCATGCCGCTCGGCGTGCTCACAGCCGTGAGAGGGATATTGCTCTCACGCATGAGGATCTGATAGAACCCATCGCGCAGATCAAGAGCACTGTAGATAGTGCTCCTGGCCATCGAATCGATGATTACATCTTTTCGCGGTATCGGTGTCTGCGCCGGTATCGTCGCATCGTTCAGCTTGTTATACGCATGAACGATGCGCCATCCGCCATGTGGCTTCTTGACACAGAACTTCGGGGCACTGTGCGGGGACTTCTATCCCCACACCTGTCCAGCTTTGCGACGACTTGCAAAGAAGTCGTCGATCGCCTTGACCTGTTCTCGCGGCAGTGGCCACTGCCGCGTGACACAGTACTTCGTGTCCGGCACGAGATCAATCTCGTGCTGGATACCCTTGTCCTACGGAAGCTCCTCAGGGATCTCTTCCGGAAGCACGTCCGCGTCCTTCCGTAGAATCCCGTAGAAGGGACTCGTCTTCAGCGAGTCCCAGCTCTGCTCCTCAGAGCGCTCCTTCTTAGTCTTTGCACTGAGATTGACCTCAGTCTCAGTGGTGGTCTCCATGAAGAACTGCCTCAGTTCTTCATTCTCGCTCTTCGTTCTCTCGGCGTCCGAGAGAATGCATATTTGCTCGATGCGTCCATCGTGCAAGTCACGCGCGAAGCGCTTCCAGCTCATGACTGGAAGCGAAATCAACTCCGACGCTTGCGTCGGAGGATTAGCGAGAGGCATCTCCCTGTACCTGAATCCGGCACAGGTACGCGTCAAGACGTTCAACGTCTCGACGTCCGGCTTCTCAGCCTCCGTCTACCCGGCAGAGATTTCTTGTAGCGTCTCGGCCCCGTGCCGAGACTTGCGCAGTGACCTTCGCATGCGCCGTCTTCTTGTTTTGCGGAGCCTGGCTCCGCTTGGTTCTTGACCTCGTCCAGGCCCAACCGTGGACGGGTGTTCTTCTATTATACCGCCGGCGGGTACATCCCGCGGGCGAACGACTTCAAGCCCAGCTTGGTCGCACGGCGCTTAGTCGTGCAGCCCCGCTGCACGACAGCATGCAAGTTTTTCCGGTGCGAGACGTTTGCAACCGTCCGCACCACCTGCAGCGTCGGCTCCCGGAGCCGCCACGCCATCCTCACCTCGACGCATGTTATTGGCGAAGCCCTTTATTTGAAGGGGTGCGTCGACTCCCGGAGTCGACGCGAAATTCTTTTTCGCAGCGACGGTTCCCGGAACCGTCGCGACTTTAATACCTCGACGCCAACCATTGGCGGAGACCCCCATTACGGAGGGTGCGTCGGCTCCCCGAGACGACAATCAAATCACCCAATCCATCGACTCCCGGAGTCGACGGCGTTACGTCACCTTGGCTCTTATTATTGGCAAAAACTGATCCAATCAGTTTTGCGTCAGCCTCCACGGCTGAGGCGTGTGACTCGCCTGCGTCATCCGCGCCCTTCGAGGCCGGAGACTCTTCCTTATTCCCTGAAAAGCTGGTGTCGACCTCCGAGGTCAACACATTTTCTTCATTAGCTGTCGGCGGTTACGCCGACGCTAGCTGCTCTTGCGCACGTGCTCGCGCGCGCCCAGGGCACTCCGGGACAGCGTCATTAGGCGCTGTCTCGAGTGGGGAGTCGCGCGCACCTGTCGGTGCGTGCGTAGCGGCAACAGGGCCATCGCTCACTATTCCGCTGTCGCGACCGAAGCGCACGAGAGTGCGCTTCTCCCAATCGATGACCGGATCATGCCGTGCAAGCCACGGCATGCCCAATACAATGTCAAACTTATCGTCCAGATCCAGGACGATAAAGGTCTCGACAAACTCTTGATCTTCATACGTGAAGCGCACGCGTACCATGCGCTTCTCGGTCTTCACGACGGCACCCGTTGCCAGTCGTACTTCCAACATACTTCGAGGTATCTTTAAATCCTCGAAGTCAAGCCTTGATAGACTTCGCAGTCGAACAAAGTTCTTCGACGAGCCAGAATCTACCAAAGCACGGAGAGAGCTGCTTGCTCTCATCGAGTTCACGTTCAGGATGACAAGGTCAGGCTTGTCATCTTGGTTCTTGCAGTGAGAATGAACCTCACTGGGGGCTGCAGTCCTCAATGTCGCGTGTCCAAGGTCGACACGCGGAACGCATTACCAGTAGGGCGCCCCGCGCCTACTGGTGTCCAGCGTTTTTGTTTGGTTGCGACGGTGCCCGGCACCGCCGCGATAGCCACCCTGCTGGTGCACGGGGGCCGTGCACTCCCGAGCAAAGTGACCGACTCTACCGCAACGGTAGCATCGCACATTGTTTCCCTGCGAGTGCTGGGGTCCAGCAGTTGCAGCACTCGAGAGGTCCATGGGTTCTGGGCCTCCCGTCCTCACTACCGGGCGTGGCTGTGGCCTCGTCACATGTGCATGTAGTTTAGCCTGCCGCAGGCTAAACTCCTCCTGCATTGCAAGAGTAATTGCAGCTTCGAGAGTACTCGGGTACTCACGGAAGAGGTAGGTCTTCACAGGCCCATCTCTCAGTCCCTGCATGAACGTGACGACCTTGGTCGCCTCGTCGATCGGATTGGTCACGATGTTCGAGACCAAGTACCGCGCTCTCTGAGCGTAAGCATGGACATCATGCTTGCCCTGCTGCAGGTCGAGGAACTCCGCCCTCGACCGGAACTCGTTTTGCGGTGGCTCAAACGCTTGTCTGAGCTCTTCCTTGAAACCCTCGTACGTGCTAAAGCACGTAGGATCCGAGAGTCGGCGTCCATACGCCCAACTTCTTGCACGTCCGCCAAGACATGACATGGCGAACGCAACCTTCGACATCGGTTCGACGATACGTCGAGCCGCAATGGCAGTGTCGAGTTCGACAAACCAACGGAGGAGAGGTTCACCCTCTCTTCCGACATAGTTGCTCACATTGAGCATCAGCGATTGCGCGCGTGGTGTCGTCCCGGATGACACCGCGGTAGTAGCAGCAACATTGCGTTGCTCCTTCAGGGTGAAACCCAGAGCAACACCGTGTTGCTCTGTCGGCGTTAGCGTACGCAGCATCGTAGCTACAATCGCCTCACCAATGACTGTTGACAGTCGTTGGAGGGCCTCCCACTCTGGACCCGACAGGTGGGGACAGTCAGCGCGTGCAACGTGAGTTGCATGCGTAGTGGAGCTTTCCATGGGCACCTCTGTATCCATGGGAAGGTTCTCAGCTCCGCGTTCGTGCGGTGACGTACGAACTCAGGTAGTCGGTCGTTGGACGGACTACAAAGTGCTACCAGGTGTAGTGGGCCTACTTTGGCTCACTACTTTAGCTTACACGTGTGCGCGTGTATGTGAGGAAGCGTAGCTTAGTTTAAATCAGAGTTAATTATACTCGGGCCTCCGAGTATAGATTAATCTAAATAAACGATCCAAATAATGTTTTTGGGGAAAATGAGAACTGCTATTTTTGTTTTATGTTTCTGACTTCCTCTAAATGTAATAATCTAAACTAGGAATCTGCCAACGGCTGGTTGGCAGAATTCCAATGCTATGCATGTCTCTCATTGGTTAAAAGATGCCGCTCTCAACCAATAGGAATCCTAAATGTGTATGGACCACCCGTCGTGGTGGTCGTAAATGTATGTAGCCTTCGGTATGTCTACACCAAGGTCGAGAAAGTCTTTCGAACCTCTCAAACGTCGTGTCTGTTAGAGTTACAAGTGACTGTAGCCACTTGTGCGTGTAACCCTGTTACACCTTTGGTATCGGGCTGGCGTCTTCCCGCCATCATTTCTGGAGGCCGACATTTTTTGTCTAAAGAAGAAGGGGGATCAATCAAATCCACTAAGCTACCGACGGTTGGCTTTATTGAACTCGGACTACAAAATTTTCACTCGGATCCTGGCTACACGGGTGAGCAAGACGCTGCCAGATCGCGTTCACCATCACCAAAAGGGTTTTGTGCCTGGCCGCCAAATACATGATACAATTGACCTGTTCGAAGCCGCACAGCACATGACGAACTTGGATGAAGAGCAGCGAGAAGCTCTAGCAATCTTACTCGATTTCCACAAGGCTTACGATTCATTGGGTCGACGATACCTAATTCGAGCACTGGAAGCGCACGGGTACCCCGCCCAATTTGTCCGCGCTATTGCGAGCGTTCACGCCGGCACGCGAGTGCGCAATGGCCGCAGATCGAGATGGGTTCCAGTCACGACAGGAATACGTCAGGGCTGTCCTCAAGCGCCTTTACTATTCATTGTGGCGCTGGACCCGTACTACAGAGCAATTGAGTCTGCCAAAGGGCTTCGAGGCATCCGGCTCCGGACGGCAGAGCGGGAAATCGAGTTACGAGTCGGTGGGTACGCGGATGGTACTGCGGCCTATCTGGCATCTCCGGCAGAAATCCCCCAGTTACTCGCTATTACGCAAAAGTTCAGCACCGCCAGTGGGCTTAGTGTGAACGCAGCGTAGACGGTTGTTATCGCGCTACATTCTGCAGGACCGCCTCCAGCAATTAGACTACCAGGGGATCTCAAGTTCCAAGCGGTCACTAATTTCACGAGATATCTAGGTGCACACGTCGGTAGCAGGGTTTCGACCGACTTCACTTGGCACACAACGGTGACTCAACTGAAGACGCGACTGAGGCTTGCTTCTATCAAGTTACTGACCGAGGATCAATGTGCTATTGTCGCTGCCGCTGTCGTTATCCCGAAAATCACCTCCATTGCACGACACGCTTGGCCGACCACGAGACAAGTGCAGGAATTACAGCGACGCATTCATAATTTTGTGTGGTTCGGTTTATTTGAAGAAAAGGGGTCTTTTGGACGAACATGGATTGCCGCGGACATTGCTAGCCTCCCTCGTTGCCACGGTGGACTCGCTATCCCACAAGCCAAGCTCGAACAGCTTGCTCTGGCGGCGACCGAAGTGGTTCGCTGGGCGCTCTCCAGTGACGAGTCGATGTTTGTTGTTGGAACGATCCTCCGACTACTGGGTCGCTTGGATGCCGACGCTACTTACATTTCACTCAGCAATGCGGCCCGGACCCCTTTAACTGGGTTCTTCCCCACTTCATTCTGGGATGCCGGCAAGGCAATGTTGGTAGAACTGGACTCGAGCAGCACCCCCCATCACCTTCAGCGTCGGTCGCCCCGTTGGCCAACTTGATCAGGGCACTCCTCCCTTCCTCTGACGAATGGCGTGACGGATCGTGCCCAATTGACGTTCGGGAATTGAAAGGGCCAGCGACTGGGCCGCTCCATCAATGGATTCGAAACCAGAACGGCATTTTTAGCGCTGAATGGCTACCGTGGATGGAGATTCGAAGCCTTGTGTTATTTGACGGTTCTGGAGCGCTGACAGAACCTTCGATTTGTCACTCCAGCATAGCGGATCGTGGAACTCGTGTTGGAGATATTGTTCGGTGGTATCACGTCGAGGAAACGCTCATGGCATTCCAAATAGCAAAGACTGGGTTTGATGTCTCCAGTCCTTCGCAAGCTTACAGAATGCACGTTGCGCAGTTAATTGAACTCCTCCTTCTCAACATGCGTGAGCTGACTTATGGATCGATGAATCGTAACGAGGTGCGACTACTGACGAAACATACCGATCACCCTTATGCACTTGAAGTGCTGCTTCCGGATTCAACTATGGCCAAACTGACCATTATCGGTAGCCCTGAGACACGCTACTTCCCAGTCTCTGGGGTCACAAAGCTCAGCAGCTCCTGGGTGCAATTCAAGAATCGCTAGGATCCGCAACAGAGGTCACTGGGTTTCATCTCCACCCTCAATTAGACCTCCTCGCCTGTTTATGGGCGGGGAAGCGGCGATGAAGCTGCACACGGAAATCAATCAAGCTACGAGCGATTGATCGCAGCACCAAAGACGTCACGGCTGCTTTGGAACAGCGGATGAGCGCCTGGAAAGATGAGGACCCGGTGATCCGTGCAGCTCTAAAGTCGATTTCTTGAAAGCAACTTCGACGTTGGCCAGGTTGAATGTATGGGGAGAGCGGCTCGTGTATCGTCTCAAAACTCACAGTGTTAAATGATACGATCGACTACAGCGGAGACTTGGGTGCCCGCATGACTCGTGCGTTGGGCATCCGTATACTACCCTCACACACATTTTTTGGCAATGCACTTCTGCGGCGACGTTATGGGCGGTTTTCATAGCGCGATGGACTCAGCTCGAATTAGAGGCAACCTTACGCAACCAAGCAAGCTGTTTCACGTTCCAACTTGCTACTCTCCCTGGAGGGTTTATTAACCGTTCGAAGGAGGAATTCTTTTGGTTATCTTCCGAGTTCAAGGAGGCTACTAATCTGCAACTAGATGGAGCGGCAGCGGACTGCTGGAGGCTTGGAGTTGTTACAGTCCTCAAAGTAATTTGGAAATGGAGGAATGATCACCATGCTGCTGTTACCTCGCTGGCGACCTCGAAATACAAGGCCATTCTCAGGGCTCGGCTCCAGGACTCGTATTGCACTGTTGAAAACACATATCGCGCAGCTGGTCGATCGCGGGCTCACATACGGGCAATACATGCTGTCATTGGAGCACTCAATGGACATTGGAAACCTACTTTGTTCCAAATAGAGGGTGGGTCGGCACAGTTTGTGTTATTTTTTTACGGTGGATCTCGTGGGAATCCAGGACCAGGGGGCAGTGGAGCAGTCATCCTGAAGATCGACAGCGATTCTAACACGGGCAAAGCTATATGGGCGACTAGCATGTCGTACGCGGCACCTACTACTACAAATAACCAAGCGGAGTACAGGGGGCTACTACAAGGACTCCTTCATGATCAGCGAACTACAACATTGAGACCACTACACGTCGTGGGAGACAGTCAGCTACAGTCAGCTCATTTTACGACATCAGCTACACCGGACGGCATCAAAAGCTGTCCATTTGCGCACTTTGTATCAAAGATGCAGAGTGATTGTCGACAAATGTGGTGTTCGATCATGGTCTCATCACCTACGAGCCTTCAACAAAACGGCTGATGCTTTAGCCAATCTGGCAATGGACACAACCTGCAGCAGGCAGCTCGCCTTTGACATCGGGGCGGAACCGAATGGAGTCTGGACAGCTGCTTTGGACTTCTTTCCAGGAGACCTACAACATTAGACGGCAGGAGCTGCAAATGCTGACTTCACACAAACTTCAGCGGCATCGTCCACCCTATAACGGACTGTACCCTAGAAGGGTGCTCGCATGCAGACGACGTAAATAAGCGGAGGGAGGAACTTTGTATTAGAAGTCGTTAGTTTCTAAGTGACTACAATACAAAAAAAACCTCGGCGATGTTGTAGAAGTTGCTTCCCTCGAACAGACCGACCGAGTTGGTTTGTATGAAAATGTCCACCAGGAAATATAGCGACAGGGTAAGGCCGACCATGGCACCCTCCGAGCCTTCCTGGATGATCTCCGTCAGCGGAACCACGCTACTGAGCCAGCCGATAGCGGCTGAAGCGCTGCTGAACAATGTCATGATCCGATAGAACACGGGGTCACGGAGGATATCTTTGCTCACGAGAATCGCCACAATCAACTGGGAGACGATAAGCAGCCCTGGGCAACCAGCGTAGAAGCCGCGCCACGCGCAGTTCATGAAGTAGTAGCGCCACACCAGCACGGTAACGATCACCATCCCGTAGTGCATCGCTTGCTGCATGAACACATTGTCGCTCCAGCCCACACACTGATAATTAAGGAGGGTCCACTGAAACAGATGAACAGTACGAAGAAGAAGAAAGTTCGATTACCGATTATTTGTCTTCTCAACTATCGTAGTAGATAGAGACTTCTGCTTCAATAAAGAACACCTGATATATACAAAATAATGGATAGTAATGAAATATTTCGATAGCATTATAGTCAAAATTGTATGTGTGAGCCAATCAGCATTCATTCAATATAAAGGGTTATAGGTTTTCTTGTGTTCTTTATTGAAGCAGATGTCTGTACCAACTATATGCTGTGAACTAATCGACTAGCGTCTGAAAGACGATACCTGCTCGATGATTCAGATGTAGTTGGACGTGGCGTATTCGGAATGTGTCGGGGTGGCGTCGATGGAAATCTCCGAAAGAACTGCTTTCAGCCAGCTTTGTAATGATCTTCCTGGGTTTCTGTTGTTTAGGCTTCTCCGCACGTCTCAGCAGTCGACGGTAGTGAGCACCGAAAGTATTGTAGATTGCGGTGATAGTGCTGTCGAGTGATTCGGGGTCCTTCTCCTCAAAACAGTAGTGATTGCGTTCGGTCCATCGATGGTGCAGTAGTTCGCTACAGTACGTGACGAAAATATCATCACTACTACAGTAGTGACGATATTTTCGTGTAGTGATTCACTACACGCACTACGATGAAGTCTTCGCGCGTATCCCGAAGTCAGTATATATCGAGCTATGAACACACCACTATAGTACTGTAGAGGGCCAGAAGTTACACCGAATATTCTATTATACAGCTAACCCCTCTGCGCCTCTGTTCCTACTGTGGAGATATCATCACAGGCAGTGTAAGTGGTCGCCTTACACCCTGTGTTTTGAAACTACTTCAGCTGATGCCAGTACCAACTGCCCGTGTCCATTAAGTTAAGATCTAGAGAATCTTGAGTCAAGATCATCCCGATCTACAAGCGCTTTCATGGTTTTCAAAAACTACCATATGCTTCTTTTTTAGTATAGGTCCTGCATACCCTCTAGGTCATAGAGTGAGAACGGTAAGAATATGAGTGCCATCTTCACTGGCACTTGAATTATAGTCGTTTGAAAGTTTTTGTCTAAAACCGATTAGTGCAGCACGAAGCGGCAGCTTACAAATGACCAGAAAGCTGACTTTCAGTCTAAAAAACACACAATCGTACACGTAGCTTTACGCCTAACCCCTAAACTTGCGTCCGTCTTCTCCTCGGCGTCTGTGTTGGTATCTGCCTTGGAGCTTCGAAGGAGTCTGCGGTCACTGGGGATCAAATCCGCTGCTGCTGATACTTCATCGCATCTTGCTAGGTATGTGGCCACACCACGAGCAAAACGAAGCGTAGACGCATGGTGCTACTTGGTTTCCTCAGTTAAACTCGGGACCTCTTGCCGTGTATCTTGCAGAGCAAATTGTACATGTAGAGTAAAATGTGCGGTGGACGAACCGTTAAGCAGCAGCAAAAGACCCGCGGCGCACCTAACGCGATGCAGGGCGTGTTCCACGTTGGGACAATCTATTACAGGTCATGAAACGATTTGGTCACGCCCTTTGGTCACGCTATCTTGGGATCTGTTGGAGTCGTGTTCTCTGCCTGCCCCGCCGTGTGAGGCCTCAAAACTGCTTCAAACTGCTTTAGACGTGTCGTACTGAATATTAGTTCATGTTCAGACGCTTCGAAGCTGCTATCATCGCCGATAGCGAGAACAACATCGTTTTTTCGTCCGTTTTCAGTGTAGAAGCTCCCAATTTTGGCTCAATTCGGCTTTAGGAGTTTCCGAACAGCTAATTAGATCCCGTGGAGAGTGCAGCTTTCCCTGAAGTGATCCTTCATCAATGGAAAGTGTGCTCGAGTGGTTTCTCATACTTACATGTAACACTAGTGTAAGTCACGTGACCAAATCGCTTCATGACGTGTAATAGGCATCACCTTACTCGGCCGCTTTACCGGGTTATGGTAGACCGGCCCCATTGTCATATTATAGTATCGCAGAATGCATGCTGGTACCTTGAAGTGGCAATGATGTAGGCCTGATGCGGGATGTCAGCGCCTCTCCGGTGAAGGTTGTACACGGTACGGTCCAGACTAACGGAGAAAGAGACCAACATGACCAGAACAATCAAAACAGCTTAGCTAGCTTAGACACATGTTCAGTAGCTTGGCGTACTTTAGATGGCTGACTCTCTCATTAACCTCGTATGTGCGTGAAAGCAACTTGAGTAGAAGAGCCGCTTGCGCTCATGCATCTGCGGTTGTGGCGTGTTTGTGACACATCACCACATGTTATAAAGACTCACAGGAACATGTAATAAAATTACCCAACATCTGTGCCACAAGCACGTCACAAATGCTTGTGACAGCAACGGTGCCGAACGTGAAATCATCAATCTTTGTACAATTATCTGTGCATTTTGCCTCATTGATGGATGGCGTTCCTGCAACGTTATCAGCCATCATTTTACAACGTCACAACGCTTTTACGGCAACGTTAGGGCCTTATTGTGACGTTTTTAGCAACATGGGTACATGGTAGGACAAGGTCGGACTTGTAATTTATCGGATAAATTCCTTGTCCTGTAATAAGTAAGGTGTGAAGGTGGGCAAGTGGAGGGCGATATTGTTTGGCAATGAATGCGATAATGAGTCATTGGGGACGAAGTCCCCCTTGTAATCATGAGACTCCGTTTTATGGAGTTTTTACGTCTCTTATATACGCTCCGCCTTACTTTTTACATTAATTCTGCGAATGGGTTAGGGTCACAATTTAGAATCGCTCACACAGGGACCAAAAAATGAAAAAAAATACCTCGGTTAAACAACATTTGCATGCTTATCGGAAGGTGGTATCGGCAAGCTGAACTGACGTCACTATCTTTAGATGCCATAAAACCAGAGGGTCGAAGTTTTGAAACAGCAAATTCGACCGTTAGTATGGAGGACATCAGAAATAGACTTAAACGTGGCATTTTACCCTTATTTGTACCCTCTTAGGACCCTCTATTTAGCCTATTTGCCTTTCAAACCTTATGCTGTCGTAAGAAGCGTCGCTCTGCGGCCGTTGGTAAGAAGTCTGCGGCCCTTCGGGATCGCTTGACCAGCACACAACAGAGAGTCCAAGCATCAACAAGCAGAGCCTCAAGGAAGCGCCAACGCTACGCCAAGTAGCAAGCAGCTTTGCATGCTGAGGACCGGGTACTGTCGAGCAGCAACTTCTCTAAATTACATTGAAGGCTATGCGCGGATGACGAGCTGGACGATGAGCTGGGGTGTACGAGCCGGAGTCCGTGTCGGTGCTTCTTGGTAGCAACAATGGCTCTCTTTTGGCCCGTTCGAGCTCGCCTTCAGACAGCTCCAAGTCCTTCCTGCACGCTAAAGGCGCTGATTATTTGCTCCTTTCTAGTCTGCGTTAATTCATTCATTGCGTTGCTCATGAAAAGATGTTCGACTAAGCAAATGCATTAGCCCACTCAATTACAGTTCTGTTGGGTCGATCTCGGGCGTCACAGCTCTGCTTTGATACCCTACATGCATGTGTGATGGTACGATATCGGGCTCAACTACATTATTTTGAGCTAGTTATCGTTCATTATACTTCTCTGGCCCACATAAGAAACAACACTTCGGTTTTCTGGACATAACTATTTACAAAAAATCGTTTGGCGACTCGCAATACCTCAACCGAAAGCTGCGCATTTGCTCCGTTTCACGCTATGATTTAAAAAAAACCTAGCAGCAGAAAGAAAAGAGAAACAGCCTTATATCTGAAGTCCGTTTTAGGCAACATTAGGTTTTTTAGCGAGGTGCCGTCAAAAATTAGCGATATTAGAAAATAAAAGATCACCGTAGTCACGAGTGACTGCTTTACCCTTATGTTTGGTTGTCGATGTTGTAGCGCCTGTTGGAGACGAGTTAGAAGGGCTACAGTTTTGAGGTTTTTCTACGCGATTATCTCGACATGCGCAGACCCATTTATTTTGGCCAATAGTAAGCTGTAACAGTTGATTATACCCAATCATATGTGACATGTGGTCCACATCAAATTGAGGTTTAATGCCGAATGTTGTTTCTTAAGTGGGCCCGAGAAGTATATGTTTCCTTATTGCGCTCAACGTGCATGAGGTTATCTACCTACGCGTGCAGACTAACAGTTTTGAACAGCCGTGCATGTCATAGTCGCGTCAGCAACATTGGCCATTGCGGCTGGGTGCAGATGACATCTGGAGGAAGAATTTCAACATGGATCGCGAAAGGTTACTGGAATAATTCGCTCGTATTTTCACTCTGAAAATGAACACACCACGAAATTGAAACATCGAAAGTTAACCCCTTATTCACTTTTCGTTGTGCCAGTGTGCACATTCTGCTATTACACTTACCTAAGTAAGTAAAATACGAGTGTTCTGGCATTCGAACCACAGGCCAGGTGTATCAGTCTACCGTTAATAACAACGTATGAATGGTACTTATGTTGCTTGCAAAATAGCCAGCAAATGGGGGAGCGTGAAAGGGGAAATAAAGCGCTAGAATTTGCAAGCGGCTTTTGTACTCAAATCCCACAAGTGGGGACGTCGTCCAACCTCTGTGGTCAGCATAGTTTTGGGGGTCGACCCCTAAAGCAACATGAGCGCAGCGACCGTGATGCTCCGCTAGTTATAGTGAAGTAGACACTGCTGTCCACCCTCGACGTGAGATCTGGGGCCTTTTCAGCGGTAGCTGGTCGTGCCCTCCGCGACCATAGGCAGCCAGCTTTTTGCCACCTGAATCTCAAGCGCACCGCCGTCGCAGATCAGGAAACGCTTCTAGACCAGCGAGCTCAGCGTGTCGTCAAGCGAGCGGTCGGTCTCCTCCAGCACCAGATTGTTGGAACCGCACATGAACATGGAGTTGAACCCGGCCAAGATCCTGCCCATGCATGATGAACATGGCCTTACCCGGCTTGATGGTCTCCATTATCTTGACCAACTTGTGGCAGTCTACCGACTTATCATGTACTAAGCTCGTTGTGCCAGCTTCTCCGGGGCCGGATCACTTATGGGCCTTGCGCACATTGATGTCCATGCTTGTATGACCTTGTCACACAATTTCGTCATTATACCGATGGGCGCGCAGCCCAGCGCTCTCTACGAGTGCGTACGGCACGGCACCTCCACGGCGTCGGCGAAAGGTTACAAGTAGCAAGGAAGAAAGGCAATTGTACACGCACTAGTGGAATGAAGCGCTGGGTGCTGGTGCTAGACCGATCGAAGGAAGCTGCGGAACAGCTTGCGTTCCTTTCCATCCATTGGTCGATTCACTTCAACTTGTCGCTTAACATGTAAGTTCGCACCTTTAACCGTACTTAGTCGACTTTTGGCGCCCGATGTCGCAGGCGGAGGCCGACGACGGCCCGCGCGAGGCCGACACGCTGCGCGTGCTGCTGTCCTCGGACAACCACCTGGGCTACGCGGAGAAGGACCCGGTGCGCGGCAACGACTCGTTCCGCTCGTTCCGCGAGATCCTGCAGCTGGCGCAGCGCGAGCGCGTGGACCTGCTGCTGCTGGGCGGCGACCTGTTCCACGAGAACAAGCCGAGCCGCCGCACCGTCTACGAGACCATGCGCCTGCTGCGCACGCACTGCATGGGCGACTGCGCCGTGCACTTCCAGGTGGTGAGCGACCAGAGCCTCAACTTCCCCAACTTCGGCGTCGTCAACTTCGAGGACCCCAACTACAACGTCGAGCTGCCGGTCTTCAGCATCCACGGCAACCACGACGACCCGTCGCGCGAAGGCGGCGGCGACCACTCGCAGTCGCTGGCGGCGCTGGACCTGCTGAGCGCTGCGAACTTAGTGAATTACTTCGGCAAGAGCGACAAGGTGGACGAGGTCGAGGTGTTCCCCGTGCTCATGACCAAGGGCAACACGCGCGTGGCCGTCTACGGCCTGGGCAACATGCGCGACGAGAGGCTCAACAGGATGTTCGCGCAGCAGAAGGTGGTGTTCCGACGGCCGGCCGAGCACGCGGACGAGTGGTTCAGTATCTTTGTGCTGCATCAAAACAGGGACGACAAAGGACGCGGCAGCAAGAACTGCGTGCCCGAGAGTGTGATCCCGGACTTTATTGACTTGGTGGTCTGGGGCCACGAGCATGAGTGTCAGATTGACGTTCAGGAGAGCTTGAAGGGGGATTTCTTCATCACGCAGCCAGGCTCGTCGGTGGCGACGTCGCTCGTGGAGGGGGAGGCCAAGACGAAGCACATTGCTGTGCTGGAGATCAACGGACAGAGCTTTAGGATGAACACGCGAGAGCTGCATACTGTGCGGCCGTTCAAGATGGGCGAGGTGATTCTTGGGGAGATTGAGGAGCTGGACCCGAACGACCCGGATGTGGCGGACCGTATTAGAGAGTATCTGGAGGGACGAGTGATGGAGCTACTGCATGAGGCTGAATTGGAGCAGGAAGTGAAGAGGAGAGAGCGAGCGAGGGAGCGTGAGCAGAGGCAGCAGGAGAGCCCGTTCCCGCTCCCGGATATTGGGAATGGAGCTGAAGAAGAAAAGGACCTGGTGCTCATCCGTCTGCGCGTGGAACACACGGGCTTCCAGGTGTTAGTGAACCAGCGATTTGGAGCCAAGTTTGTGGGGAAGGTGGCCAACCCCAACGATATATTGCTGTTCTACCGCCGGAAGAATGATCGGATTAATGCATCGGACAAGAAAGCCAGCGCGGAGTTGGAGAAGTCGCTGCTGGGCCGCCCTGTGCGCCCCACTCCGTTGGCTGCTGTGACGATTGAAGATATCTTGAGCAAGCAGCTGTGTGTGCCTGAACGCAAGTTAGTGTTGCTCCCCGAAGCACAACTTGAAATCGCACTGGAAAAGTTTACGTTGAAGAACAATGCGTCGGCCATTCAGGAGTTTGTGGACAGCGTGCTAGACGAGACCCAGCGCGAACTCAGCGCCAAGAGCGATGCCAAGTCTGCTCAGGATATTCTCACCGTTGTTGGCAAAAAGAAGGAGCAGAAGGACGCTTTGCTCGCACTGCAGAAAGAGGAGGAAGATGAACAGTCCGCGAACGGCCCAGCAGCAGCCGGCACTCCATCAGCTGACGGGTTTCAGTCCAGGCGAACTACTCTGGAAGACGAGAGCTCGACTAAATCCCCTAAAAGCGGTCGCTTCGGGACACCGAGAACTTCGAAAGCGAAGAAGGCAGCGCCAAAGAAGCCCGTTAGGAAGTCTGTCTTTTCAGACCTCGAAGAAGACAGTGATGAGAGCCAACGCAAGCGGAAACCCGCGGTTCGAAAGACTACCCCTCGGAAAGCTCCTGCTCGCTCAGCAAGAGCCAAGGCACGCAAGACTGTGCTCTCCGACGACGATTTTGAAGATGAGGTCGCCGCCACAGCTGAAGATGACGGAGACGAAGATTTTAAGATGGACGAAGACGACGATGAGGAGGAGGATATGACTCCGCGGCCGACAGCGAAACCTCGTGGTAGGGCTGCTCCCAGGTCGACGAAAGCCAAGAAATCGCCGCCGAACCGTAAGAGGCTTCGCAAGAGCAATGATGACGACGATGAAGATGAAGATGATGACTTTTCTCCCGCGCCCACCAAGAGAAGCGCGCCTGCTGCAGCCAAGCGTCCAGCAGCGCGTGAATCTCAAGCGAGCGATGTGCTTGATCTGTGCTCGGACTCGGAACCGGAACAACCGGCACCGAAGAAACGTGCCAAGCAGACGAAGACACAGACGAAGATTTCTCAGCAGCACAAGATCGATCACCTGTTCAAGAAGCAGCAGCCGAAAAGAGAAGAGGACGACCAGGTCGAAAGTGATCACGAGTTCACCCAGGTTGCTCGGCAGGCAGGCGCACGTGGTCAAGACATTGTTGGGCAGTCGCAATCGCAGTCCGAGTCACAGGCTGGTGGAGGTACGCGACGCAAACTTCCGCTATCGATGATTGCAGCCTCCCAATCTCAGTCCCAAGACCCGAAGCGAGCTGGAGGTGTCGCCCCCGCCGCTCGTAAAGGTTGGGGCCGCTCTCGTCGCTAGCAACAGCTCACTCAATACGTAAAAGGAAGTTATCAACTCGTAAGGAAAAAGGAAAGAAGTGGCTGAGGTCAGCCATATATTTCACCTAATGCCACGCATGGTTGCTCGTGGCTGAACACGTCGATAGCCCTTTGTTGCTGTGTGTATGACTAGAGAGGGTAGCGCTGGTTGCATCGTCTCGTCTCGACTCGAACTCTCATGTATTCTTCTTCTTGGGCCTTGTCAACTTGATTTCCCTGTGCTCTCAAGTTGATGCCGAGTGCGCGTCCGTTCAGCTTACTCCGTGCTCTCCAGCAATTCCTTGGGAGGGGTCTTCGGCAAACTTGAGTTCAGCTCCTCGTCCTTGGCGGGATCCTGTCGCACCCACGTCTTGTTCTGGAAACGCGGCCGCATTTGCGATGAAAAGTACGGGTTGCGCGGGGCGAAAGCGGGAGCGCCAGCGTTCAAGCCGGCGTTTTGCGGTGCGGCGCTTCCTTCGCCTCCAGCCGCGTCCGATTCTGGCTTGCCTTCACTTGCTTTTGCTTCCTCAGCCTTGGCAACGTTCGGGTTGACCCACTTGCGGTTCTGGAATGGTCGAGCTCCTCGAGGTCCGTTGTGCATTCCTCCAGCGGGACCCCGAGGGAAGCCGCGGCCACCGTACGGCGGCATGCCTTGCGGCGGGAAACCCATCGCGTACGGGTTCATAGGGCCGTAGCCTGGCGGAGGGTAAAACATCGGACTTCCATATGGCTGCTATTAGAAAAATAAACGCAAACGATAAGTTAATCGTCAATATCCTTTTCAAGGGCTCTGCTTGAGTAACAACGTACCGGAGGGAAACCGCCATAGCCCATCGGACCGCCCTGGAACCCCATGGGCGGACCCATGCCTCGTCCGTAGTCTTGCTTGTCCTTGAAGTCACTCTTGTCATCCGACGGCGGCAAAGGCGGCTGCACGTCACGCGAGTCGCTGTTTCTCCGCTTGCCACCGCGTCCTGCATCCTCCATGTCGTGATCCCTGTCTCGGTCGTTTCTCCGGTTGCCGCGTCGATCTCCGCGCTGGTTCTCATCGCCACGATCGCGGTCGCGGTCGTTGCGTCTCTTCTTGTGCGATCCCATGCTGTCACGAGCGTCCAGCTCGGCCTGGTCAACGTTAACAGGCGGTCCCAGTCGTTGCGAGAGTCTGCCGCCACTTTCCCGGTCACTTGCCCGCCGCTTGTTCCCACTCGCCTTGGACTCGTCGCGCTGATGACGGTCCTCCTTGGATGACGGCGACTTCTTGGGCGCTGGTTTCTTCTCCACGACGCCGAAACGCTGCGCTCGTCGAGCAATCACGTCCTCCATGTCGGTCTTCGACGGGTTCAGCGAGCGGATTGTGCCTCGGTTGCCGCCCAGCGAGACGATCTTCTTCTTGGGCGGCTCGGAAGACGACGAGGAGAGCCCCTTCAAGCTGATAACGCGCTTGGGTGGGGCCTCTGCGTCCTTCTCTTCCTTCTCTTGCTTGGGGGCTTCGTCCTCAGCTTGAGGCTGCTCAGCTTCAGGGGCCTGGACCTCCGTCTGCGGCTCTTCGGCTTGAGCTTGGGCCTCGAACGTGGGCAGCAGGAGACTGAGCCAGGCCGCGAACTGCTCGGCCGACTCCTCGCCGATGAAGTCCACGAGGTCGTGGGCGATCTGCTCCATGTTCTTCTTGTTGCCCACCATGACGATCACGTATTCCTGCAGCCGATTAGAATAGATAGATAGATACACAATGGACGTCATGCCTTCCGCTCCGGTCTTTTGTACGTAGGTAGGTAGGTAGGTGGCGTCCCCCTCCGTGCCCTAATTGGGGGTCGTTTCCACCCTCTTTTGGCGTCCTTTGGGTCTTCTTTTCAACATGCATGTACATATATACACATACAAAGAGAGCGACTGACTGGTCTCCGGTCTCAGTCCTCCCCTCTCTGTCGGCTGAGCGCTGTTGTGTTCCTTCCCCCTTATTCTCTCTCTCTCTCTCTCTTGTTGCGTCCAACGGTCTCAATGCTCTGTGGTGGTGGCTCCCTAAAACCGCGCGCAACTCGCTCTCTAACAGGCAGGAAAAGAAGGCGAAAAGGAACGCCACCCACTGAGGTCTAGCTAAGGTCTAGGTTACGCACCGCCATGACGTTGTCCACCTCGACGCCCAGCATCTCCGTGAGCTTCTCGCGCGTCCTGCTCGCGATCTCCTGCTTCCACGCGTCGGTCAGCGCCAGCGGGAACACGTAACTCTTGGCGTACGACGCCATCCTGGTCCTCCCTGATCCTTTCGACTCTGCCTTCCTTTGTTTGGCTCAGTGGGTGAGAGGTGTGGTGTACACCACGGACACCCTCAACTGGCAACGAGAAAAGTACCGTGGCCGCTGTCGTTTTGTGGGCCTATCTATACATAGCCAGCATAGAGCGCAAGGGAGTTCTTATTCTGCGGTACTCTAATCAAGCAACCATCAAGTTGACTTCAGAATACTATGCTGAGTGCTTGTACTGTAGTCATGCTGAATCTGAGACGTAGGGATCAGCTTTTGGAGGCTGTAAGATTTTATACAGAGGTTCCCCGCAAGAATGACACGTCACTCTGAAAAACTTGTGAAATTCGGTGAGGCGCTTTTGTTGAGGACGACAACTTTTGGCAACGACTAAAGCGTCTTGCTCGAAAATGCCTTTACATTTGCACAATGCCTGTTGCAGCGCTGGGTCGGTGGATTGTTGCTCGTGGAGTCCCGAAGCGCTACGCTGCCGATGGGCCGGCCACGTATGGCGCGGAACTAACGGTGCTCCATGTCGGCCTGCGCGCGAGCAGCGATTCTGGCAAAACAGCCGACGGTTCAAGCCCCAGCTCGCCGCGAAATTCAAAGCTGCACCGCAACACATGCGCTGGGCGTCGACGCCTCGCGCGCAGTTTTGTTGGAGCCGTCAGCGGCTTCACCGAATAGGGTCACACACGCTGTCAAGGGCTCTGCTGGCAAGCGGTCATTTCAATGCCAATGGCGGACGGGGCTTGCTGATACCTAACGTACACTCCGGCAGTGCCTTGTCCACGTTTTAGTTTAACGTGTTCGTACGGGTACAAGCTGCATTGAAGCACGGCGCGTTGAAGTCGACGTCCGCTCGAGCGCTTGCTTTTTCCGCCGCCGAAGGTCTGCCCGGCGCACCGAAGAGAAGGAAATCTGTGAGGACCCGTAAAGTCGTAACTGAGCTAGGTACATGCACACGCATTATCCACAGTGGCTAAAAGCTACGAGCTCTTCGGCCACGAAAGAGAAAGAGTGGCGCTGCTTTCCATCACGCAAGCCAAAGATGTATCCACCTGCAAATAATTTGAGGCAAAACTGAATATAATAGTTGCGAGTGACTTTCAAACAACAAAAAATAGAATGAGGGCATGTTCTCCAAAACGAAAGTCTCAACATGCACTGCCCCAATATGGAGCTCCTAGCGTTACGACCCCCGCAGCAGCAGCAGCCCCGACACTTGTGTTTCGCTGTCCGATCGCCGCAGCCCTCGCGACAAAACTGCGATGCGATGCGGTTCGGTTTCGCATCCGGAATCGATGGAGAGTCAGATGCCTTTGGGGCTTTATCATCGGATCTGCTTTGGCCGTGCTCTGCATGGAGCTCGGCGTTGGAAAAGCGCCTCGGTGTCTTGCTTTGAGTATGGGGCGGGCGTCGATCTTCCCACCCTGACCCTGCCCTGCTCTCCGTCTCTGCTCGACCGTCTATCGATGGGGAGGGCCTGCTCTCCTCATTGCCGCTTTGTCCAGGCGAGTTGACACTGTCTTCCTCTTCAGACACTGTATCGACCGGTAGGTACTAGCAGCAGCGATGTCCACCCAGGACGTCTGCGGCGTGGACGTGCAGGCGCTGTACCTGAATGACCCGGGCAACAAGAAGGAGCCCGCGGGCTACGTCTTGTGCTCGGAAATGGGCAACACGTGCATGAAGAACGGATGCAGCTGCCGTAGCTCGAACAGCGCGACGGTCAACGGCACGACCAAATACTTCGGCGTCTGCGTCGTGCTCAAGAAGGGCGCGGACTGCGTCACGAGCGGGGACGACTATATCACTTGCGCCACAGGTTCAGGCTCCTCCTCCGCCTCATTGATCTCGTCCAGCACCACGGAGTCGCAGAACGAGTCGGGGGGTACCTCGGTGACGCCCGCCCCGAACACCAAGGCCACGACGGAGAGCAACTCGGTGCAGTCGACGTCAACCACCACGACCGGTTCCAGTTCCAGCGGCAGCGTCGACGCCGTTCAGGTGGCGAGCGCCGCGGCCGCGTCCAGTTCCATGAGCACGACGGTAATGGTCATTATCATCATCGTCGCGGTTATCTTCGTGGCGCTCGTGTCCTGGGTCGTGCGCGCGTACTGCATGAAACGCTCGACGCCGCAGAAGAAGCTCGAGGGGAGGCGGAACCGCAGCACGAACGGCACGCGCTTCGACGCGACGTCGCCCACCAACGTCTCGAGCAGGTCGTCGCCTACGCCGTCCTTCCCCGCGTTCGATCGACGGGCGCGCGCTGCGCAGTCACCAACTGCCGGCCAACGCGCGCGCGATGAGGCCCGTTCCGGCCGAGGGAACCCCAACACGCAGCGTGGAGGCCGTAACACGCCGCGCGCGATGAACCGCGAGCCGGCACCTGAGCGGGCACGGGAGATTGACTTCGGCCCCCGTGAGCCCAAGTCTGGCCGTGGCCTGAAGCCGCTTGACCTGCAGATTGCCATCGACATGAAGCGTGAGCCCAAGTCGGGCCGCGGCCTGAAGCCCCAGGACCTGATGGCGTCGATGCCCGCGCCTGGAATGCAGCGCCCCGAACCAGTCTCAGCACGAGGCCGTCGAAGCCCCGAGCAGCACCGCGAACCCAAGTCTGGACGTGGACGCAGGGACCCTGACGCGTACGGCCCGGTGCCGGTGATGGAGCGCGAACCAGCTTCGGCCCATGGCCGTCGGAACCCGGACGCGCGTGGCCCAGGAAACGCCGGTATGTACCAGGCCGAGCTGCCGACGCGCACGCCGCCGCGTGAACAGCAGCGCGCGAAGCAGATCGCGTCTCCCAAGCCGAACAGGCCAAATGCGCCTGAGCCTCCTGGAGGAACCGTGTACGGCCGCGACACCTACGACCGAGTGGCTCAGTTCGCTCATCTCGCAGCGTTCGAGGCACCGCCTCCCCCTCCGCCTCGACCGCAGAAGCCCATTAAGCCGGTGCCCGTTGCCGACCCGCTCCCGAAGTACGCAAGGGCCCCGGCGCCAAACCCGAACGCAGCGCGTCCTACACCCAAGCAGCACCCCGGGTTCACCATTGACGAGACCCCGGAGCCGATGGACTATGACATCCTGTCTCCGAAGACGGCCAGGTCGTTGGCGCCGTCGGTCGCGTCGTCGGCCACGACGGTGGTGGCGCCCGGACGCAACCGTCCGACCCCGCTGCAGCAGAACCGCCGGCCACCGCCCCCGTCGTACTACCAGCCCGACTTTGACGAGAGCAAGTTTGACGAAAGCAAGTTCGACGAGAGCAAATTCAGCGAAAGCAAGTTCGGCGATAGCAAGTTCGACGATAGCCGATACGACGAAAGCCGCTATGACGAGAGTCGATATGACGAGACTAGGTACGAGGGCAAGAAGAACTTCCACGCCACCAACAGCTTCGACGACTCGTTCGTGAGCGAGGTGAGCTCCATGGCGTGGTCAGGCGTGAGCGACGACAGCTACTACCACGCAGCGGCGAGCAACACGGCGCGCATCCCCGTGATTGAGGCGCCCCATGACGACGATGACGCCAGGAGCGAGGACGCGTACTCGGACTGGGGCCACTCGACGCAGCAGTCGGACGCCTTCCGCAGCACTGCGGCCTCGGACGCGTCCTTCTTCTCCGTGAACTCGGACTTCGCCGACTCGAAAAACGTCTTCAAGGAGAGCGAGTTCTAGTCGCAGACGCGCCCATTGCAAGTAGATCAGTGGATATTGTAACAGTTGGGGTGGCCAAGTAAATAAAGTAATGTGCTGTCATCCATCTATGAGGAACTATGACGTTCTACTAGTCAGACTGAATCGGCCACACACACGGAGCCACCATCGAATTCCACCGTTGGATCCAAAGTTACTCATCGAACGACAGGCGTGGTCTTGGAATAAGCTTTGAGGCTTTCCGCATCATGCAATCCTCGCCTAATCGAGTGCCTGGCGCTAGTGATGACGAGCTCTTCTGTCCAAGTTGTGGCTACGGCTCCGTTGCAAGAGTCCGCATCGTCGATGCTCACTATTGGCACGACACTTGGAGTCAAAACTCTCATCTTTGCGCGTGTGTGTAAATTGACGTCGGAAGGAGTCAGCAGAAAATAGAGAAGTACATGCACACGGAAGCACTCAAAAGAGGGTCCTCTCGAGGCCACACTGACTCGAAGCGTTAGGCCATTCCCGCGTGTGGCTCGAACGGGGTTGTCGTGGGTTCCACTACTTCCACCCTCCGCCTAGAGCCGTCCACCTGCATTTGTGTCATCGCTTCCGTTTCGATAGTTTTCGACATTCTGTGGAGCTTCACGCGCTTCGCTGGTCAGCACCAAGCAGAGAGGAATTTTCCCGTTCGTGTGTGTACCGAGTCTACCAGTTTCACATTTCCCCATTCGCAGTCGAAGCGAGACGCAATTGGTCTGCTAAGATGGCGTCTACCCCTTCAGCTTCCTCCTCCACAGGCACCGTAGAAGCCGCGAAGATGGACGTCGGCGACACAATATTGGGCTCGGGCAGCTTTAGCGCTACGGATTCGGAGACGCACCAACCGTTAGCAGGGTCGCCTACCACAGGGACCGACAGTGACTCCTCTAGTATGAGCACACCTCTGCTAGTGGGGATCATCGTGGCCTCGGTGATCGTCTTCGTTGCGGTCCTGTTGGTGATTCGATCCCGACGTCGACGGTACGAGCCCAAGTTGTTCTCCTCCAGCAACGCCTCCGCCTTCCAGAGAGTGAACTCAACGACAGCTCATGAAAACACTACTTCAGACGCACTCGGATCAAGTGGAGTGTCCACGATCGTGACATCCCCCCAGCTTCCTTATATGGAGACGTTCAAGCTGCCAAGGTCGTCAACGAAGGACGCGTCCGGGGACCACGTCGTTGTCGATATCCCTGAAGTTCACACTACGGGTAACGCCGCAGCGCTGCCTCCCATGCGCGGGACTCAAGCATCTCGAACGACCAGCCTCATCAGTGGACGCTCAGTGTTTTTAGCCTCGTTCCTCATGCGTGGCGGGCTGCGCTCGTCACTTCCGAGTCTCGCAGCGTTCCGAGGCTCACGCAGCAGCGAGATAAACCAGACGAACGAGTCTCAAGCTACTGGTCCGATCGTCACAGTTCCAGTGGCTCCTGCTGCCAGTGCACCGCCACTTCCTCTTGATGAGAGGCATACGGACGGCGATGCTTGGAGGGACCTTTCCGAGACTTGCTGGTCTATTGGCCCGGGCAGTGACAGCGAGACTGAAAGCGAGCGGTTCTCCATTGCTGCAGGCTCATACTTACCAAGTGGAGCGCTGGTTCTGAGGCCTCGCCGGTTGTCGACGCTCTCAGACGATATCGCTGATATTGATGAGGACGGAGTTCTTCATTTGGAGGACCTTGAGGTGGACTCGCTCGATGACTCGTCTCGACGGCGGGACCGCGTTATGAGCTTTATGGATGACTGGTCTCCTCGAAGAGAGAGGGGCATCAGCATGCTCGACGACTCGTCCCCTCGACGAGTACGAGGTCTCAGCGCGCTGGAGAGCCGACGGAAGGCCAACTCGCTCGCTGACATCGTAGACACCAACAAGTCTGGAGGCTCCTACTTCTCGGTGGACTCGGACTACTACGACGAAACGATTAAAGACTGCAGCTCGGTCCTCTTTGACGACGACAGCGACAGTGACAGTGACAGTGGTGACAGCTTGCGGGAGGAAGAATTCTAGCAAGCTCAAGTGTTATTGAAATTAGTGTACAGTCTCTCAATGTATTAGATGTTCTGACGGCTAGTTAGTTATCCTTCTGGACAACAGCTCCCCTCTGCCTCCACTTTGGCAGCACTCGTGTCGCCACCAACTCCCAACACACACTTAGTACAAACTCTCCAATGAACAAGCCAAACAACTTCCAGCGGAACGCTGTAGGGGTCGACATTAGTTGAAACGTTTCGTTGACTGCGTCGGAGTTGTCGAGTAGAAACCACGAGTTGACCACCAGCTCCTCAACCAGCAGGACTGCAAACAGATAGTTTGTGTAGAACGGCAGTCGGAACGGGTCGTTCACGTTCAGGGAAGCGGCTGCAACCACGTACTGCAGATGCACAAACAACCACGTGACGGTGCCTTCGTAGGAGAATCTGACGTTTACGAGGTCAAGATTGCTGAAAACCGCGCAGTTCGAAGCCGTTCTGTCACCCGCCCCCTTTACAAACTCCAAAGCGTCCTCAATGGAGCAATACCAGCTCGACTCGTGACTCATCAACACTAATGCCAACGCGAATAATAATGCATTAATCACGATGTGACCCAAGAGAGACGCGACGATCTCAAGCGAGAACAGTGTTGAAGGCGGCCTCGCCCGAGTTAACACCTTCGAAGGGCCCGTGTACAGCATGCACATTGCGAGAGCTAGCACCATGGTCAGATCGTCCCAAAAGTACTGCATATCCGTGAGCTGCATGTCGACTCCAGCCCAAGTGCCAACCTGCGCCAGCACACTTGCCATACCCAACTGGATGATCGGGTATAGCACCATGTACTTGAAGCCTAGGAAGGAAGTTGCTAACGCACACCGACCCTCGCGCATCAACACTGGCACGTCTGAGATGGCCTTGGTCTTGCTCGTGAACGGCGCCACGATCGACGCCTCGGCGCTCGATAGAGCCAACCCCACATGCGCAGCCTTCAACGCCCCGCAGTCATTCGTGCCGTCGCCGCACATTCCTACGACCAAGCCAAGTGAGATGAGCTGCTCCACGATCCACGCCTTCTGCTGAGGTCGCACGCGCGCGAACACCGGCGTCTGCTGAATAATGCGCCGCACTGTATCATCGCCGTAGTCGTCGCGCAACTTGTCCAGTGCAGCGCCAGTGATGGCCAAGTCGAACTCCGCCAGCACCGCGACCATGTTGCTGCTGTTGAAGCCCGACCACTCCACTACGTCCGAGTTCTTCACATCGTCCACCGACACGAACGCAGTCTCTCCAGTATGCTCGTCCACGTCTACCACAGCGATTTTACTCTTCATCCTCATCTCCAGCTCGCGACACACGTGGACAGCAGTGAGGGCGTTATCCCCAGTGATAACGCGGACGTCAATATCTGCAGCATAAAGCTCGTTGAGCATGCTCTTGGATTCAGGCTTCAGCTCGTTCTTGAACAAGGCAAGACCCTCGAACTTTACCGCGCTTTCTACTTCATCACGGTTGTTCACATCGATCAGAGCGCCGGGTGTGAGCTCCTTGACGCCGAAGCCAATGCAGTAGAAGCCGTCGATTGAGTACACAAGAGCTTTGATTTTAAGATCAGGTGGTGTTGCGGTGGAGATGGCGCTCACAGCCTCTGGGGAGCCCTTGACAACGACGAATCGTTTGCCAGTGCTGATTTCTTCGACGACTGCGCTGGATCGCTGGCATGCGGCATCGAATGCAAAGCGACTGACGATCCCGTAGTTGGTGCCATCCGGCGCTGTCACAATCGCAATGTACTTGTCATTGGGAGGAGTGGGGAAAAACTCCATGGAGTAGTGGGAAGCCTTGAACATCGCCAGCTCAAGGGAATAACCTTGAAACGCTCCCCCATACTCCGACAAGCCATGACACGTCGCCATCCCCAAAGTGAATCTGGATTTCGCCCCAGTAGTTGAAGCGCTAGATGAGAATTCCTCCATGATAGCCACCCCAGCAAAGCTCAGATGTTCCTTAGTGAGCGTTCCCGTCTTATCAAAGCAGAAACAGGAGAGTTGCCCGCATGAGTTCACACGCTGCGAGTCAATACAGAAGATACCACGTCGGTACAGTCGGTGCATCGAAAACCCGATTCCAGAGGTGAGAACGAGGGGCAACGCGGGGGGAACAGCCACGGTTATGAGATCCAGGGAATCAACGAACGTCTCGCTGAACGAGTTCCCGACGTGAAATCCATCCACAAGCCGCTTGACAAACGCCACGATAGCCACAACCCAAAGCATTGCCAAGTACCGATAACTATCCCGCTCGAACTCGAAAGTGATCTGCTTGGGGAACAAAATGCTGCGGAATAGTTCCCCTTTGCCCGTGGAGAAGCCCGTACTGATAACCACACCCTTGCATTCTACATCGCTCTCGAAAACTCGGATGATAGTAGACCCGGCATGCAAAACTGACGCTTTGTGCTTGTCTCGAGCCGAATTTTCAGTAATTTGCCCCGCTCCAGTCGCCGCTTCCTTGTTGACAGGCACCGCTTCCCCCGTCAAAGCCGCCTCGTCCGCAGTACAGCCGCCAGATAGCAGTAAAGTATCCGCGCACACTGGGCCTTCACTCACGAGGACAACGTCGCCCGGAACTAATTCACTCTCGTAGACGCTAAAGATTATCGATCCTCGCAGAACTTGAAAGTGTCTATCGCTATGCACGAGACTGCGCAGTCGAATACTGTTGGACACCTCCGAGTAGATCTCGTAGGCCAGCGAGACTGCAGACATGGACAATATCACAATAGCATACTTGGTGTAGTCCTTGAGCAGCCAAACCACGATGCTGAATATCTGGAAAATGTAGAACGGATGCACCAGCTTCACGAAGAGTAACTCGCTGACTCTGGGCTTGTCGATGGCGATGCGGTTCGGCCCAAACAGTTCGCTTCTGGTCCTTACAACGTGTTCGTCCAGTCCAGTATCGACCCGACGCTGCAACTTGCCCAGATCCTCTCGAATCGTGGCCAGGTATCGGCGGAACGCGCCCCGCTCGTAGTCGAACACGTACCGCTGCTTCTTGAACTCGAACCAGACCCACGGCACCTTGGTCCGATAGTCGTCGTCACTAGGAGCTGGGTGGTGTACGGTGCACTCGACCCATCGAGCCTGCAGTCCGTCTCCGTCGATATGAACCAGCATGTAGTCCGCCTCACTTACAGCCGACTGCGGCAGCGCAACTCGAGCCAAGCGCGTGAAAATTTGAGGGTACCAGACAGAGATAATGATCAATACGCCCCAAGACGCCACTGCGAGCGCGCAGTAGAGTATCAAGCGTGTGCGGGAGTACACAAAGGGCATCATCCGAAGATGCTCATTGGGCGCGTACACCAACTGCGCGCGCTGACCTGCCAGGTCGTCGATGGGGACCAGCAGGTGCTCGCGCAGACTCTTCATCATCGTGGGAGTGCTAGGAATTGAGGGGTACCAAAGGTCGGGCACTGATGAAGATCCCCGCGTCGCTTCATGCCAAGTACCAAGACCACGTCATGTATTAGTTCAACGGCTGTCATACAACTTCATTGTCGTATGCTACGAGCTTCTCCTCGCAAACTCCCTCAATTCCTGCATCGCCTGTGCAAAGAACCTTGTGTCTTTGTGGTATTGTTCACGCGCGTTCGCCCCCATGGCCGCGCGCTGCTCAGTCGTAGTTGAAGCCACGAACTTCTTAACAGATTCACAAATGCCTTCCCCCTTGACTGCAGCCAGGAGCCCGTCGGCGTTCTTCAATCCGTGCGCGTCCGAGTAGTTGCCGCCCAGCATCCCATTGCGAGCATCCTTCTCGATCTTCGTCGGGATCAGAACGCCCATCGCGTTCGAAACGATGAGCTCGTTCATCGGTGGAGCGTCAGTCGTGACGATAACCGCGCCAGCAGCACGCGCTTGATTGATGTAGTGGCCGTAGCCTTCGGCCAGACTCGGACACATGAGGAACGCAGCTTCGGCCGTGAGTTTGCTGAAGGCGAGTCGATCCATCATGCCGAAGTGGAGGTTCACAGTGCTCCGACTGTACCACCAGACCCACTTGTCATAGGCCCCCTGCATCAGGTAGTTGTACGAGCCTTCGTTCGCGTACAGATCCAGCGGCGGCAGTCCTGGAGTGGACGTCCAGCAGTCCAGCAGTTGCTTCGTGCCCTTCCAGATACTCGTACCGGCCGTGTGGATGAACCTCACGTCCGAGAAGTCCTTGGGCGCGACAGAATCATCGGCCAGGCGCTTGCGCGCGAACTGCGCTTGGTCCGAGGACGTGTGTTTGGTGTAAAACACCTGAGCGTTGCGGGGGTTGCCTTCCTCCTCGAACCAGCGCGTGACGCGGTCGTAGCATACTTTGGTCTTGCACAGCACGACGTCCACCCTCCAGTAGTGCTCGGGCGTGAGCTCGACCATCTCGATGTTGGGCATGAGGTAGATGGGTTTGTTCTCCGGCCAGCGAGGGGAGGACGGCACGCCGTCCCAGTAGTGCTGGAAGAAGATCACGGGCGTCCTGGGGCACAGGTCGTAGTAGTCCACCTCGCGCCCCACCTCCGGGTCGAACAGCTTCACCTCGAGAGCCCACACAGGCAGCAGCCGAGACTTGAGGTCTGGCATGAATACAGAAGAAGCACTCGGTTAGAACAATACTATACCACACCATCAACTATACTAGAGAGCTCACACTTGGCGTAGGCGACTGCGTCCTCGCAGTATCCGTTGCCGTGCAGGCCAACAGGCAGGAAAATGTCCACGTCGGGGCATTGCTGCAGCTTGTGCAGCAGGTCGGGGTCGTCTTGGTGGATCACTTCGTGGGGGTTGGTGGCTATGCCGATTGGCCCCTGGTGGCCTGGAGCCCCGTACTGCCACGGCAGCACCGCGTTCGTGTCCGTCACGCAGGACTCGTGCAGCAGGCTCAAGTGCAGCAGATCCTCGTCCGACACCTGCCAGTCGTGGCTGGTTAAGGGTTCGATGAAGTCGGCCTCGGGTCCGTGACGTCGCAATGTGGTGGAGTGAGGCAGCGACAGCATCAGCGACAGCAGCATGAAGAGTCCCAGGGTCAGCAGCAGCGCCGGCAGGCGATGCAGCCATAGCTGGCGAGAGCGCCAGCGCCCAGGCTTGTGAGGAGGGCCCCTCCACTTGTTGGTCATGACGAGGGCGAACAGCCGCGGTTTCGAATATGAAGGGGGGGGGGAGTCGACGGAAGCGTAGTACATGTTGAAGTGCTGAACTTTATGTATCCACTTCCTCTCTGGACGATGCATTCAAGTCGATTAGCGCTAGTCGACCAATACCAGAGCAATGTGCATTGGACTAACGAGCTAGATACAACCACGATGTACATTCTTATGGTACTTTTAGGACAGGGACAGTAAACTACCAGTAGACTACGAAGGGTTGATGGATCTCTCAATACATGGAGCCCACGTCAAGCGACAGCGCCGATCTGGAGGGGAGTTCCGAGTCGTGCATGAACTCGCTGGCCTCTGTGCTGCGCAGTTCGTACTCGGTGCTGTTGAGGCTGGAGAAGCTCGAGGCGAAGCTCACGACCGTGTTGAGCGCGGCGTCTTCCTCCTCGGCAATGTCATTCGTCGTGTAGCGCTCTCGGGGGATCGTCGAGGCGTCCGAGTCTCGTACAGAAGAATCGCTGTACGTCGCAGACACCAGTCGGTAGGAGTCGCTCTCGATGTCCTCCGACTCGTACACGCGCGGACTCGGCGGACTGTCGTACTGGGAGCTCATGCTGGACGAGAAGCTCACTTGGGTGTTGGAGGTGTCGAAGATCGGGTTGTGACTGGGCGAACGCAGCTCGGACACCGACGGACCGTGAGACGCATTGAACACGGCAGGAGCCGCGACTGCAGCACTCGACTGAGAGTTGTCGAACCTCACGCTGCTATCTCCAGCCTTGGCGCTCTCAGAACGCACGTAGGCACCGGACATCTTCCGTCCTCGAGCTTCACGCGACCGGTACTGGGTCCTCGAAGCTGGAGCGTCGAAGTCGTCGTCCTCGTCGAGCACGACGATCGAAGCCAGCGGCGTGTTGTCACTCGAGTCGAACCTTGCACTGGAGCCTCCGTAGTGTCGGCTGTGGCCGTGACGACGGTACCTTCCATCGAGTCTCGACGTCACTGGCGTCGCTACGGAGGATCCGTCGTCCGTGAATTCCCCGGAGGGGGTGCCGAGCTTCTTCCTCTTCCTGGCTCGATCATTGCGTACAGCCACGAACACTGCGATCGCTGCTATAGCCGCAACACCGCACATGACGGAGACGATCACCGCCAACCGCTTGCCAGACCAGCCCGAGCTGGCCGATGTGCCCGTGTTGGTCTCGAGCTGAGTGGAGCCATGACTGTTTGACGGTCGGATGATGTTTTCTTCTTGAGAGGCAGTAGCAGCGCTAGTTTGCGAGGGATCCGTCGTTCCTGCTATGTTGGTGATCACGTTGTCCTCGTTCGTCGCCTCGGAGTGAGACTCCTCTGGGGAGAGTGTGAGGCTCTCGGTCGGGGTCAAAGTGATGCCCTCCTCGTCGGAGCTGAAGCTTGCCTCAACGGAGCTGGAGGCCGTGTCGAAGCTACTGCTGCTGCCGACGTCGACGCTGGCATCAGCACTTGAACTGGAGCTGAATGACCTCGATGACGGTCTGACTCCTGCATCACCAACGTCAGAGTTTGAACTGGAAGAGGAGTCGCCGACATTGACGCTACGCCCCGCGGACGATGAACTCGAGCTGTCTTGCGAGTACGAACTGCCGCAGAACTCTTGCTCGGATCCTGCGCTGCTTGCACACGTCGTGGCCTCTCCCGATCCGACGCAGACGACCCAGGCCACCGTCACACCCGCCACAGACGTCACCTTCTTCTCTCGGCATGAACACACTGCACAAAGGTCTTGGTCACTCCCCGTAGCGTTCACACACTCCACGTATCCAGTAGGGAACAGCGCCCCAGGAGCCGCCGATGAGTTCACGACGTAGAGATTCTCCGCCGCGTAGTCGCACGCGCTCAGTGTTGTGTCCGTGGACGAAGCTCCTTGGCAACTTACAGCGTAAAGCTGCACCAATAGCCCGATAATAAGGCCCCAATGCGGCATTTTCCTTGGGTGTATCTCGAGCGAAATCGTAAAGTGTGCGAGCTCTGAGCTGAGCTAAAGCTGAGAGCTGCGACTAACCCCCGGCGATATCAGTGCCTTGACAGCTGGGGCGCCGCACCCTCACCTCGTGGTGGATCTCCGAGGGCGTCAATGTGGCAAGAACGTTTCGCCGGCTGGAGCCTTACGCCTCTTGCTAGCCGCCCGCATGTGCCTCGGTCACAGATGGCCTGATGCGACTGTGCCTGTCGTAGCGAGCGAGACTGTGGCGGCAACCGCTTCGACTAGTGTGGGCCCCTGGTAGTCTCCAGAAGTGCTTCATACTACCCTTGGAGAGAGCGTGGGGAGCTGACCACTGCGGAAAACTCAAATGGATTCATTGACTATTTTCTGACCATCGGACAGCAGCGAGTTGATCCGAGCCGGTCACGAAAACAAAAAAGTTCATTGTTCGATATCGCCCCGGGCTGGGTAACTACAGTGTAGCTATTGATGCAGCTTTTGAGTCACCCTCGTGCATGCTTCTGAGTTGTGCAGCATCTGGAGCACTAGCGTGGCGTACGTACGCGATGTTGCATGGATCCGGTCTCTACAGATGGCTGGACCGAGACGACTTGAACGAATCGCACCGCCTTAAACAATTATCTGTCTCCATGCACAAGTCCCCTGTGGCATCTCAAGAGGAGATGCCGACAAAGCTATCCTTGTCGTGCAACACCATGCATCTTGGTGTGGTATTTTGTGCTGTTGAATGCAAAAACGATAGTGTATTGAATGCAGCTTCGCGTGCGTCCGTTGTGGTTCCTGCGTCCGTTGTGGATTCAAGTCTGAAACTACTCCACAATTGGGCAGTGCTATTCACGTAGCATGCATGGCTATCTATCAACTATGAATGAAGACCACAGTAGCGCATTCAGAGCTGAGGCGGTTTATTCTCCTAAAACGTCGCCACAACCGACCCAAAGCGTCTTTGGTTCTTCAACGGACGAGCTAGAGCCATGCAGGGCTTGCAGGAGCACCTGCTGGTGCCTGTCAACAAGCCCGACGACCAACATGATCAGGTGGTTGTCCACGCCCCCAATGAGCCTCTGCGGATGATCCCCTTCGCGTTCTCGTACCTGCACTTGGTGCTCTACTTGGTGCTCGGTGTGGCGTCAGGCGGCATGCTCTTCATCCTTTCGGTCTGGTACCCGCACGTGTTCACGTTCCTGGCTCGAACCCAGCTGCCTCTCTCATCCGCTGAGGACGCCGACTGCGTGCTGGTGCTCGTGTACGGCAAGGGGCTCCACGCTCAATGGCTCGAGTGTTCCGTACACCGATCGACCGACAATTCCACCAAGACCCCGTGGATCTGGTTCGAGTTCAAGAAGCATCGCTACGTCTTCAGCCTCGAACACGGCGAGTTCCGACGATACTTGGCGACAATCCGCGAGGACCTTGGGTCTATGACCGCGCGTCTCGACACTGGGCTCTCTACCCTGGAAGTGAGCTCGAGAGTCGAGCGCTTTGGGGCCAACAAGGTGCTGATCGAGAAGCCGCGGATCCCCGTGCTGCTGTTCCGCAAGCTCGTGGCTCCGTTCTACATCTTCCAGGTCATCAGCGCCGTCATTTGGTTCATTGAAGAGTACACGGTCTACGCGATCATCATCATCTGCCTGTCCGCGCTCTCCATCACGAACGAGATCTACGTCGAAGTGTCCAACAGCAACCGACTGCGGAGTCTCGTGCGTAGCGACCACAGGATCCCCGTAGTGCGTAGTGGAGTGAGAGCTGAGGTTCATGAGTCCGAACTCGTCCCTGGCGACATTGTCGAGGTGAACGAAGGTCCCGTATGCGCAGACATCCTCCTCCTCTCAGGCTTGTGCGTGGCTGACGAGGCTTCTCTCACTGGTGAAGCGCTGCCTGTAAACAAGGAACCAGCCGTAGGAACGGGTCTAGTCACGGAAGCTTTGGCTCGAGCGCAGTTCAAGGCCTCGTGTCTCCACGCTGGGTCAATTATCACTCGAGTACGAGAAGGAAGTGATAAGTGTCGGGGTGTAGTTCTGAGTACGGGCTTCTCCACCGGTCGAGGCGAGTTGTTCCGCAGCATTCTCTTCCCCAAGCCGATCTCCTTCGAGTTTGAGCGGGACAGCTACCGCTATCTCGTGGTTCTGTGGTCCATTGCCATTGCTGCGTTCATCAAGCGCGTGGTTGATGGAGCGGGCACCAACACGCCGTTCTTCGACACGATGCTGCACTCGCTGGACCTCATCACGATCGCCGTGCCCCCCGCGCTGCCGCTCGTTCTCTCCTCTGGTATCGGGTTCGCCATGCAAAGGCTGCAGAAGCGCGGCGTTTTCTGCATCGATTCGCGTCGAGTGAACTCGTGTGGCCAAGTGACGTGCTACTGCTTCGACAAGACGGGGACGCTGACTCAAGAGCATTTGAGTTTTGTTGGTGTTGACGACCCCGAAGCCGCTGGGATACCCACACTTTCTATTCCTCCCCAAGTTAAACTCGTGATGGCTACGTGCCACAGCTTGTCCACACACGAAGGCGAGTTGCAAGGTTATCCGTTAGAGCTCGCCATGTTCAACGCGTCACACTACAGCATGGAATATCTCAGCGACAAAGGCAAGGGCGGATTTCTCGTCATGGTGACGTCCACCGAGGATGAGTCGAAGAAGTACGGCGTCCTGAAGCGGTTCGCTTTCGACGCTGCACACCAGCGCTCCAGCACTATCATCGAAGACGTGGACACCAAGAAGCGCTATGTGGTCGTGAAGGGGTCACTGGAAGCAGTGAGCGCCATTTCAGTCGCTACGCCTTCAGATCTACAGCAAAAAGTGCATTCATATTCAGCCGACGGCTACTACTGCATCGGATTCGGCATGAAGGAGCTACCTTCAAGTAGCTCTACTATTGACAGCATCAACCAGGAAGAGGTGGAGTGTAACGTTGAATTCGAGGGAGTGGCGATCTTCAAGAACGAGCTGAAACCCGAGACGAAAGGCATGTTGGATGAACTAGGGGGGGCGAAGATTGACGTCCGTATTATCACAGGCGACAACGCGCTCACTGCCGTCCACGTTTGTCGAGAGTTGGAGATGGCTTTGAAGCCCAAGATCGCGGTGGTGGATGTGGACGCGACGGTGGGGGGTACAGTCTTCATGTCAGCGGATGCGATCAAGACGTCGACATCTGCACAATGGGAGGGCTTCAACACCAGCAACATCGACGCAGTCATGGCGGAGTACGACCTCGCCATCACCGGTGCAGCACTGGAAAAGATCCGGAACGACTGCGGCGACGACACCATCCAGCGGATCATCAAGCAGACGCCCATTTTTGCTCGAGTGCGGCCTCAACAGAAGACGTGGATCGTTGAACAGCTCATTGAAATGGGTCTGATAGTCGGGATGTGCGGCGACGGCACCAACGACTGTGGCGCGTTGAAGGCTGCGCATGTGGGGCTTGCGTTGTCGAGTGCGGAGGCGTCGATTGTCGCGCCGTTCACCAGCAAGGCCAAGGCGATTCTGGACGTTCCTGTGCTCCTGCGCGAAGGTCGATGCGCGCTAACCACGTCGTTCCAGAGCTTCAAGTTCATGTGTCTCTACCCGATCATCCAGCTGAGTATGGTCATTGTGCTAGCGCACGTGGGCTCTGAAGCGGATACCGAAGTGCTGCTGACCAACAACCAGTACGTCTGGGACGACATGGCCATCGTGCTCGGTCTGTCCATAGCGATGCTGTACACCGGACCCACGTACACACTCTCGCCTGAGAAGCCGCCCAACACGCTCTTCTCGTTGAGCATCGTGGCGTCGATAGTGGGTCAAGTTGCCATCTTCATCGCAGGCTTTGCCGCTGCGTTAGCGGTGCTGCACCACGAGGACAGTTGGTTCTGCTCCGTTAAGGACGCCTTGGCCTACGTGAATGCTCCAAGCAACGCCACTGTCTCTTCGAGTTGTGAAGTGTTTAAGGGCTACGACATGGAGGCGCTCGAGTACTCGTACGAGGACACGACGACGTGGCTGTTCGTGCACTTGTCCTACATCGTGGTGGCGATCGCCTTTAACATCATGAAAGACCCCTTCCGACTGCCGTTCTACACCAACAAAATCTTCACCACGCTCGTGATACTGACACTGGGCGTGAACCTTTGGTTCCTGCTGGACACGTCGGGGGTGATCAACGATACGTTCCAGGTCATGCCGATCGCCGCCTCCTTCCGCTGGAAACTACTGCTACTGTTCATCGCCGAGCTGATCCTCGCCAGTGGATGGGAATTCGTGGCAACCTGCACTTTTCCAAAGTGGCTACAAGGCTGAGGCTCGTTCTTATTTTCCCAGTCCCACGTCCCGGCCCGGGAGAATGACGTCCCGGGACTCCCGGGACGTCATTCTGTATTTCTATAGGCTGATGGGTTAGTGCATAGGAGTGGACACCGTCCCAAAACCGGACAAAATAGTAAGAACACACTTCCATTCCAGTGAAAACACACAAAGGGTGGGCGACATCATAACCTCAACACCCGCCAAATCAAGGACAAAAACAAGGACCAAAAGTTAGAAGCTTACACTGGCGTTGTTTTTGAAAGATAAGTCATCTTATTGGTACGGAGAAAAAGCTTTTGATTCCCTCTTTTAATCTTTTGTTATGCGTTGTGTCCACCATTGTCCATTACGGCAAAAGCTACAGTTGAAAGGTGTTATTAATAACATATTACATTTCATTTTTGTCCTGGATTCTAGGACAAATTCCTTTAAATGACTTGAGTTCAGTATAGGGCTTCAGCCGTTACACCACTCGAACAGTTGTTGTCTTTGTTATACATGACACCCTCGTACTTACCTGGATCTTATTTCCTTACATACAACCCCCAAGTCACTTTTGGTCCTTTTTGCTGGTTTTAGGACAAACCCTGCTAAATACGGCGTACTTAAGTGAGTTTTGGTCCTAGATGGACAAAAAGTGTTGGGGATGCGATAGCGCCCAGCCAACGGAGGCGAGGAGCGTAGCCGCAGCAAACCCGCGCGGGGAGCCCGCGAACCAGGGCCGCGCGGTATATGCGGAGGTGGGCCCAGTGACGAGCATTCCAGCGAGCCGAGCACTGCACTCGCCAGGTGGTTTTGGGACAGAACCGTCAAATCACACGTACATGCAGTGAAAACACACAACAAATCCTACAAATCTTTTTGACTTGGCTTTACTATAGTGACTGGGAGGGATGACGCGTTTTTTAAACGGACCAGCCGCGCTGCGCTTGGCTGGGCGCCCCTTCGGCGCCCCCGCTACCGTATTCGCTTCGCTCGCGATATATAGATTCTCTCATCCCGCTCCAAGTTTTTTTCGCGCCGCCGGGAGCTGGGACGGTTGGTGTGCACAGCGCGCTCTAGCGAGCATGGCGACGAAGATGGAGGAGCTCGACCGCATTGAGCGGGCAATGGAAGAGTACATGGGGTGGGGCGCCAAAGCGCTACGGAGCGAGTGTAGGCGACTGAAAGCTACGCCCACGGCCCAAAATAAGGCCAGCTACTTCCGTGCCAGCCTCAGGCACGTGGGCCGCTGTGCTTCTCACTGCGCTCATTCAACGTATTCGTATGCACCAACGCCCATACACTTACCAATTCCGTCTCCTTGTCTGTCATTTTAACGCTTTAGCTGCAGCGCCATTGTGCCTTCAATCGTTATTTTGTGAATGGAGTACTTGGCGGCAAAGCACTAGCGGTGGCGCCAAATTCACTGGCGCTCACATGCCTTGAAATTATTAATAATAATTGGAGGTTACATAATATTTTAGAGGTTGTGTGGCTGACATAAATATCCTAAGTTTTGGTTCTTATGTTGGGACTTTGGGACGAAATCCCCGGGACTCGTCCCGGGAACATTAGAACGGGCCTAAGTGCTGGAAACCTAGCTTAGGGGTTTAATTAACTACAACTGGTTGAACACTCTACCGGGTAGAGTAATGATATGGGGACCCCCCCCTGCTTCTTGAAGTTTGTATAGGGAATGAAAGCTCACTATTGATGTGCAGATCATTCGGCGATTGTCGTGATTCATGACGCCGTCGTCGCATTATCTCCAGGGCGTCTCAAAGGCGCTCCCTGGGCGTATCCAGGCGCTACCGCAAGTATGCGACGCCGTGAATCTGTTCGCCATGCCGTCTTCTCTCGACGACGTCGCTGGCAGTGGGCGACTGGAGCTGGTTCGCGAGTATTTCGATGTTATTCCGAGTACTTTCCAGGCAATCGCCATGGCAGCAGCTGAAGGCCACCTGCACGTCGTCCAGTGGATTTATTCACAACTAAGTGATGATGAGCTCAAGAAGTCGACGTGGGGTGTGCAGGCATTCAAGGGGGCGGCTTGCAGCGGACAGTTGGGGGTCCTCGAATGGCTGAAATCTGAGTTCGAGCCAAATGCTGAGGATGTCGAAGGCATTGCAGCTCTGGCTGCTGCTACTGGACGACTGGCTGCTGTGCAGTGGGTGATGGATGCGTTCTCTGGTGTGGGGGACGAGCGAGCGCTTACGGCTGCTGTAATCGCTGACCAGCGGGAGGTGGAGGCGTATTTAACGAGTATTTGCGACAACGACACTCGCTTGAACGCGTTCGGCTCAGTGTTGGAGACAAAAGCCGTCGATAATGACTCTGACCGAGTGGAAGAGTTAGCTGCGAAGTGCAAACAGTCTGACGTTCGAGATGCGCTGACGGAGGCGATAGATTGCGACGCCTACGACGTTGTGGAGTTACTCTGGGGCGTCGGCCAAGGTGCGTCGATGAGCGTCGACGACATCGGGAGCTTGGCGCTGGAGAGAACAGTGCATGACGATCGACTGGACATCGCGGCGCTCTATGTCGAGGCGGAGGACATGGCGGATAGTGCTGGGGCGGCACTTCGCGAGGCAACGGCGGCAAATCGACTCGATTTCGTTGAGCTTCTTTACACGAAGTGCGAGGCGTACGACGTTGAGCCCACGCTGGATACGGCGGCTGCGTACGGCTTCTGGGATATCGTCAAACTTGTGTACGATCGGTGCAGTCCTCGTTGCGTCAGTAGGGCGTTGCGGACGGCGGCTTCATGCTGCCGATGGGACGTGGTGGAAGTTCTGTGTGAGAGGTGCGAGGAAGGCTGCAGCGACGTTGGAGATGCTTTGAAATACGCGGCAGCAGGCGACGAGCTTGAAATGGTGAAGCTTCTCTACCAAAAGAGTCCGCGGGATGACGTTGACCTCGTGCTGGGCTTTGCCGTGGAGAATGAGCTTTGGGACATGGTGAGGCTCGTGCACGGAGCTTGCAGTACTGACTGTGTTGACGGCGCGTTGAAGAAGGCGGCTGAGCAGTCTCGATGGGATTTGGTCGAAGTATTGTATGTCAACGCCGGAGAGTTTGCTGTTGGGGACGCGCTAGTGAAAGCCGCTGAGACCGATCAGTGGGGTCTAGTGAAGCTCATGCACGGAAAGTGTCGACCTCATGATATTGATCTTGTCCTAAAGAAAGCAGCTTCGAGTGGACAGCGGGACGTCGTTGAGCTTTTGTATGCAAGTGGCGACATTTTTGCCGTTGGAGGTGCGCCAGCAGCTGAAGGCTCGAGCTAAGGTGGACGTGCGATGTTCTGGAGGGCCAGCTAGAGGTGGTCAAGGTTTTGTGGGATAACTGTGGCGAACTTTACGTCATTTCACCCCAAGATATCTTTAAGGCACTTGAAAATGCTGTCCCTCAAGGCCGGCTGGGCATGGTATGCCTTCTATCGCGTGAGATGAGGAGCATGGTGCAAGTAGCTGTGGCTGGCCTCGACGTCATGGCGCTTCTGCGAGCGGCAAGCCATCAACGGAATCTGTGCTCAGCAAGTGACGAGCTGCGTGGCTGAATGTAAGTACTATTCGCCTCGAGTCCCAATCGCTGCTCTTGAACACAGTTTTTAATTGGGCGGAGACGCGTCGACAGCAGGGCCTCCGAAAATAGCATTGTCAATAACATTATTTCAGAAAATAACAATAAATTACGCATTTCGGCGGGTTCAGCCATCTACCGTGATAATTTATTGATGTGCTTTGTGATATTACATAATTTATGACAGTTACCTTTATATAATAATGTTAGCGTTTTACCAGCCATCTTCTCGCTTCCAGTCGTTCAGAAGAACTGGAATCACTGGTTGTCTGTGTTGCTAGTTGTAGCTCATTTGGCAGCGCTCACTCTTCAATTTTCACTTCTCAAGCCTCCAAGACCTCATCCAGCATGGTTCGCGCTATCCGCCCCCCTCGCCCTACCTACACGAACTCCCAAGTCTCGGGGTTTTACTTCCGCCCGTGTCGCGACGAGAACGACGAGGTGATTCTCGAGTATTTCCGTTGCCGTTGCGGCACGGTTCGGAAGCAAACCCATAGGAACGGGTACTCCAACCTGATGCAACATATCAGGCGGGAGCACCCTGACTACGAGACCGTCATGCTCGACGCTACGACGGCGGAGACAGGCTCCCTCGTGAACTTCGTCCGCCACTCGGCGCTCAACCTCCACGGCTGGATGGTTTGGATTGTCATGTGCAACCTGCCACTCTCTTTTTGTGAGAGCCGAGAAGCTCGGCGGTACGTGTATGCATAATGTCATTGTGTTTACATTTCTACGGAAACTAACAACTTTACTTTATGGATGTTATTCAGCTACTCCAGCCTGGACCCCATCTCGGAGGAAACGCTGCGGGCTGGCATGGACGGGGTTGTCGTCGCCGTCGAGCGTTCGATTGCGTCGGAGCTCCCAGCACGCTTCGGCACCATGCTCGACGGGTGGCACACACATCTGAGCACTACATCGCCGTGTTCGCGTGCTATGAGGTGAACGGCTGTCCCAAGACAACGCTACTCAGCATGGCCCCGCTGCTGGACGCGCTGGACGACGATCTCTCCGTGCAGGGCCATCTCGATTTCTAGCGACCATGCTGCAGCGCGATTACGGCGTACAGCTGGCGCAGTGTCGCTTCCTCGTAGCTGACAACTGCGCCGTAAACCGGCGGCTGGCAACTCTTATGAGTGTGCCGCTTGTTGGTTGCGCAAGCCACCGCCTGAACCTTGCTGTTCAGGCGGACATGGCGTCGCATGAGGAGGACCTGGCTGCTGTGCAGGCGCTCATGGTAAAATTGCGTACTCTCACCCAATCTGCCAAACTACGGTAAGCGCCAATGTGTATGTGTGGTGTGTCAATATGTCTCTAACACAATTTGTGTACTTTTGTATTTTTTTTACAAAATAGGTTGAAAACGCCACTTCGGCCTGTCATTCGCCAGGACACGCGCTGGAGCTCTACGTTCGAGATGGTACGGCGCTACCTCCAGCTCCTCGAGTTTCTTGACGCCGAAGACGACGGCCTCATGGACCTGCTGCCGCCGCCGGCGATGAACAAGCGACTGCGGGCATTGTACCAGGAGCTGTGCGACATCGAGTCGGTCTCGAAGGCCCTTCGAAGCCGACGTCGACCTGCTGGACGTTCGCGAGTGGTTCGACGAGCTGATCGCTGTCAAGCCACAATATGGGCGCTACATGGTAAGTTTATAACTGTTGAATTTGTGTTCAATATTTTCACTAACAATTGTATAATGGTTTTTATTTTGCAGGGCCTCGGGCCAACATTGTGCACAACCCAGATTTGAGGCTGGGTGTGTACGCGTTCTCCGCGGGAAGGCGCAGCGGCTGACGCGTGCTGAAAAGGCCGCTTTGCAGCCCTTCGAAGCTGCCAGACCGGACGACGCGGCCGCGAGTGAAGAGGAGGAGGATCCAGCCGCGTCGTTCGTGGAGCGTCTTCGGAAGCGCCGGCGGCTTGCACAGGACCGTGTCAAGTATGAGCAGCTGAAGAGCATCCCACCCACGTCGAACGTGGTGAAACGCTTCTTCAGCATTGCTCGGGTGACGTTTGGTCATCAACGACACGGCCTGCTGCCACGCACGCTTGAGACGATTTTGTTTCTCCGCCAGAATCGGTCGTACTGGGATGCAACGACTGTGGACAATTTGAGCTAGATGATAAGCTAACTGGTGTCTTGTTAATAGACTTCATGCTTTTCATAATGGCATTATTTATTGTGGTACGTTGGGGGCAATGCCATAATGTACTGTTGTATCGGTAGGAGCGTCAGGGGATAATTTATTCTGCAACGACCAACCTACTAAATAAAAATGCCATATTCGGAGGCCCTGGTCGACAGTCGTACAAGTCGCCTCCTTCATTTCAGCTTGTGCTTCGGGTCGCCGTGTTTATTGATTCGGTCCTATCAAAGACGACCTAGCCGATGGGAATGGCTATGGCAGTAACCAACGCGGTAGATGGACTTAACTATACACGACTACAGACGACAGGTGACTTTCGACTACTAATGGACAAAGTTTTTTTTTTACGAAATTTCACTTTCGATTTGACCTCCTACCTCACTCACTCATTCGCGAAATTCATGGCGCCATCGCCGTGGGCGTGTCAAAGGCGCTCCCTCGACACATCCAAGCGCTATCTCACGTCTACGATGCCGTAAATCTGCTCGCCATGCCGTTGACTCTATATGGCATCGCTCGTAGTGGCCGGCTGGGGCTGATTCGTGAGTATTTCGACGTCATTCCAAGTTCTCCTACGGTAATCGCCGCGGCGGCAGCTGAAGGCCATCTGCACGTGGTTCAATGGATTTATAGACAGTTGATCGGCGGTGAGCGATGGTGGGGGGCAGTGGATGCACTCAGGGCGGCCGCTCGCAATGGACGGTTGGGGGTTCTGGAGTGGCTAAGATTCGAATACAAACCGAGTCTTGAGGTCATCAATATGATTGCATATGAGGCTGGTAGAAGTAGAAAATTGCCGGTTGTGCAGTGGATGCTAGATGCGTTCTCTGGTGTGGGGGGAGAGGTAACCCTTGGCGCTGCTCTCGTGGCCGGACAGGATGAAGTGGAGGAGTATTTGACGAGTATTTGGGACGAGGATACTCGCTTGAATGCGTTCGGCACGGCATTGGAGATAAAATCTACGAATAACGACGCTGCTCGGGTGAAAGAGCTAGTACAGCAATGCAGACAGTCTAATGTTCGGCAGGCGCTAGTGTACGCGATAGAAAGCGAGGCTATAATGTTGTCACATTACTCTGGGGCAGTGATCAAGATGTGTCGCTGAGCCTAGCGGACATTGCGGACTTGGATAACGTGTTAGAGAGAACGGTTATCGTCGATCGGCTGGACGTAGCAGCCCTTTACATCGAGGCACACAGGATGCACTCGTCGGACGGTCTTGGGGTGGCACTTGGCGCGGCTGTTGCTCTCAATCTACTCGATTTCGTTCAGCTTCTTTACACCAAGTGCGAGGTGGACGACGTTCGGTCCGCGCTGGATGAAGCTGTCGAGAATGGCTACTGGGACATCGTTAAACTTGTGTACGAGCGGTGCAGCCCTCGTCGCATCAGTTGGGCGTTGCAGCAGGCGGCTTCATGCTGCCGATGGGATGTGGTGCACGTTCTGTATGCGAGCTGCGAAGAAGGTAGCTTCAACATCGGAAGGGCATCGCAACACGCTGTAGCAAGTGGCGAACCAGAAATGGCGAAACTTCTGCGCCAGAAGTGCAAGCAGTATGACGTTGAGTTGGCGCTATATAGTGCAGTGGAAAACGATCGTTGGGAAATGGTGAAGGTCTTGTACGGCGCATGCAGAACTTACTGTGTCAACGCCGCTATGAGGAAGGTAGCGAGTCAATCGCGGTGGGATCTGGTCGAGTTGATGTATGCCAACGCCGGGTAGGGTGCTGTTGCGAACGTGCTGGTTAGAGCCGCTGAGAGCGAGCAGTGGAATCTTGTGAAGCGAATGCGCGAGCTTCGAGCGGGCAATGGGACGTCGTGGAGCTTTTGTGCGCGAATAACGACTTTAGGGCGTTTTAGTACTAAGTTCTAGGGCTCAGCGTTTTGCTAATTTAGCAGTGTATGGTAGAATATCATCAAATCTCCGACCGCACTTAAGATGATAGGTATACAAATCCCCAGTCAAGCGCGGTCGGAGCATAACAGTATTACCCTACCCCTTCCCAAAGTGTTATGCATACACAGTCCAAGATAGATAAGTCGTCCCGTTTGCTCATGGGTCGGAGCCTTGGGATGGATGGCACGGAGCGAGCGTAGCGAGCCCCCGCCTGCGGTTTGACAGTCCGTGTGCGTAGCACGCGGCTGCAAACCCAGGACCCAGCAGTGCTCTACCTAGTAAGCGGAGGCGACGCGTGCGAGCCGCAGCGGGCTTAGGGTTCTGGCCCAGCGAGCGCAGCGAGCCTTTAGGGGTTTTAGGTTCGCGCGTAGCTGGGTGATAGTTAAAGGTGACCACCCTCCTATCCGCATGTTTTGTGTACGAGTCGGAGAAAGTCGGAGGGTCGGAGGTTTTTGGGTATGGAACTCTTCCAAAACTACAAACACGCTGTCACAAATCGCAATTTATGTTCCAAAACTAACCCAAATGCTGTCACAAATCGCAATTTATGTGCCAAACATGTCCTCGGTTGCGTCGTGTTTGCTACAACCGGTGATACCGACCAAAACCATCACATTTGAGTACTAAATCCATGGCTACGCTCACTTATCGTCAGTAACAAACAATGCGTAAGGTGCACGTACAATCAACTTGGGTGGTAGTAAACACTCTGTCTCTTCTGCTGGCTCTGCTGTCCACGGCTTGGGCGCGCTGACGCAGAGCTTGAGATCGCGGGCGTGAACGCTCAGCATGAGTGGTGATTGGGAATTGAACCAAAATAATAGTACGCTTCCTTTGCGCTTGACGCAATTTGTGAAGACGTCAAATTCATCTCCACAAATTACGATGGATTTGCAACAAGAAATACGCCATGTTTATGACCATAGCAAATATCGAGTTTGTGTGGGTTTTGGTGGAGCTCCATGTCAACACATCGGATTGATTAGTCTCCTTTCGATGGAAGCTGCTTGACGCAGATAGACTCAACTGGACGCGACAAGGCCAAAGTTTGTTAGAAAATTCCTCTTTCGTTTTGACACTCATTCGCGAGATTCAAGCCCGATACGGAGCGCACGTTCGTGGCGACCGACAACTTCGACACTGACGGCACGCCCGCGCCCCTCTAGAGGCCTTGTGTGGACGGCATGACCGCGGTCTCTCAGAAGCCGGACATGTACAACGCGCTTTCGGGCCTCGACCAGCCCCACATGGGCAGCCTGTCGTAGTTCTCAGTGAGCCTCGTAGATCGGCGAACGACCGGAGTCCATGCTAGCTTTATCGATTAACGGAGCAATATATCAAACCGTTTGCTTGACATACTGAAACCTAGTCAAAAAATCTCAATATTGACTTATCAAAGTCAATAACGACATAAACGTTCTATACTAAAATCTAGATAAACATGGCAATGTCGACATCTCTGAATCAACCATGACACCTCTATACAAAGAACTATACAAAAATTTCAGTGTTGACGAGCCCGCGAAGCCACGTTGTCGTGGTTGGCCATACAAAATCCAATACGCATAGCCACGTGGCCACAATCACCATTGCTTCGTGATATCACACTGAAATCCACAGATGCACGCTCATTCGGCAGAGTAGCCATATCATCGGAGCACCATTGATGTTCTTGTCGTCACGTAGGTCTAGAGAGACCGAGTAGTAAACTAGTCCAAGATTTTGATAGCGTGTTACCTTCGGTTCGTCATGTTTTGAAATCCACTTCAGCATGAAAGCGGCGCTCTCTAGTTCGTCTACCCGCCTCCAACGCATCCATCTACTTACGTTGGAGCTACGAATTTGGAAGGCGTCAAAGTTGCATTTGGCGTGGAGCTACCCAAGCGAGCAAGATATCGTGCTGGCAAACATTAAGAGTTACAGTAGCCTGCCATCGAGCAGCGGAAGCATGAATCAACGCGCTGTGCAGGAATGACAGAGGTGAATCGATGTACACCATATTTCAAGCCGCATCACGGACTCAGTGGCTTCCTCACGTGCAGTACGTCTTCTTCGTAATCGAACGGTCTTGTACGGCCACGGCTTCACCCGCAGGATACAATAACACTCTAGATACTGAACGGATTGCTTATTGACTAGGATTCTGGGCATTATCTCTCTCACGCTGACAGATTATCATGGCAGGCTTGCTGCCTCAGCGTCCGCATGCTCGCGAGGGACTGTCCCCGCCGCTGCCACACAGGGTCATCCCGAGCAGATTAAAATACGATGATACCAAATGTGAGTCTATCAAGTACTCTGCTCACGCATCACAACATTCTGGTTTGGATTCTCTACAGATGGAGATATCTCGAATTTTAGGGAAAAATAGGCCAACGTTTTTTCCAGTTGAGTCTTGAACCAGCTCAGTATTACGCACATAGCCGACATTGGATTAGATAACTTTGACCAATGAGATTGAAACCTAATGGAACACAAAGGGTCGCTGGGGACCTCGCTTACCCTACCCCACAAGTATACAAATTTCTATATTAATCTTATCCCTGCAAAATCGGGATAAGAGCGGTCGCCGGTGGGTTAACCTTGCTCAATCAAACTCAGTTGACATTTTACCAGCAAAACAAGTGGCCTTAACCACACGTGACAGATAGCGGCAACTGAGGGTATGAGCTACTTAGGACATGTCCTGGTTCGAGCTGCTGCCGAGAAGCAGCTAGACGTGGTCAAGATTTTGTCGGATAAATGTGACCCGCATTTCCTGGGAGATGCACTGAGCAAAGCTACTTCAGACGTCGAAGGCTTTTTGGTGGAGACTTGTGGTGCCTCTTACGTTCGGAAAGCACGGAAGCTTGCTCGTCTCAAGGAGTTTGTGGAGGACGAAGTGGCGCGGTTGATTGCCAGCGGCCTCCCAGCTTTGTGTGCGAGGGTATGGGGGATTCGCGCCTAATGATGGCGGTGGAAAGAGCGCTAGGGCGTGGTCTGTGGAGCTTGACCGATTTCATGAAGGGCTATTGCAAGCCGCCAGATCTCGCGATGGCAATTGAGAATGCAGTAGCTCAAGGCCGGCTAGGCATGGCAAGCATTCTATCGCTTGATATGAGAAGCATGGTGCAAATAGCTGTGGCTCACGGTGGCCTCGACATTGCGAAGCTGCTGAGGGCGGCAAGCCGTCAACCGAATCTGTGCTCAGCAAATGAATACGATTTAAGAAGCTATAACCTACCTACGTAAAGTCCCAAATTGCTACATTCAATAACGTGGCGTCTACAGTCAGTTCATTGCAGTTTGAGCTTTAGGTATAGCCGAGGATACCGGTGATTCGTTCTTCCAGTCAACGATACAACCGTGTGTAAAACAATTTTACTAAAAAAAATGACGAATGAAATGAACCCCTGTCGCGGCACTGGAACTCCTGAGTGCCCCCCCCCCCCACCGGGTGGGGGGGGGGGGGGGGGGCAGTGCAAGAAATTGTTCAAGCTTTCGATTTGCGGTTTGGAGCTCATTCGCTGATTCACGACGCGACCCAGACTATGGCGTCGCCGCACTACCTGCAGGGCGTCTCAAAGGCGCTCTCTGAGCGCGTCCAGGCGTTGCCGCACGAGTGCAATGCCGTGAATCTGTTCGCCATGCCGTCGACTCTCGACCCCATCGCTCGCAGCGGGCAACTGCAGCTGTTTCGCGAGTATTTCGATGTTATTCCGCGTACTTCGAAAGCAATCGCCGGCGCGGCAGCTGAGGGCCACCTGCATGTTGTTCAGTGGATTTATACTCAGTTAAGTGGTGACAAGATGAAGCAGTCGGCGTGGGCAGTGGAGGCATTTAAAGGAGCAGCTCGCGGCGGACAGTTGGCGGTTCTTGAGTGGCTAAAATCCGAGTTCGAGCCGAGTTTCGAGGACACCGAAGACGCAGCAGTTGAGGCTGCTACTCATGGACAATTGGTTGTTGTGCAGTGGCTGATGGAAGAGTACGACGGTGCAGGGGATGCGGGAGCCCTTACTGCTGCTGTTATGGCTGACCAGCGCGACGTGGAGGAGTACTTGATAAGCATCTGCGACGACGAGACTTGTTTGGACGCCTTGGGCGCAGCGTTGATAGCCAAGGCTGTGGAAAATGACACGGACCGACTGGAAGAATTATCCGAGAGATGTAGCGAGTTGGACGTTCAAGAGGCACTGGAGGACGCCATCGAATGTGACGCCTACGAAGTCGTGGAAGTACTTTGGCGTAGTTATCATCAAGGTGGACAGGTGGACGGGTATGCGATCGGGCTTTCTGTGCTTAGTGACGCATTAACGAGAACGGTCATCAACGATCGAGTGGATGTTGCTGCGATTTCCATCGAGGCAGACTGCATGAACTTGTCCTTCGGTGTTGGGGACGCACTGAAAGTGGCTGCTGCGACCAATCGACTCGACTTTGTTCGACTTCTTCTCACCAAGTGCATGCCGCACGACGTTGGGTCCGTGCTGGTTGCAGCGGTTGATCATGGGCACTGTGACATCGTGCATATCGTGTACGAGAGGTGCGACCAATACGCCGTTGGATCTGCTTTGGAGAAGGCGGCTTCGAGTTACCGATGGGATATCGTCGAGACTCTGTACGAGGGGTGCGAAGAAGGATGCCGCCATGTCAGAGACGCATTGGAACACGCTGTTGCTAGCGGCGAGCTTGAAATGGCGAAGCTTCTGCACCGGAAGTGCACGCAGTATGATATTGAGAACGCGCTGTATGCTGCGATGGGCCACAACCGCTGGTGTGGAGCTCTTACCATCGGACGCGCTCTGGAGAAGGCAGCGAGCCAAGCTCGATGGGAATTGGTCGAGTTAATGTATGACAATGGTGCGGGGCTGGGCGGTTATGCTGTTGGAGATGTCCTCGCTGAGGCTGCTTCAATTGGCCGCTGGGATGTCGTACAGTATCTTCAGGACAAAGCAAAAGGCTACGGTGTCAGTCGCGCGCTCAGCAAAGCTGTTGCTGGTGAGGAACTTAGCACCGTGGAGCTTCTGTGCGTTAAATGCAATCTCCTTGACGTAGCGGTCACTATGGATGAAGCTGCGATGGATAGTCGGTGGTGCGTGGTTCAAGTGTTGGCCAAATTGTACGTGGAAAAGATAGCGGCGACGACGGGCAAGGTCTACTTAATAGAACGAGTCCTGGAGCGTGCTGCAGCGGAGGGTCAGCTAGGCATTGTCAAACTTTTGTACGACAAGTGTGATGACTCCTCTTGCTACGTCGGCGTTCGAGCTACTCCAGAGGTTAGAGAGTTTCTGGCTGCGAATTGTGGTGGCTTGTGCGCCAGGGAATCACAACCGGTCGAAGCTCCATTTTACGTGGATGACTTATCTTCTTACCAGTCAAAAGTTGCATTTTCCTGAGGTGAAAAGGCTGGCTTCATTGCCTTCGCAAATGCCTGCTTCCGTGCACCGCAGTCCGACGCCTCGTAGATGTCCACTGCGGTTTGCAGTTGCTCCCTGTACAACACACAACGCGTTATGAATGCAACCGTGGCTCACTTCCCTCACCAACACAAACGTTCCACGAACCGAAGCGCCTTCACTCGCTCCTCACTTGGCGGGTGCGTCGAGAAGTACTTGAACTGCGAGCCTTTGTCCAGCTGGCCCAGCAACGTGTTCATCTGAATGCTGGCGCGAGGGTCGTAGCACGCCTGCGCCATAAGTCGCAGCCCAATCGAGTCGGCCTCCAGCTCCAACTTGCGCGAAAACGGCAGGTCCACAGCCAGCTTCACCATCTACAAGCAGCAACCACAATCACAATAGGTTATCAGTATAACCGCCACCTTCTCAAAGCTTAGTTATCCATACCAGATCGCTAATCTGGCCGTAGTCCGGGAACAGCAGCGCCAGAAGTCCATACACCAGCAAGCTGAAGGAGATTTTCTCGGCGCCATGACCTACAATAAATAGCAACAAAACATCGTTAAACAGACCGTCCGTGGCTAGTCTTCACTATCTAGTATAGCAACTTACGGGCCACGCCGTGTGCAGCTTCGTGGAACATGACGGCGGCCAGCGCGTCCTCGTCGCGCAGCACCTTGAAGAGCCCCGAGTGCACAAACACCTTGCCCCCAGGCAGGCAGAAGGCGTTGGGCTCCTTGGCCTCGATCACATGGAACGTCCACTTCATGAAGGGCGCGTCCGACTCGCTCGCGATCTTGTGGCCGACGCGCGCCACCGCCCGCGACATCTGCAACAGCGACAGAGCAACTTCAAGTGAGCCACTTCATCTCCATCTCAATAATAGTCGGGAGCCTTAAACTCTCGCACCGGGTGCGACGGCGGCAGCAGGCGGGAGCTGCTCAGTATCTCTCGGTACGCCTGCTCGCCCAGCCGCTCCTCGTGCTCCGGCGACAGGAACATGACGCGGCGGCGGCCGTTGAGCGGCATCGTCTCCACATGGCTCTCCACGTACACTACAGTTCCAGCATAGTCATTGTTAGAGCGCAGCTCCAGCCCTATACAATATTGCAGTCAACACGCACATCCTCCCAGCGCGGCCGAGCCCACCACCACCGCCTTCAAATAGGGCGGCATGCGCCTCCAGTCCTCTCGCCAGCGGCGACCTCTTCCTCCGCTGCGCATCCGATGCATACTCGTTGCAAAGTGAAGTGGTCGGCAGTTGATACGCATGTTTCATTGGTCGAAAACACGGCTTATCTTCCACCCAATCAAAACGATTCTAGGTTTATCCATCAATCAGCGAACACACTTCACCAAGAGATCCGTCCGTCCGTCAGTATGTGGCAGCGTCTCCACCTCGCGCGGCGGCCCGCGGCGGCTCTGCTGGGCGCGCGGCCACTGGCCCAGCGTCGCTCGGCCGTGCACCCCCCGCTGACGCGCCTGCTGACGTCGGCCGCGTCCGGCCCGGCCGACTGCAGCCGCCGCATCCTGTGCGTAGACGTGCCCGAGCACGTGGCCGAGGCCTCGTGCGTGCAGGAGCTCGTGCAGCGCGGCCACGTTGTGGACCAAGTGCGCGCAGCCTCAGACGAGTACCTGACGTCTGTGGTGAAGGACTACGACGCGCTCATGGTCGCGCCCGGCACCAAGCTGCCGCGCGAGCTGCTGCGCGTGGGCGCCAAGAACAAGCTGCAGCTCGTGGCCGTGCCCGCGGCCGCCATCCCGAGCGAGGACATTGACCTCATGGAGGCCACCAACCAGGGAGTGATGCTGCTGCAGCTCGAGCCCAAGCAGGTGGGCGACCGCTCGTCCGTGGAGGCCGAGATCGGCCTCAGTCTGCTCATCCAGTTGGCCCGTCACCTGCCGCGCAGCGTGGCCTCCATGCGCTCCGGCGAGCCATTCGACCGCCAGCAGTTCGTCGGCACGGAGCTCGCGGGCAAGAATTTAGGCATTGTGGGCATCGGCCAGGCGGGCCGCCGCGTTGTGGATATGGCCCACGCGCTGGGCCTCAAGGTCTTCGGCTTCGACCCCAACCTGAACCAGGAGGCGGCCGAGCTCATGGGCGTCAAGAGCGTCACCATGGACGAGCTGTACGAGAACTGCGACTTCATCACGTTCCACGCGCCGTTGACGGCCCGCACGCGCGGCATGTTCGGAGACGCGGCCCTGGAGAAATGCAAGCCCGGAGTCAAGATCGTGTCGGTCGCCGAGTACAAGGGAAGCCACGGCCTGCTGGACGAGAACACGCTGATGCGCGGCCTCGAGTCGGGCAAGATCAGCGGCGTCGCGCTGGACTTGCTGCAGTCCGCGGGCTCCAAGGACGGACGGGACTTGTCGCCCAAGTGGCTCGAGCTCATGAAGCACGAGAATGTCATCGCGCGCACCCACGCGGACGGCGCGGCGTCCGACGACGTGCTGCAGGGCCGTAAGTACCGCCTTCTGGCCGAAAACGTCGGTGACGCTCTGGCTCAGCGCTACTACCGTGGCGTCGCCAACGGCGTGTTCATGCCGCTGACGCTGCTGCCGGAGATGAAGCCGTTCCTGGAGCTGAGCGAGTCGCTCGGCCGCTTCGTGCACCAGCTGACGCTGTCGGCGGACCCCAAGGACCACATCACGAACATCTCGTTGGCTGCTACTGGTGGCTTCCAGATTGACATCACCACGCCGCAAGCCCGCCAGGTGCTTCAGAACGCGCTGCTCAAGGGAATGCTCGAGAGCATGCGCGAGCACAAGCAAAATGCTGAGGACGAGGACCAGCCTGATGTCAGCCTTCTGAATGCCTCGCTGCTCGCTATGGCCAAGGGAATCGATGTGCGTCAGGGAGACTTGCAGACCGACCCGGCCGCTGTCCGCCGCCACCTCAAGAACTGTTTGGCCGTGGTGGTGGAGGCCAAGAACAAGGACCGCCTCCTTGTGAAGGGCAGCGTCTTTGGCGAGGACCCGCGTGTCGTGCGCGTGAACGAGTACTCGGACTTCCCGGCTTTCCGCCCCAAGGGCAACCTGCTGGTGTTCAACAACGAGGACGTGCCCGGTGCTATCGCCGGTATCCTCAGCGAGCTGTCGGAGGCGAAGATCAACATCGCCAACTTTGGCCTTGCCCGTCAGAACAACGTGGAGCTTCCGCTTGGCATTCTCACTCTGGACTCGGTGCCTTCCGACGAAACACTCAACGCGCTCAAGGAACTGCCCAGCGTTCGCAGCGTGCGTTTTGCGCAGGTGTAAACTCGCTAGCATTTGTGCTGTGAGAGATGGCAATGGCTGGTGATGCTGGAGTATAGACCAACATAGTCGGAAGGCTCGGAAAAAGACAACAAACAGTAGCGACGCAGCAGCTATCGTCTGCTCTCTTTTATCAATTCAACAGAGAGCCACGAAGCTCCAGCACCACCAGCGAGTGCAGTTTCTTGCGCTCAAGGCGCAGCACAAAAGAAAAGAATACAAACATGAACCAGTGCCGTACAGCGTCAGAGAATATAGCAGCCACATCAATCCTCTCACGGGGATTAGGAGATCACGAGGGGCTGCACCATCGACTGCGATCGTCGTCTCTCCTTCTTCTCAAGAGAAGCTGCGTACAACTGCTTCTTGTCTGTCGAGGTCTGCAGGAAGCGCTTCATGGTGCTGTACAGGAAGGGGCTCATGGACTCCTTCTCATGCTGCGTCATTAGATATCGGGTGTTAGTCGTGCACTTAGTACTCGGCTCATCCAGCCAACAACGAGACGGAAACAACTTACCTCATAGCAGTACATCATTACAGACATCGAGGCCGAGAAGAGAGCAATCTCACCGTACTTGAAGCCGGAACAGATCCCGCGGTCGTGCAGGATCATCGCCAAGCTGTCGAGTGCGCGTGGCAACACGTACAGCGCCAACTCTGAACACACAAAATCCCTATCAATCCCACATCCGAAAGAGCCAATTCAAACCTCAAGCACTCGTACCAGAGCGTCGACTTTTGGGTTCCAGGAGAATGGTCGTCGAGGCTCCAAGTCCGGCCAGATAATAGATGAAGCGATGGTCTTTACTGACCACGCGGCGGTGCAAGCAGATGAGGGACAAATACAGCGACACGAAGGACGCGAGGAAGCAGTTGGACCTCGTAGCATTCAGTATCGAGCGCGCAAGCGTTCGGAATGGCGAGCGCAGGAAGCGCTTGAAGTGGATGACCACGCCCGGCACGATGAAGAGCGACAGGTAGAGCGGGAAGGTCTTCTGGAAGGCGCGCTTGAAGCACAGCACCGACCCCACCACGCACGAGTCGGCGTTTGAATGCACAAGCCTGCAAGGCACAATGTCCGTGGGCAGCGGGAAATCCCTCGGGATTCCTGGCTTCCGGTCCAGCAGCTTCTGAAGGACAGCAGCGCTCGCTGGACCTCCGCGATTGACCTGCTGCACAAGCTTCAACGTCTCCAGCTCCACTGGGCCAGTCTGCACAATGAACCTGTAGTACTCCGGAGGTAGCGTCGTTGGTCTCATGACGTACGCGTACATGACCTGCGCGCTCGAGAGCGCAAACAGCAGCGCGTCTCCGAATCGCCAGTCGCTTCCCCAGAAGTGCCAGCGGCCCAGCCTCTTGGCCGTGTTGTATCCGCACTGCAGCGCTCTCGTGAGGGCATAAAGCGCTAGTGACCGACGTCTTTTAGCGTCCACAAAGCCCAGTGCAATGGCCGCGATAGCTCCTGAGCCTAGCGCCGAGATCTCCTTGAGCTTCTTGTCGTCCTGCAGCTGCTTCTTTGGTAGAACGCGCCGTAGAATGACCGGTAGTAGCGCTCTAAGCCCCCTATAACCCCCTGTGAACCAGCCCAGGAAGAGGCCGAGCCTCACGGCGTCCACGCGGAAGGCCAAGTGCTTCTCGTCCAGCAGCTGGCGCAGATCCGTCGCCGCCCTCCAGTCGCGGCGCTGCAGCAGCTTGAGCAGCCGCAATAACGCCGCGATACCCGCGCGCGTGTTGTAGGCCAGCAGGAAGTTGCTGGTGCCCAGGCGCAGCGCCTCCAGCAGCTCCTGGGCCAGCGTCTCGCCCTCGTCGCCGGCCTGTTGCTCGCTCACGAGCGTCCGCACAGCCAGCTGCTCGTCCTCAACGGCCACTGCGTCCTCTTCGCCCTCGTCGTCCGAGCGGCTGAAGAGGCTGATGTCCGACGCCGTCACGTGCATGTTGGAGGCCGTGGACGGCACGCGCGGCGGCAGCGTGGACGGGAAGGACGGCGCCATGTTCACCCGAGCCTCCGATGGACGATCGCAATGAGGATTTGAGCTGTTTACTGAACAGTTGTTTGGTCCGACTAAAAAAGCTGAGCCATTTCGTCATGTTTGTGTCGGCGTGACGCCACTTCACTTCAACTTGGCCATATCTGTCTGCAGGTATCTGATGTTGGTTGGTTTGGTTCACCCAGGAGTTGAATTACAATTACCTACTGCTACGAGCAAGCACAAAGCCTACACTACCAAAGACGCCGGCGGACGGAGGGGATGGTTGACCCGAAATGCTGGAGAGTGAGTGCACCTAGCCATGCCTTCCGCTCCGAGACGCGCGCGACGCCGCTTGATCTCTACCATCTACAAGGTCTCGACGAAGGTCATGAGGTCCGCGCTGTCGCCGCCCGAAGCGCCACCGGAGCCTGATGTGCCCTGGGCGCCGGTGCCGTCGTCCCAATCGAGCAGATCCATGCCTCCGAAGCTGGTGGGCGACAGCGCGCTGGAGAAGTCCATGAGCCCCGACGAGGTCCCGGAGGGCGTCGGCATCTGCAGCAAGTCGGTGCCCATGCTGCCGTAGAGCGAGTCGTCCAGAGTCAAGCCCAGACCGGAGCCGATTGACGGGCTCTCTCCTCGTGACGTCGGAGGCTGTTGAGACTGTTGTGGCTGAGGCTGTGGCTGAGGCTGCTGGGGCTTCTGAGGCTGTGGCGGTGGCCGCTGCTGCTGTGCGGGATTCTGCTGGCCTTGCTGCGGTCGCGAGGGTATCTGCTGCCCCATTTGCTGCTGCGTCTGCTGGCCGCTCTGCTGGTTCGCCGCGTTCTGACTATTCTGTTGCTGCTGATTCATTTGACTTGCCTGCTGCGCCGAAAACTGTTGCTGCTGTTGCTGGGGCTTCTGCTGCATCTGCTGTTGGCGCATCATTTGTTGCTGCTGCATCATTTGCTGCTGCCGCTGCATTTGCTGCTGTTGTTGTTGCTGCTGCTGCATTTGCTGAGCCCGCTGCTGCATCATATACTGCTGCTGTTTCTGTTGCGGGGTCTGCTGCATCGACGCCGACGTATTTACTGCGCCTTGCTGCTGGTTCTGGCCGGCCACTTGCGGCTGCGTCATAGCAGCGCTAAAGCCACTCGACGTTCCGGTCGGCATTGTGGAGGATCCCACGCTCGACGGCGGCCCCGAAGACGTCGGGCCAGCAGAAGTCGACGGAGGACCGACACCGCCACTGCTCCCATCAGGAGCCGGGTAACTCCGCTTGTCAGTCTCCGTGCGCAGCTTCTTCAGGTACGGGTTCACGATCTTTACAATGTACTTGAAGACCTTGTCGAGCTCCTCGATCTTGCGCGCCGGGTGCGTGGCCTTGTCCTCGCTCAAGATGTTGGCGCAGAGCTCCACGTAACTGAGCAGGTACCGCAGCTTCTTCTTCTGCTCCGTCTCGTCGTGGCCCTCCATGTGATCCACGTACTTCTTGAAGGCGCTGTGCACCTTCTCCACGTCGCCCTGGTGCTTGGCCCGCAGCGCCGCGTGCTGCTGCCAGTACTCGGCCGCCGAGTTGGTAGATGCACTCGCCTCAGTCTTCACTGGCGTCGACACGGCCGACGTGGGTCTACTCTGTTGCTGCTGCTGCTGTTGCTGCTGTTGCTGCTGTTGTTGCTGAGCTCCTGGGTGCGGCCCGGGTCCGCTGAACTGGCCGTGGCCGGGGTAGCTGCTCACCTGTCCGCTGGCGCCGCGCTGGCCCAGGTTGAGCGTGTTGTAGTAGGAGAAGTCCAGCCTCGAGAGCATGCCCTGGTTGGGCAGCGCCTGCGCCGCCATGGCCGCGTTCATGTCCGACTGCTGCGCGCGCAGCGACTTGAGGCGCGTGAAGATCTTGTTGATGTAGACCTCCTGCGTGGGCGACTCCTTGTAGAGCGACAGCTCGTACCACGACACGTTCATCCAGAGCTTGATGCCGGGCACGGGGTCCGCCGACACGCGCACCATCTCGTTGTAGATCTTGGCGATGAGGTTGGCGCGGTGCTCGCGCGTGAGCTGGATGCGCCAGTCGGCGCCCTGCTGCTGCGTCGGCTGAGACTGCGCCATCTGGTTCATGGCCATCGAGTTCATGGGCATCTGCTGCTGCGTCGGCTGAGGCTGGGCCATGGGCTGCATGTTCATCATCATCTGCTGCTGCGGGTACATGCCGTTCATGCCCATGGCCATGGCGGCCTGCGGGTTCTGCTGCATGGCCATGGAGTTCATGGGCATCGACATGCCGCCGCCCTGCTGCATGCCCATCGCGTGCGGGTCCATCGCTTCGGCTCCCCTGCCTGCCACGCGCCGCTGAGCTGAGCTGAGCTGAGAGAGGACCTGCGTGCCGAGTCGCTCTTTCGCGAATGTGAGTCGGAGGGAAGTGAGCGCCGCGCTGCACTTGGTTTCACTATGGTCTGACTTGCAGCACTGGACACTTGAAGAGAACGTTCGGCGATGTTTGTTCGCGCGCTGCGATTGGAGGAAAAGACAAGATATTTTCGTCCAATCGACAGATGGCTAACAGTTGAAGTGGCTGTGAGTCAAAAGATACGCCCTGAATTAACAGGCAAAGTTAGGCTATTTCAGCAGCAAAACTGCAACATGCAACATGTAAAACGTAAGCCATCCACCTCCTCCCTCTCAGAAGCGCGTGGACGCCAGGTCGGGCCGCGCGCGGTTGCACACCTCGCAGTAGAAGTTGGCCATCGAGTTGAAGAACGTGCAGCCGCCCTGCTCGCCGGCGCAGACCCACTTGCCGCGGGGCACGCCGCGCTGGCCGTCCATGTCGAGCTCGCAGATGGCGCAGCACACGTCGTCGGGCTGGTTGATGAAGGTGCAGTTGCCGCAGCGCCATCCCTGTTGCTGCTGCTGACTTTGCAGTGTCTCGTCCTGTTGCTTCGGGTTCGGCTCGTTGCAGGCTCCGCACGCGTCTGCAGTGCCGTCGTTCACGTACGTGCACACGGCGCAAGCCCAAGACGCCTCAGCTCCTAGCCCCGCAGCTGCCCGCGCACTCTCTTGGTCGTCACGCAGAAGCGCGCTCTTCATCTCGTCGCGGGAGATGCCGAAGGCCGCGCAGATCGTCTCCATCGGAATGCCCTGCTCGTGGCCCTTCTCGCCGTCCGTGAAGCGCGCGTCCGCGATGAGGCCGATGATCTCGTTCAGCTCCTTGGACGAGAAGCCGAGCTGGAAGCTCTCGAAGCACTTGTGGACCTCTTCGGCGCTCAGTCGACTGTCTTCGTCTTCGTCAAAGCGCCGCAGCGCCACCGCCAGGTGGAGCGCAGCCATCGTCGGCTTGGGGTCCTTGCCCTTCTCCTTCTTCTTCTGGTACTGTCGCTGCTTCCGCAACAGACTCTGCTGGAATTGCTGGAGACGCGCTCGCGCGGTGAGCAGGTGCCACTCGCTCTGCGCGGTGAACACCTTGGCCAGCGGCGTGTCGCCCCACAGATGACGCTCACGGCGTCGCAGGCGAAGCAGACACTCGAAGAACTCGTGGCGCAGTGAGATGGGGACAGTGGCCAGACCCTCCAGCAGCAGCTCAAGCTCCTGCGGGAAGTAGTACATTTCGTTGTTGAAAAAGCGCAGACACTGCACGCTAACGGCGATCGTCCGCTCACGCGGCGCCATCTCACTCAGCGTAGTCACGGTAGATTTTGGCGCCCATGCCGAGAAGAAAGATGAGCTCTCGACGAGTTCACCCTCGCTGGTACGCAACTGCACTTGGCTGACCTGGAACACAGGGTGCTTCTTGTGGATCATGCGACGGATCGTCTCGCCTTCAGCAAGCGACAGCGTTGCCAGATACACGGGAATCTTGCTCGTCGTGACTGCCACGGCATCTTTCACTGCAGTAGAGACCGCATCGGGACTCGTCGTAGTCATCTCAGCTGCTGCCTGAAGGGCCTTCACCGCGATTTCGTTTGCACTGCCACCACCTTCAGCAGTCATGATGGCCATGAAGAGCTGCTGGACAACCGTCTTCATGGCTTCTTGGTGGAGTAGTGGAGACCACTCGAGAATTAGCCCAACGTTCTTAACGCGCCGCTCGCCAAGACCCACCCAACGGCGTCTGAAAAAGTTTCCAGACATAAGCAACTCCGATGGGAACGCAATCTTCGGACACTCTGCATGAGCTTGGAACTGTGAGAACGGGTAGAACACGTTTGCCTCTTCTTCCTGCTGCAGTTCCACAGCAGTCTTCATCTCTTCGTCGCCATCGGATGTAGCAGCTCCAGCAGGTGGCTGGGCTAGAACGGTCGCACTCCACGGAATCGGATGCTCGTCATCACGCGTGAAAGCACTCATCTTCTGCTCCTCTTGCTCCGCCTCCTCTTCAGCTTCTTCCTCAGCTTCAGCCTCGTTCTCGTGAACAACCTCAGCCGTGAGGCGCAGATCGCCTTGCTCTGAACCGTCCTCCGCTAGCATTTGTTGCTGACTTCCCGATGAGTGCGCCAATCGTTGCTTTACAGCAGTCACGCGCGTAGTTTCTTCGTTCGTCTTCAGGAAGTCTTCGTGGCTTTCAACTAACTTCCCGATAACATCGGACAGTTGCTTCTTTGTTGGTACGACTGCGTCCACGTTGTAGGAGATCTCCACACGGAATATTGAGATGCATTTGCGTAGCCAAGCCTTGGCGCTGTCATCCTCACGGCCAATAAATCGGCGCAGCCTTGATGACAACGAGGCTTCCTTCGCTGTAGCTGCAGCAATTTCGTTTAGTAACGAGTGAAGTGCACGCCTGCGCCAGGTATTGTGCAGTTCTTGCAACGATAGCTGGACAAGCTGCATTGACTCCATTCGCATCGAGTTAATGAGAAGCCACGCTGGCACCAGCAGCAGAAACTCATCCAAACGTTGCTGCGCTGAAGCCTGTGTGCTCAACTCGACGTGCGCAAGCTTCATCTCGTGGCGGATGCGGTTCTCAACTTCTGGAATGAGGAAGAGGCAAATTGACTGGCCTGTAGCGATTCCGCGCATGCGGTAGGCCCCCTGAGCGTAATCGCGGAATGTCATATCCTTGCCAAGCGTGACAACAGCTCGCGCGTTAACGCATTGTTTGATGTCCATGCCAGTCGTGTGAACTTGATCATAGAATGTAAACCTCTTGCTTGGGCTCAGGCCACACTGTACCAACGGCATGGGGGCGTTGTGGTCACGCAGCAGGATCATTTGTCGATCGTCCTCATCCAAATACACCACTCCTTCCATTTCAGGTGGTAGCTCCGCCAGCAGAAAAGCAGCTACCTCTTGGTTGTCAAAGCCGGTGATCAGTGCACCCGTGTCAATGAGCGCGTGCACTGGGGGCTGGGCATGCGCAATATCCAAGAGTAAGCTCCTTGCAGTCCACTCGACCTTGCGCTCGATCGACACAATGCGTTTGTTGGTCAATGCTTCAAAAATGCTGCCGTCGCTGCGCGGTTCGTAATAGCATTCTCCCAGGTCCATCGGTAACAAGTTCGACGGCGTTCCCGAAAAACCAATGCGCTTAGCGAACAGAGAGTTACTGCCGAGTTCGTGACCACACGCCGAAATCTTAAGCTTCTGGAAATTCATGCATGACGGGAAGACGTGTTGCCGGACATAGTAGTAAACCACACCAGCAAGCTTGGCTACGAGGAAGTGCAGCCGCGCTACCTGGGCCGAGTCACGAAGCTGGAACAGAGGCAGAGGAAGAACACCACCAGACGCCTCCTGCTTGTCCGACGACAGCGCAGCTAGACCAGTACGGACCCACTCCCTGAACATGGCACAAGCTGGACGCTGGTCACGTGGTCCCAGCTGACGACTGAAGTCTTGCTTTAGTTGCGATACGATACGCACGAGGTCGGAAACACGAATACCCTCGTAGCGATAGGCCAAAATGGTCAGTCCGATCAACACGTCAGGGTGTGCAAATTCTGAAGATCGACTTGGCACATCTTTTCCGATGAATGGCACGGCCAGCATCAGCCGAGAATGGGCGTTGCCACCACTATTCCCTGACGCAGCAGCCGCTTGGTGTTCTCCTCTTAGGAGTCCATAGGACACACGATTGATCTTAGAAAGCACGTGAGGAAGGATTGTCCGCAACCAATCGCGCGCAAGGTTGAGCAGCTTGATAGATGATTCAGACAGCCCGTTCTCAATATTAGCACGTAGTGCAGCATCCGTATGAAGCTCGGTGCGAGGGCATTCCAAATAGTACTTTATCCGATCAACGGATACCTCTATCTTCCCCATACGGAACAACTTCATCAACCATTCAATTGCGATTTCCGAAAGCAGCGGTAGCATGCGTGTCTCGTAAAATTCCATGTCCAGCAGCACCAGGTGCGGGAAGCGCTGTAGCGTGTGAGCAGCATATCCCTCGTCCAAAACAGCGTGCAGCCGTGGAATCAGCCCATAAGGGTCGGTAGACGTGTCTGGTGATGCAAGAACAGCGTCAATCAAATAAATGGGCAATTCCCAGCGGTTCGCAGCAAGGTCAATAGGGAACTTGTTGCCGATCGGGAAGTTGAGCTCTGAACGCAGCGGGTGCAACAAAACGTCCACCTCATCCATGATCAAGATGCCACTCTGCCAGAGTCTGAGCGTCTTGTGTAGTTCGTCTGCCATTTCCGAGCGGTCCTCAAGCACGCGCCTCAAACGCCTGATATTTTGTGAAGCTGAAGTCAGCGGGAGCTCGATGATATCAGAAGACTCGTCCAGAGAATGCAACAGCTCGACGAGTTTCAACATCATCGATTTAATCGACTCAGGAGACGCGCATACCACATCGCCGTGACGCCGAGCGCGGTCCAGCTTTGTATACATCTGCAATGCAGCCGCCGGATCGTCACTTATTGCACGGTCAAACTCGAACGTGAAGATACGCTTGCGCAACACGCGATTACTGAAGCGGCTTCGAAGCACCTGCCGAGACTGCTCCAGAAGTGCTGTTGGCATAACATGAGTCACGAGATGCTCCTTGTCGGCGAGAATGTACGTTAGCAAAGGCCCCACCACCGTCGTTTTACCAGCTCCCATGATCATTTGCTGAACTCGGGAATTTCCCTTCTCCAGACTCGTCAAAAAGCTGTCGATCATCTGAACTTGTCGGCCACGCAACAAGATGTCGAACACATACTCAAACACCAAGAACCGAGGGTCAAACTTCCACCCCGTTGAACCACCCTCAGTTGGGCCACGAAGGTAGTATCGCTTCGATAGTAGCATGTCGGCCAAGTCTCGAGATGCCTGACGCGTCATCTTCACTCTGCTACTCTTGTCATCTGCGCTTTGAGAACTAGCAAGCCCATTCAAATGCTTGACAAGAGCACGCGCTGCCTGAACAGTTCGATTAATATGAACTATCCGACTGCAGAGGAAGAGCACAAGCAGAATTTTCTCCACAAGATCCGCTGTCACGTTCACCACAAACGGGTTTCTGGTCTTTAGATCCGCCTCAAAGCGATCTGATGCCAGAAGAGATGTGAGGAAGTCAAAGGACACTCGAGGGTATAAACCAACGTGCCGCTGCATCACAAAGCGGTCGGCTGCGACAGCCTTTTCTGCATCTCCATGAATGTCACCGCGGATCTCGTTTAGCAGCATCTCAAGCATCGCAATCCCTTTTTCAACCATCTTACGATCACTTGTTCTCATCTTTTCACACAGGAGAATCAACATCTTGAGACTTTCGACAGCCGAGCTGGGTGAATTATCTTCGATGGGCGAGGATAAATTCATCGGCGTCACGCCCGTGATATAAGCATCCTTGCTTCCGTTTACAGCTTGCGCGTTGATCGCAATGTCGTCTCCAAGTCTCTTGAGCAAATCTTTTGCTGCTGCAGTTTGTGCTACCGGGTGCTTGGAGAGGTCGAAGGGTAGAGCTACCCCCACTTCCGCTTCTGGATCACAGAAGGTAATGAAACGTTTAACGTCAATCGCTTCCAGCGGGAATTCAGGATTAATGGGGCTGCTCTTGGCGCCCACAAAAAGCCGGTCACCACAGGATGCGTTTGAAGCATCGAAGTTTTTCGACTCGTCCGTGGGGGCGATCGATATCTTAAACACATGCTCGGCAGTCTGGTGCAACTGGCCAAACTGCGTCTTGATTGGGGCGATTACGCGGGTCTGGTGGTCCTCCGACTCCAGCTTAGATTGAAATTCCATCTCACCGAAGTCGAAAAAGTGTTTTAGCATTGTCCCCACAGTCATCTTCGAATACAAATTTGCACCACGAGAAAGCATGTGTACACTTTCTTGATCGCACGGAGATGAGGGCCACCCTCCACTTGGATGGGCAATCACCATCGCCAATTGTGCCATTGCGTACGAGGGTGCGCATTCTTCTTCGCCATCATCCACGGTTTCACGACCCCACCTCGACAACTTCAGGTGCAAGAAGCGAGCGAACAAGTCTCCAAAAGACCGTGTGCAGTCTTCGCCGCCCATTCGAACGATAAGCTGCTGGTTGAGACACTCATACAAGAACAGAAAGCCCAGGCCACGGTTTGTTCCGCTAATCTCGTCACCGACAACCGCGCAATTCCACACCAGCTTTCCAGCCTCCTCGTCGTCAATCAAAAACTTGTTATCGATACCGACTCCATGCTTCGGCCGGTTGTACCGCACTGTCGAGAGCTTTTTGCCGTGCGCCGCAAGGTAGCCTTTGCTGTACAAGCAGAGCTTCATCCACGGTTGGCCACCAACACGTGATCGAGAAAGCTTAAAATCAATAGTGCCGTCCCTGTCTGCCTTCATATTATCGCAGAACTCCTTGCGCAGCAACAGAAGAGGGGATCGTTGATGACAATGCGCAAGGGCTTCCTTCTCTTCTTCGAGAGTCAATTTGCAAGAAGCATCAACGTGGCCACTCGTGGTCAGGTAGTCATGCAGTTCACCGCTCAGCTTCCACGGTGCCTTATTGTCGCTATAGGCAATGCCAAGTGAGAGTCGAATACGACATGCGCATGCATTTGGGTGGCGGTCGTCCAGCGTTTTGGCCAGTTGATCGAAGACGCGCTTCTCTTCGTCGGTAAATTTCACGTCCACATTGCACCCCAGGATAAGCTCCATCGCTGCTGCGTAATTCCGAGTAAGCAGACTTGTAAGAATCAGGTACAGCGTAGAGCTGAGAGATGATGGGAGCAGGAAGGTGTTGCTTGAATGCACAGGATACGTATAGAATCGCGTCTCCATTGCCTGCTGCCATCCCACGGACCCACGGTCGCTAACAAGAATCGAGGAAAACGGTTCTCCACGTATTGCAGGGCGGTACACGTCGTGATTGGGACAGATAAGCTTCAGGTCCGTAGTATCCGACTCCAACACAAAGCAGTCTGGTGCAATCTCGACGAGGCCTCGGAGGTATCTGGAGGTATCTTCAGGCATTGCAACCGTTAAATCACTCACAAACCAGTCATTCTGATCCATCACGTTCAGGCGGACACGTCCTGACAATGGGTCCTTTGCCGGCTGAAGCTTTAATTTCAATCGCGGAAGCTCAAGGAAAGCAACTGAGGACAGCCCCCTAGGCGCGCCTTCCTCGTCCTTGCTGGTGCACCAAACCAGAATATGCGATAGGTCTTCTACCCGACTGAGCAATTCGGATAGCGCAACAACCTCGTCACTTGCCGCAGAACTGGCTTCGAGCAGGCTCAACAGGTAAAGCGTCTCTCCAACAGTTTCCTCAACAAGTTCAAGCGCTTCGTCATCATCCATTTCGTCCTTGGTTTCCTGATCAACGTCCATGGGTGTAGGAGCTTCATCCGTAGACACGCTTGGCTCCGTGTCATCACTTCTCGCACCTTCAACCCGTTTGATTTCTGCGCGATTAGCAGGATCCTCCAGCCATGCTTTTGCCAGCTCCAAATCCTTACCGAAAAGTCCGAGTGCATACTCAACAGCAATCCGCGACGGGGAATCCTCCAAGCTCATCAGCAGCCCGATATTTTGTTCGTGCTGCTCTTCAGGGCTAAGAGCAACTTCACCTGATGCGGCTGCTTCTTCCGCCCCAAGGATCTTCATCTGATTATTTTCGTCAAGAAGCCATTGTGCTGCTAAACCCACGTTGTTCCGGTTTTCGCGCAGCGCGAGACCACATCCAGCGTACGAAAATCCCATAGCCATAAGTTGAACCACATCGTCGTCGCTGATTTCAATCGAATCGGGCGACGGGTACGCAGGAGTGCGTGCGGATTCTGTTGCAGATCGCCCGGGAACTCGAACAGGTGCCGGTGGCGGCTGCATTTGGCTATTCGTTGCAGAACTTTCTTTCTGATGGATCCGAGAAAATGAAGTCATGATAGACTTTCGACTGATAAAGGCCTGTCCGTTCTCCTTCATTTCGATCTCAACGCGATAACGGAACCACTGCGACTTTGAGTCCACGGGTTCGCCTCGAAGACGTCCATCTTCACCGATCCAGAAGCGGAAATTCTCCAATAAGCAGCTTGGAACAACACCTTGCAGGAGGCGTGGGGGGACAAACTGCTCAGTGCCATTGAGCAAATGGTTTTTGCGCAAAATGACTAGAGACCCACCAAGCGCTTGACGCTCAGTAGGTTCGCCACTAGCACGAAGCAAAGCCGGATCCACAGGGCCTTGGTCCGGAGAGATATTCAGAGGGAAGCTGTGAAGGCTTAGACGCGAGTTCGACGTGAAGATAAGCTTGCGATAGAGTCTACGTCCGTGAGAGACAAGTGCATACATATGCATCACTTGCATCGTTCGGTACGCCACAATTTCCTTGAAGGTCGCAATCTTCTCCTTGTCTTTATCGTCGGAACCTCGGTCCAGTCCGATGATGCGCACATGGGTAGCATTAGCTGGCAACGGGTCGCATGGTAGGAACAACATGTACGGCAACTTTTTGTCGTCGGGGACGGGAGGGTACATGAGGCGAAGCGCGTTGCCAACCAAATCCACAAACCATTGTTCCTCAGCATGAGGGTGCTCCTGCTCCGAATAAATATCAAATGGTCTCGAAAACGTCTTGCCAAGATAACGAAATCCATCATCACCAGGCAGCTTCGGCTTTTCTTCCGCCCCTCTTGCTTGTTGTTGTTGAGGTGGAGCACGAGCAATACGAGGTGTACCGCATACGTCGCAAGTGGCGTTGGGGTTATCACCATTGAAATTGGCACACGTGCAGGCCGGACACTCCCAGTACATTTTAAGCTCTTGAGGATTTTCGTCCGGGTTATCCGAACCACCACCCGTTCCAGGTTCATATACCACCGGGGCGCCCACACCTTGATCTATTTCATGCGTAGGGTCATCCCATTCGACAAGTTGATAATCAGTGCCAACAATATTCACCCATAGGCGATGTTCCTGTCGCGCAACCAGACCGCAATGGAGAGATTTGTTTCCAAAGATTGCCATAAAATCTGCATACTGGGTCATCGAGTCCTGAACGGGTTTGAGTTCGTCATTTCTCCACAATATCTCCCCTGTTTGGGCATCCAGCTTCAACTCTTGCTGGCGGCAACTGAATTTTCCAGCACCTCCGACGTCGGACTCCTCGATCCATTCCCACGAGTCAGTTTGTTTGGTTGAGCGCAGAGCAATTCGCACGATATCACCCAGGACCTCGTTTCGACTTGTCTTTGGCAGAGTTACTAGCCACTGCACGATTGAACGGCGGTGCAACTGAATTGTCTCAAAGATCTCCGCCTCGAGAACGTCACCTGGTGGAAGTTGCAGCTCTTTTCCCTCGTTGTTACGTAGAGCAACGATACTGGGGGCTTGAATCGTCTGCATTCCAACCTTCAAGTACAGAGGTCGCCCCTTCAAGTACTTCTCGAGAGATTTCTTGCCGACGTTCGCCGTATCAATGCCTTGCGCCTGGAGCCAGCGAAGCAGCCGCTCTTCTGCGGATAACCCGCCCTTCTCGTCTTCACCGTCCGTAGATAGCTTCATACCAAAGCAATGCCAATTATGCACATAGGCTATGGATCCCATCAGCTCAGATATTTTCTGAGTGTCGTATTCCGAAGGGCGCAGGCTCACATGAAGCTGTGCAAGGTACGAATGGATTACACACGCTGTCTGAAGGTTGTTCGCCTCCTCCGCTTCTTGTCTCCACTTATTCAGAGTGGTGTGCGCGAAGCCAAACACATAGGCCATCAGCTGGGACCGGTATCCTTCAAGCTTCTCGACACGAGCTCGGTCGTCTCCTGCAATACACCGATCGAGAGCAAACGTCATGTAACGAAGGACGTCCACGCCCAGCTTTATCATGAACAGGATGAACCGAGCGTCTGCCGAATGCACCGATGCTTCGCCAAGCTCCTTCACAGCATCCAGCATCTTCAACAACGGAATTACAATTGCTTCTGGTGCATGGATCAACTCATTCAGAAGCAACCCATTCATGGTACCAAGGTGGTCTTCACACTTCTGGTGATGAACGCGGGCATCAAAAGTTCGCTGAATAGCTTCCTCGTGCATCACAAGGTTGGACTTCCGCAGCGGTATATGAGAGATCTCTTCGGCCTTTTCATCCGAGACCCAGTCTCCACCCTCAAACAAAACAGCGCGGAACAACTGCTGTAGCATCGGATTGAACAAATACGTTACGCGGTCCCGCGAGGAGAAGAATGACGCCACAAGTGGAATCCGCGTGTATGGGACCGTCAAGTAGCTCATGAGGTATTCCGACTCCTCCGCAGAAAGTGTTCCATTGTACGTGGGCAGGTCTGTAAGGTGCATGATATCATCTTCAGTAATCACTGTAGGCAGGCTTCCTGCTGATGCACTGCTCGAGCTTTTGACAAGTAAAGCTCCAAGGTTCGATGGACTCGTGATAATTGGCCCCTCACCAAAATATACCTTTCTCTCCATGAACCCTTCGACCTCCACATCAGCGATATCTTGGTCACTCCCTCGAAAGTTCACCACCTCCCACTTCAACGTCGCGTGCAAAATTCGATTGAGCCCGCGCATTCCGAAAAAGTTCCGTCGGTGAGTCGCAGATGAATCATCAAACGAAAGCTGCCACATTTGCCAATGTTGGTGCGCGGTACGGCGGCGCATGAGTTCGACTTCCTTTGTCTCCATAGTAGCCAGGAATTTCACCACCATGACTAGATCACGAGTCAACCCCACTTCCGGGTGGTCATCTGCCATGGGCGTGGTATCGCTGCAAAACCACTCCATAAGTGCCTCCATTTCAGTTGGCGGAGTCTGATTGTTTGGGTCAATTAGCTGGTAGTGATACCGCTCCATCAGCTGGCGGAAAAACAGAAGCGTTGTGGAGTACTTCTTCACCTCAATCTTGTCCTCAGGCATGTGATAGTCAAAAAGTTGTCGCTTGCCCCTTGCGTCCTGGCTGTGGAAATACGCGAGCACTTGGCCCCGGATAACACAAAAGTTTGGCCGAGCGAACTCCATTGCCGACGTCATCTTCTGGATTGAAAAGTTGGCTTTGCAGAACGTGTGTGCAAGTACGTATCCGCCTTCTTCCTCCATCATCAACGAAATCTCAAGTGGTTCGTCAGCTGCCGGCGTACGAATTAAAGCATCGAAGATGCACAGCACACATAGAGCTGCAAGCGCGCGTTCCGAGTCAAACTGACGGCTTGGTTGTTCCATTGACTGCCACACCGACCCCAAAATCATCAGCAGTGAATGAAGATGGTTCAGACACCGGAGCTGCATGTCCTTCGCAACCGGTTGCCGCCACATGCAAGTAGACGATGCGACTCCATCGGCACTAATAGGTTCCGGCACTGGTAAAACCTCAACCAGGACACTCGTTATAAGCTGGATGACTTCGTGGTGCAGCGAGACTCGAGAAGAGGACGAGCCCTCAGCGGCTCGCTTGAGAAGAGACTCGCACAGTGCCTCACATCGAACAAACGCAGCTACCGCCAATGGGATGGATGTGACGCGTTCTGGTACGTCCAGGAAATTACTGAGGGTAGGAATTTCGAGCTCAGAGGCGTTTCCCGCATATTCACTCTCCTTTCCTTGAAGCTGCAATAACTCTGCATTCGCGTGAGGTGCAAACGGAAACGTCTCTTCCAGTGTAGCAGTCTCGCGCTTACTCTTGCCTTCGGAGCTAGGAGTAACCCCTACAGAATCTATCAAGCGTTCCGTTTGGCTCATCAGTTTGTTGACGTGACTGAGACCAAGAGCTTGAATATTCTTGCGCTCGTGGTGCTTTAGCGTTTTCAAACCAATTTGCTTGACACCCATGGCGATGCATTTGATCTCCGAGACGGTTAGCGTCGACTTGGGTAGGTTGAAGTCCTCGCCTGTCCACGGATAAAACTCGCCGGTCGGATCTGACAGCACAAGCTCCTTGCCCAACGGCGTCAAGATAGCTCCATCAGGTCCACGCAAGATGAGCTGCGGCACCTTCCTTACTCCGAACGTCTGAATGAGTTGCTTCCGCGCCTCCATTTCGGAAAACGGCACCATCAGCCACGTGTGTCCAGGCAAGCTCTCCACGAGCGCTGTGTAGTCTGCCTGCTCTTGGTCGACCGACACCACTATGATAGCGAACTTCTCACCGGCTGCATGGAGTCGCTCACTCAAGATCGTCAGTAGCTTGGTCAGTTTCCGGCAGGCTACAGACGTCGATTGTGCAAAATAAATACCGACGACAGCTTCCGGATCGATATCTGCCACTGTGCGGGTGCCTTGCAAAGAATCTTGCAGCGAGATGGTCGACAGCGTGCGCAGCGCATTGTCCAGCGTGCCTTCAGGGACGCCCTTGGCCGGGTTTTCAGCGATTTCCAGTCCCTTGACGACCTGCTGGAAGAGACGGTAGCGCAGCTTGTACAAAATCGCGTACTCCACCTCGTCGTTCGTGAAGGCCTTGCTCCGGAGACACAGATACCGTATTGCCTCGATCACGCTCTTGCAGAAGCCGAGCTGGCTGCGTTGCGCCGTGTGTACGCCCCCAAGAGCTGCGCTTGTCCAATCTGTAGGAGCGCGCTGCTCCGTGGCTTCACTCGCCAGCGGCAGCAGCCTGTCGCCTGCGAGCCACGGCAGCAACACGTCGTAGATCGTCTCCGCGCGGTGGTACTCGGACGGGGGCTTGCGCACCCAGAGCGAGAACAGCAGCGTCCAGAAGGCCATGTCCAGGAACCGAACAGCAGGGATGCCGCCTAGTTGGATGCAGGGCTGCACGCGGATCTTGTCGGCGGCGCTGCCCTCGACCTTGCAGGGGTGGTACATCTCAGCGCCGGGGCCTTTGTTGCACACTGTGAACGAGTACTCGGCGTCGCCGGTCTTCTCCAGCACGTAGATGATGGAGTGGCTTGTAGTATTACCCACGTAGCCGCCGGGCACGAGCACGGGCTCGCCCGGCTGCAGCTTGGCCAGCTCGGCCTTCCACTCGGCCAGAAAGGCCTGGAACTGCACGGCGTCCTCCACCTTGGCTCCTTTCTCGGCCCACTGCGCGCAGGACGCCAGCTGGGGCAGCAGTGTCGTCTGCAGCACGCGCTCCTGCTCCACCGAGAGCGAGAACGTCACGGGGTCCTCGTCAGCGGCGTTTGAAGGTTGCGATTGCGGCTGCAGCAGCTGCGTGAGACCCGAGAGCGCGCCCACGAGCGCCTGCGGGTCTCCGCCGGCCTCGTACGGCGTGGCGCGCAGGTACGGGTCGCCGAAGAGGCCCAGGAAGGCCGCGGAGCGCCACGCGGTCATCGCTGCTAGTGTCGTAGCTCTCTTCTTCTCCTCTCTCTCTTCTCCTCCTTCCTTCCTCTTGGACGCTCAACTCAACCCACGCGAGAAGAACGGGGAATGAAGGTCTCGGATCGCCGCAAAGATCGCGACTGGAAGAAATGCAGGTGATGCATTGGTTGCTGGCGTCGTAGGTGATTGGACAAAAAGTCGACGCCGATCTTTTAAAGATTTCCCGCTACGTTGCGCGTCCAGCAGCCGAAAGTTGCGTAGCGCAGTCATTTCAGCACAATGAAATGACTGCACCATTTTGTTGTACCGCCACACAATCGGCGCGAAATGACTGCACCGTTTTCATTCGGGGCGCCCCGCCTGTGCCCGAACAAGCTGGTGACGAATCTGAGTACGAGCGCGCGCAGGCAGGCAGGCTCGTGCCATGTGGACGCCCCCGCCGACTCACCGCGATGCCCAGGATCGCTCCTCCTGCCTGCTTGCGCGCGTCGCTGTTAAAAAAATATCGTAGTCTCCGCCTGTCTTCTTGCTGGCCACCAGTTCCTGCAGGAGAGTACGTCAGCGCATCGGTTTGACATTTTTTCGTGGCATTGTGATTGGCTGGGCTGCGACAGGGGGTGCGGCGCTGGGCTGCTGTGCCTCGGACCGCATGTAATTTGGGCCAGCACTTCAGCTTTCGCCTCGCAGCCGCCGCATCGCCACCGAGTCCTCAGTCGAGTCCCCACGGCCCTCCACCTCCTCCGACCACGACCACGACGACAGACTGAACTTTTACGATGGTGTTGACGGCGGCGAGGCTTGTGTGCGTCAACCGCGACGGCGTCAGTGAGCTCTCACACGTGTGGGGCGCCATGGACCAGTACCTGGACTACTCCAGTGCGTGGACCCTCGAGAGCGCGGCGGCCCAAGGGATGAAGTTCCTGGTGCAGCACCTGGCGCTCACAGCCCCCAAGCAGCCGCAGGAGGACAGCAACTCGCTCGTCATGGACTTCGCGGCCTGCAACGGACACCTCGACATCCTCACGTGGCTGCACAACACGGAGCAGCTCAGCGGCTGCTCCACGCGCGCCATGGACGACGCCGCCAAGAACGGGCACCTCCCGATCGTCCAGTGGCTGCACGAGAACCGCAGCGAGGGATGCACCACCAAGGCCATGGACTACGCCGCCAGCAGTGGCCATCTCGCCGTCGTTGAATGGCTGCACCAGCACCGCTCGGAAGGCTGCACGACGCGTGCCATGGATCTCGCCGCGCAGAATGGACAGCTGCACGTGCTGCAGTGGCTGCACGGCCACCGGACCGAGGGTTGCACGCTGAGCGCGGTGAACTATGCGGCGACGGAGGGCCACTTGAACATCGTGCGCTGGCTGTGTGAAGTGCGCAAGGAGGAGTGCTCGTCCACCGCCATGGTCAACGCTGCGCGCGGAGGACACCTGTACATCCTCGAGTACCTCGGCGAGCACTTTCCCCAACTGTTCGAGAGCGTCGGTCCCAAGATGGTGCACGCTGCGATTGCCAATGGACAAGCGGCGATTCTCACGTGGCTCATCGCCGTGCTGCCGGTCAAGTCGCTCAAGTGCGAGGAGGCTGCCGGTTCGTGGATGAATGTCGCGTCTGAGTACGGCCAGGTTGGAATCCTCAAGTGGTTCCACGACCACGCCACGGCGCTGCCGATGAGCGTAGACGGCCACCTCCCCGCCTGCACAGTGGAAGCCATCGAGAAGGCGGCGCGCAACGGCCACAGCGACGTTCTGGTCTACCTGTACGAGAACGACCTGGTGAACCTTACGGTCGAGTCGGACGCCATGAGCGCGCTCGTTGCCGCCGTCGAAGGGGGTCACCGCAACTGCGTCGAGTGGCTCGTGGCGCACTTCCGCGATCTGTACGAGCAAAGCTCGCCTGCGTCGACCACCGCAATGGATGCAGCTGCGGCCGTCGGTCACGTGGATATCCTCCAGTTCCTGCGTGACGATCCGACCACGAGCGCGTGGCAATCGAGTTCCAAGGCCGTCGACGAGGCTGCTCGTCAGGGCTTCGTGGATGTCCTGCGCTGGCTGCACTTCGACCGCTGCCACTACGTCGCGGAGCAGGAGGAGCAGCCGACCGACGATGACGACGCGTCCAGCGACGAGGAGGACGCGGAGCCGATCGACGCGCGTTGGACGCCCATGGCGCTGGAGCTGGCGGCCACCAACGGCCATCTGCCAGTGGTCCAGTGGCTCACCGAGCACCACCGCGAGGTCTGCAGCAACTTCGAGGCTTTCAACGCCGCCGCCTACATGGACCACCTGGAGGTTGCGCAGTTCCTCTACAGTGACGTCCGCAGTGCGTGCTCCGTGGAGCAGGCGCTGGAGCACGCGGAGGAAGGCGGCGCCGAGGACACGCTCGCCTGGCTCGAGGGTCTCAACTGAGACTGCAGCGCAGACATGGCTACAGTTCGCAGTTGAGGCCCCACTTCAAGATTTTTGCAGATAAATTCCTATAGACCCAACCTAGATTCATGCTCTTTCGTAAGACGATACTGGTCCCTAGAGAGCATACCGTAAGACAAAGCGTCTTACGTTTTGCAATCAACGTATTTTGATTACATCTTGATTTTAGTATATCAGTGGCTACATTGTATTTTGTCACTCAAAACGTAAGACAGTTTGTCGGACACCAGTTTGCGCCATATTATTGGTCAAAAGCTCTACTTGACGTGCAGAGCTGCATGTGCATGCTCGGGCCCACTCAACCACGACAGCGGTGCGGATGCAGGCTGTGTTGGTGGCACCTTTGTTCGCCAAGACGACGCAGTTGCATGGCGCGTAGGTCCGTCGACAGCAGGATGATATTCTGGCTGCAGCCACGGCGGCCGCGCCAGGCCTTGCGTGAAGCCTTAGCGCTAAGGCTGTTCTGATCTGTTGCTCTTAAAATGCCACGTCCAGAGCTTTTCAGTGCCTGGATGGTAACGAATAGTGTCACGAGGGAAATATTGTAGGAGTTTTCGTACTGTCAGGTTGCAATGTACGTATCATGATGCGGGCAAGCCTTCCTTCAATAACGTGGTTAGTTACGTAGCATAAGAGGCAGCGATTCTAGAGCGCTTATAACCGCGCCAGTCTATTGCTGTCTGTTAAGCTTGAATCTACGTAGTGTTTCCGTTTCGGCTTTGTTGACAAGTTTCTAGAGAGTGCTCGAGTGTACATTCTAGTCGTTTGCTATTCAATGTACGCTCAAGCACAATTCAGTTCTCCGTGTACCAACCGCGTCGTATCCTCCGAAGGGCATCTCCCTACTTACGCCGACTACGCGGCTTCATGGAAGAGCTCCTCGGACCTCATAAAATATGTATAATACGCACTTTCATTTGAAGGACCTGGCATTTAGTAGGTCGCTAGTTAGGCCAAATAACTGTGATGCACTTCACATTACTACGAAATCGAAAACGAAACAAATACACGTTCATGCTGCCGATTCTGCTCGTCAGCACGGCTATCCGTTGCTGGTGCATGCCACGACGGCGACGCAGACGGCCCGGCCAAGGGCATACAGGGACAACACCACGCATAATATTAGCCAATCACATGGCTAAATTTGATTTGTCGTCAAACTGTCTTACGAATGCTCGACACAAGTGATTTATATGATCCCAAAACTAGACGTAATAGAGGGTGTTTACAGTCAAAATGGAGCGCTGTGTCGTCACCTTCGCAGCGGCGACGCGCGCGTGCGTGACGCTGTTGGCGCTGGCCACGGCCGCCATCGTGACGCCCTATGACACCTCTTCGCACCTGCAGGCGGGCGGCTCCTCGCTCGCGGCGCTGAGCAACTGGGACGGCGTCTACTTCTCGCACATCGCGCGGAGCGGCTACGACTTCGAGCACTTCCACGCCTTCTTCCCGCTCTACCCGCTGCTGGCCCGATGGCTCGCGCATCTGCTTCCTCTAGACGAAGCGTCGGCGGTGGTGGCCAGCGGATGGGTGATCAGCAACGCGAGCTTCGTGCTGGCCGCGCTCTGCCTCTATCGCCTGGGTTGCGTCGTGCTGCGGGACGAGGTGGTTGCGCGACGAGCGGCCTACCTCTTCTGCGTGGCGCCCTCCAGCATCTTCATGTCGGCAGTGTACTCGGAGAGTCTCATGTGTCTGCTGAGCTTCAGCGGCATGTACTTCCTGGCCAGACACGCGCAAGCGCCCAAGCCTCGTCGAGCGTTCCGTGACCTCGTGTACTGCGCGCTGCTGTTTGGCGCGGCCTCCGCGACGCGCTCCAACGGCATTCTACTCTCGTGTACGTTCAATTGCAATTTATTGTGCAGAGGTGGTGGCCCATTACTAAGCGTTGTGGTTGTCTACCAGTGTTTATTGCGTGGCATCGAGTGACAGTGTCGCCATCGCCCAGGGAGCTATTGGGCTTTTGGATACGCACTGCAGTCCTCGGTGCGCTAGCAGTTGGGCCGCAAGTGGCGTACTTTGTAGTGGCGATGGTGCCGTATTGCCCTTCAATTGTGCAGCGGTTCGGCGGCGAGGCGTTGGCTACGGGTGCTGAGATGCAGGACCGGAGCTGGTGCGCCAAGGCTGTGCCCAACTTTACAGCCATGTACACGTTTATCCAGAGCGAGTATTGGAATGTGGGGCTGTTCCGCTACTACGAGCTGAAGCAGGTGCCGAACTTCCTCCTCGCAGCGCCGATAATTGGGCTAAGCTTGCACGCACTTCAAGGATACTTTCGAGGACTAGTCGTGCCAGGACGACCGAGCTTCGCATCTCAGGAGCAACAAGTGCGCAGTTGGCGAGGCACTGCGCTCACTCCGTACTACGTGCACTGGCTCTTCCTGGTGGTGAACGCGCTGCTCGTGGTGCACATCCAGGTGACCACGAGGCTCCTGTGCGCGTGCCCTCCGTTGTTCTGGCACCCAGCGGCTCTGCTCTGTGGATCTACCGGGAAGAGGAAGGAGTCGCCAATTTTGACAACCTACGGCCGACTTGTTGTGGGCTACTTTCTGCTCTTCACAGTGCTGGGCAGCGTGCTCTTTCCTTCCTTCTACCCATGGACATAACTTTGAATCCAAAAGGAATAACCAAAACACGTATTATAATAACATCCATCGGCGTCTGCACCATGAACGTCGTACCTCCCTTCGCCGATCACGGTGTTCAAAAGTATACTCTTCACCGCAGCGAAGACTTCTTGATCTTGAGCTTTTTCGCCAAGCGATCACGTGCTGAGCCCGCTTTGCGCTTCCGGCCGCTGCGATCGTGGCTGTTGTGGCTGTTGTGGCTGCTATAGCTGTGTCCACTGCTAGCTCCAGCGGATTGCGGGGTAAGCGGCAGCGGCGGTCTTACGTCCACAGAGTGCGAGGAAGGAGGATCCGTTCTCGAAGACGCAGGAGAATATCCCCGAAGCATGAGCCCTTTACCTCTTGGCGACGGTGTCACAGCAGTAGGAGGTGGAGCATGGCGCTCCCCTTCCCTCGACTCAGCACGCGAATGACTTCTACTTGAAGGACTGCTTCCCTGTAAAGATCGTCCACGATCCCGGTGTGAAGAGCTTCCGGACGCAGAGGAGCGCTCTCGCTCCCTCTCACTTCGTCGCTTCAGATGTCGCTCATGCCTTGAAGCCCTGGATACCACTGAAGGGGGTGGAGGTGTCGATGGAGGCGGCGGCGGTGAATACGGCGGCGAGACGGCTGGGACTGGAGGGGGTGGAGGCACTTGGGCATGTGGAGTTTTCCTCTCGACCTTCGGCGACGCATTAACCTCAGAGCGTCTACTTCTGTGCGCGCGAGTCGGCGTTGTCAACATATCGATAGACCGAGCTGCAGTCCGCACATCCACGGCAACGACCGGGGACGCATCGCTGCTTTTCCGGTGGCGGCGTGATGAATCGGAATGGCTTCGCTTCCGCTGTCGTTCACGACTGCTGCTTCCCTTCTTGGACGATGACTTGCGGCGGCGTGCGTTCTTCACGCAGCGCGGACACCGATAATCGTCCGGAGGCTCCTCCGTCATCGGGATGCCAACGCACATCGTATGCTGCCACGTTTTGCAGCTTTCACACTCCACCATGCGCTGGCCGTCATCGTGGTTGGGCATCCGACGAATAGAACACACACAGTCGAACATCCAGCCACACCGGAAACACAAGAACTTCTCCTGCGCAACAGCCTCTGGCTGTTTGTCAGAGCACTTGGCGTGCACCCAGTGCGAACAGCTATCGCACTGGATCATGGAGGTTCCGTCGTCGTAGTTCTTCTTCTTCAGCCCACAGGAGCAGTCCACCATCCACTCGTCCTCAGCTTCATCTTGATCCTGTGGAGCCATCTTCACTTCGGCAGTGCCAGCGCTGCCGTTCGTATGGTTCCGCTCGAGGTGCGTAGATCCGTTGGACAACGAGTCGCTTTGCTTCGAGTGTCGTCGTTTGGGCGGCGGTGCCTTCTTCTTCTTTTTCGAGCGCTGAGCCTCGCGTCGCTCCTGCTGCCTCTGCCTGGCGTCCGCCACCACCTCCTTGAGCTTCTCCGTCAACTGCAACTCCTTCTGCGCCGCCTGCTGGCGGAACGCAATGAGCGTGTCCACGGGTGCCGCAGGCAATTGCGGGTACGAGTTCTCCAGGTCCGAGCTTCCATCGCTCTCGCCGCTCGCGTCCTCGTCTGCCGGGTCCACTCCGTTGTGCAGCTTGTCCTTCTCGTCGTCCGTGTCGATCAGGACGCCGTCGTCCTCTTCCTCCTCTTCTTCATCGTCACTCTCAGCCGAGCTGTCACTGCTGCTACTAGAGTCACTGCTATTGCCGTCGTCATCCTTCTTCTTCTTCTCTTCATCCTCATCATCCTTTTTCTTCTTCTGGTCGTCGCCTCCGTCACCGTTGCCTCCGTTGTCACCGTTAGCAGGTGGCGGCGGCGCCTCGTCTTCATTGTCACTGGAGCTGTCACTGGAGCTGGAGCTTGCACTGCTGTCACTGCTGCTGCTACTGCTGTCACTAATGCTGCTGCTGGACGAGGACGGACACGGACTGCTGGCCGGTCGCTCCTGTCGGCCGCTCTCTCCTCCGCTGCTCTCCACCACGGCCTCTTGACCAGCCATCGACTCTTCATCTTCTATCTGCAGCGTCTGGAAGCCCCCCAGCGCCGCTAGATGCGCGCCAACGCCCGTTAGAAGCTGAGCAAGCCACTCGCCCGACGTCACTTCAGGCGGGTTGACACCAGGCGCCGGCGCGCGGATCTCCGCGGCCACGGACGCGTCTCCGGCGCGCAGCATCATCAGCTGCACGCTCAGCATCTTGCGCGCCTGCCCCCTCGAGCCGCCCGCGCACGCAACAGATGGAGCTCTTCCGCCACGCGTGACAAGCCTTGCTGCGGTCTCCGGTCACTTGACTTGAGTATGGACAGATAGGCGAAGCTCGACGGGACTTCCGGATAGTCGGGGAGAAAACGTTCCTTGACTTCGCAGTAGTCAAATGGAGCTTGTTACGACACGGAATGATTACAGCATAACAATTGGGTCAAATGGAGAATTTGGGGGCAATCTTTGCCCAGATGTTAAAAAGAGCGGTGTGCAGCACACCAGTCACATCGAGCGGATACCAAAAAAGCTGAGGCAGGTAGGAATGACCGGCCAGTGGACGCTGCTGCGCCGCTCCGCGCTGCTCCTGGAGCGCGGCGCGGGCGTGACGAGCGCCTCTGCAGGTCTGACGCTGGGCGTGCGTCGCTTCGGCGCGGCGTCGGTGCCCAAGGCCCAGCGCGCGCGCAACTTCAAGGGCAACAAGCGCCAGCCGCAGAAGTCGGCGGAGGCGACGCCGCAGCCGCCCAAGGCCGAGGCCGGCAAGCCCAAGCAGCAACAGCAGCCGCAGCAGCAGCAGCGACACAAGAAGCGCCGCGCAAAGAAGGTCGTGGACCAGGAGGCGCCCGTGTTCACCAACAAGTTCCAGAACCTGCTGAGCTTCGCGTTCGAGGACGTGAGCAGCGAGCCGACGCCGGCGCCCACCAAGCAGCCGAAGAAGGCGCCCGAGGCGTCGTCGCTCGACCTGCTGGACGGTATTGGAGCTGCCACCAAGGTGGACGACAGCCCCGAGCTGACGCTAGCCCAGCTGGGCCTCGGCTTCGATGACGATGATGACTCGTTCGCCAAGAGGCAGCCCAAGCACCCGCGACAGAAGCCCAAGAAGACCAAGCTCTTCACAGGCGACAAGGACCCGTCCACGGTGTTGGCAGCGCTCGGCATCCCGTCGGACGGAGAGAGCGACCGCAACGACGGCCCGCCCATGAGCCGCAAGTCCATGAAGATGAACACGAAGCGCAAGAAGGGCACGCGCAACCTGCTCAAGAACTTCCAGTTCGAGAACAGCATCTTCGACTCGACCGCGGACTTGTTCGGCGACATTGATTGGGAGGAGCGCAGCGATGTGGAGGACCGCGAGCGCCGCCGCTCCCAGAGGCAGCAGCGCAAGGAGGCTAAGCGCAAGCCCAAGGAGCAGCTGCCCGCGCAGGAGGTGGAAATCCCCACGTCGCTCACGGTGAAGGACCTGGCTGAGCGCATGAGCGTGAAGACGCGCGTTGTGTTCCGCGCGCTCAAGGATCTGGGCGAGAACGGGCTCAACGAGGAGTCGGTGCTGACCAACGACATCGCGGAGCTGGTGGTGGACTCGCAGAACATGGTGCCCGTGCTGCTCCCGCCGGACTTCGTTGATCTTGAGCTGACCCCGCTGCCAGAGGATTGCTCGAGCTTCCCAGTGAGACCGCCAGTTGTGTCTGTGATGGGCCACGTTGATCACGGCAAGACGACGCTGCTGGATGCGCTTCGCAAATCGAAGGTTGCAGCTACGGAGGCGGGTGGCATTACTCAACGCATTGGTGCCTTCTCTGTGGAGCTGGGCAAGAAGTTTGGGGCACAGTCGAATGTTACCTTCATCGATACACCGGGTCACGCCGCGTTCAGCAACATGCGATCTCGTGGCTCGGAGTTGACGGACCTGCTCGTGCTGGTGGTCGCCGCTGACGATGGTGTGCGCCCACAGACTGTGGAAGTGGCACGTCTTGCCATCAAGAACAACGTTCCGCTTGTAGTGGCTGTCACCAAGATGGACATGCACGGCCACGACAAGGACGAGGTGACCAATCGTCTGGGTAGCGAGCTGCTGAACCAAGGTGTCGTTGTTGAGAGTATGGGCGGAGACACGCCGATGGTGTGCGTGTCGGGCAAGACTGGCGAGGGCCTCGACCAACTGAAGGAAACGATTGCGCTGCACGCTGAGATGCTGGATCTGCGTGCGGATACGTCTGTAGCGGGTGAAGCCGTCGTGCTTGAGGCGAATGTGGCACGGGGCGTTGGTACTCAGGTGGACACGATTGTCAAGTGGGGCACAGTGAAGCAGGGCTCCTTTGTGGTGTGTGGACTGGAGTACGGTAAGGTGCGGGCACTGGTCGACCAGGCTGGCAAGCGCGTGAAGCAAATGACACCTGGTAACCCTGTGCGAGTGATCGGACTAAAGGGGCTGCCTGAGGGTGGTGTCGCTTTGCTGTCTGTTGCCACCGAGGAACGTGCCAAGGAGGTAGTTGCAGCACGCGAGGCTATGCTCGACTGGGACCAAATGGCCAAGGCTGAAGAGGAGGAAGCTGAGATTCAGGGAGATGACGGTTCTCATCGCCGTCGCCGCCGTTTTGCTGGCGCCCGCCGTAAGTGGCAACAGGTGGAAGTGCGACGACGTGAGGCCGCTGAAGAGGCTAAGCGTGTGGCTGCGCTGAAGCCAGGAGACGAAGGCTATATCGCCAATGTGGTCCCCATCATTGTTAAGACGGACTCTGTGGGAGTCATCTCGGCTATCGACGAGCTCATTGCCTCCCTGCCATCCGACGAGGCCGCGATCAAGTGTATTATGTCTGCCGTCGGCCCAGTAACATCATCGGATATTGTCATGGCTGAGGCCACAGGCGCCACCATCTACTCGTTCAACATCAAGCACCCAGCGTCCATCGACCAAGAGGCACTACAGAAGCAGGTGACTCTGCGCCAGCACCGCGTGGTCTACAGTCTCCTGGACGACATCAAGGAGCTGCTGCAGGACAACCTCCAGGGTGTGGTGGTGCACGATGTGATCGGCTCGGCTGAGGTGATCCAGTCCATCCCGATCTCGACGTCCGGAAGTCGCACCACCAACATCGCTGGTTGCAAGGTGACTTCGGGCTCGCTCAACATGCAGGCCAAGTACCGACTCGTGCGCGACGGCGAGACAATAATCGAGAACGTCGATATGGCGTCCATGCGTCACTTCCAGCAGAAGGTGTCGGAAGTCAACAAGGGCCAAGAGTGCGGACTCCAGCTCGCGGGCACGGACGAGTTCCAGCCCGGCGACATTCTCGAGGCGTACACCACCAAGGTGGTGAAGCCCGAGCTCTAGATTTGGACCGTCGTGTCTTTAGATGTCCACATCCATTAAAGCATAGATATGACTTGGTAGACTGGCAAAGGCACCCGCAGGATATAAAGTTGTTGACACTATCATAACGGTACCTATACCACGGGCGATGTGGGATTGTGTTGCTGAAGACAACGGCAATCTTCTCGTGCAATCTGTTTACCAAGTTCTGTCGTACAGCGTGTTGCTGAGGAGAAGAAGAGCGGGTTGCAATCCTCCTGTGCACAATGTTTACAACTTGATGGCGCCAATCCCGCTGAAACCATGTCGCTGCTCTCATCCCGAGCCTTACTCACTAACATGGGCGTCCTACTGATGCCTATTCCAAGCGTGCGATGGTGCTGGTGGTTGAGCATTATTAGCCGAAACTCGAAATAGGCCATCGGTCAAAGGAGACCGAGACCGACCCAACCATAAGCAGTGACAATCGATCTGAAAACGATGCAACTTCCTGTCTGATCGCCTTCAGTAGCTCATTTGCAGTTTTACGCCTTCCGACAGAGCACACTTGGCCGTTGGTATCCTCCATCCAGCAGCAGCAAAACCCCAGCCAGAGAGATTATTGATGGGGGACTCTGAAAAGGTCGGTGGGTCGACTCGCCCCCGACCGGGAGGCCCCGGCTTTCTGAGGACGCAGCAGACTCTGCTGGCCAAGAGCTGGTTGCTTAAGAAGCGTCACTGGGTGGCCATGCTGCTGGAGATTTTCCTGCCGGTGCTCTTCATCCTCCTCATCACAGCTCTCAAGAGGCTCTCAACCGACGTCCAAGTCCCTGCTGGATGGAGCAGCACCGCGTCGGACGGCAAGTCCTTCTCGCTCATGCAGAACGGGTACCTCGTCCAGGAGCCGACGATGAACGGACTCATGACGTACTTGGCGGTTAGGACGGCGTCCGAGATCCACAACACGACTGGAGTGTCAGGTACAGAACAGGAGGTCTGCGCCTTCAGTGTCGGCTACGGAGGCTTCGTGAGCACCGACACCTCATCGCAGTACGCGGTCCTGCCGTCCTGCCGGAGCTACTTCACCCCGTACAAGCTGGCCATCGCCCCGGACAACGACTTCACTCGCAAATACTTCTTCGAGACGGTCAAGCAATGGTACCCCCGCGTGATGTTGAACACAAGCATGGGGGTGACGATGCCGAGCCTCGAGGACAGCGTCATCTTCTTCGACACGGAGGACGCCATGGAGAGCTACATCGGAGAAGTGGGCTATGGCAAAGGGTTCGCGACGCCCATCGTGTATGCGGCGTTGGTGTTTGACCAGTACCCAGAAGGCGACAAGATCGGCACGTTCCAGTCGATCGAGTACTCGGTCCGCATGAACTCGACGCAAGGCGGAGGAGGATCCCCGGGGGTTGTGCCACGCACACTGGGAGACCCGGCGTTCGAGTCGCCGTTCCAGCGCACCATCGAGCAGGCTTACTACTCGTCGTACGCGTCGCGCGGGTTCATGACGCTGCAGACTCTGGTCGCTCGCTTCGTCAACTGCATGCCCGACTGGGATGAATCCACGAAATCGACCACGGGCGTGTGCAAGCAGAAGCTCTCGACGGCCGTGTCCAACACCGCTAACGACGACAGGCTTTTCCACGCTGTGGACGGCGACGTGCTCCTGGGCGCTGCGCTCTCTGTGCCATTTGCCAGCTCTGGTACGGGTTGGCAGACGTTGCTGACGGCCAGTGGACGTGAGCAGCTTCTGGTGCCTCTGCGTCAAGCTCCGCAACCTTACTTCGCAACGACTGTGGCCCCGTTCCCGATCGACAGCTTCCTTTCCGCCCCGTTCTACGACCAAGTGAGCAGCGTGTTCCCGCTCGTCTTCATCCTGGCCTACCTGTACGCCATCTCGCGAGTGCTAGTGGTCCTGATCCAGGAGAAGGAGACGCGCTCGCGTGAGTACCTCAAGATCCTGGGCATGTCGGAGAGCGCCATCATCCTGTCGTGGTACATCACGTACTTTGTCATCTTCCTCATCAGCGCCATCCTCCAGGCCATCGCAAGCACCGCCGGTCTGTTCCCGAACAGCGACCCCGGTCTCATCTTCCTCTTCTTCCTGCTCTTTTCGCTCAGCGTGCTCGCGTTCGGCTTCTTCATGAGCACGCTCTTCTCCCGCTCGCGCACTGGGTCGTTCGCTGGCATGGTGCTCTTCTTCTTCATGTACTTCGTGTCCAGCGGCTTCTCGTCCACATCCTCGATTGGTTCCAAGACGGGCGCGTGCATCTTGCCACCCGTGGCGCTTTCGTTCGGAGTTCAGTCGCTGGCCACGGCCGAGTCAACCGGTGTGGGCATGAGCTTCGAGTCGTCAAGCACTGTGGTCGACAACTTTAAGTTCGGGTCTTCCATCGGCATGCTCTTCTTCGACATCATCCTGTACACGCTGCTAGGACTCTATCTCGAGCGAGTCATCCCCCGCGAGTACGGCACCGTCGAGAAATGGTACTTCCCCCTGCAGCCGAGCTACTGGGTCAGAAGCTTCCGCGCCAAAAGATGCTTGAGTAAGGTTAACGATGTGGCCAACAACGTCGTCAACGGGAGTCACGCGGTGCTCGACATTGAGAACCCGAACATGGAGGTCGCCAGTGAGGAGCTGCGCCACCAGGAACGAACGGGCGAGGCGCTGGTGATCAGCGATATCAAGAAGGAGTTCGTCGTGCCCGGAGGAATCAAGCGCGCCGTTCGTGGCGTGAGTCTCGCCATGTACAAGGACCAGATCACGTGCTTGTTGGGCCACAACGGCGCAGGCAAAACCACGCTCATCTCGATGCTCACGGGTATGATCGCGCCTTCCGCTGGTGATGCCTCGTTCCGCGGGCTGTCACTGGTGCACGACATGGCCGAAATCCGACAGTCTTTGGGACTCTGCTTCCAGCACGATGTGCTTTACAGCGAACTCACAGTCGAGGAGCACTTGCTGTTCTATGGACGCGTGAAGGGCTATCGCGGTGCAGCGCTCAAAGAGGAGGTGATCACGAAGATCACTGAAGTGGGTCTCACCGAGAAGCGACACGTCTTCGCGGGCTCGCTCTCCGGCGGCATGAAGCGTAAGCTGTCGGTGGCTATCTGCCTGCTCGGCGACAGCTCGCTCGTGTTCTTGGACGAGCCCACGAGCGGAATGGACCCGTACAGTCGACGCAGCACGTGGGAGATCCTGCTCAACAACCGCGCCAACCGAGTCATGGTCCTCACGACCCACTTCATGGACGAAGCCGACATTCTGGGGGACCGCATCGCTATCATGGCCGAAGGACAACTGCGCTGCTGCGGGTCGTCCCTCTTCCTGAAGAACCGGTACGGTGCTGGATACAACTTCACGCTGGTCAAGAGCAGTGACCCCGCTAAGCCCTGCAAGGAGACCCAGCTCCATTCCCTTGTCACGGAACGTGTTCCTTCCGCCAAGGTGTTGAGCAACGTCGGCGCGGAGATCGCCTTCCAGCTGCCGCTAGACTCCACCGCGTCCTTCCCCGCGCTGTTTGAGGAGCTGGACAGCAAGATGGGCGACTTGGGCGTGCTCTCGTATGGCATTTCAGTCACGACGCTCGAGGAAGTCTTCATCAAAGTGGCCGAGGCCAACGACGAGGACAACCAGCACACCCTGAACAAGAACGCCGCAAGTCCTGGTGCTGCCGACGCTGGTCTTCCACCCGGTGGCCCAACCATCGCGAGCCTTACGGGTATGACCATGTTCTTCGTGCACCTTTCAGCGCTCCTGCTCAAGCGCTTCCGCATCGCCAAGCGCGATCGCCGAGTCATCATCTTCAGTGCGCTCCTCCCTGTGACGCTGCTGGCTGCCGGGTTTATTATTCTCAAGACCAGCTCACTCACGCGGTCGGACGAGAAACTCGCACTCGCCACCGACGACTTCGAAGCTTCAGTGCCCAATGTCCCGTACTTCTGCGAGGCGGATGACTCCAAGTGGTGCTCCAGTACGCTGGACCTCTTCACAGGCGGCAAACCCTCCCCCTTCACGTCCGCGGATATTCCTTCACCGCCGTACACGACATGGCCGACCACCGTCTTCGGCGTTAACTACACTGAGGCAGACCTTGCGAGCTACAGCAACCCACACAGCAACGAGTACTGCCTGCGCATGGGAGATCAGATCTACCAGCGTGGCTTCGGCAAGGACGACGACGGCAAGGTCATTCAACCCCCCGTCAAGGGCCAGTACGGTGGCTACCTCGTGCACGGGTCCGAGAGTGAGCAAATGTTCGGCTACCACCTCTTCGTGAACACTACCGCAGCGCACGGCGCAGTCATCTTCAAGGCGTTGATGGACCAAGCTCTGTATCGCTTCATGGCCGGCAGCGGATCTGGAGCGACCGACGTGACTTTGAAGGCGAACACGTACCCGCTCCCCATGACCGCAGCCACTCAAGCCCTCTTTGGGTCGTTCCTGGCCTTCACGGCGTGCATCTTCATCGTTATCGCCTTCGCGTTCTTCCCGGCCTCCATCGTCGGCTTCCTCGTGAAAGAGAAGCAAGCCGAGCACAACTCCAAGCACCAGCAGCTCGTGTCGGGCGTGAGTTTACCGGCCTTCTGGCTGGCCAACTACCTCTGGGATCTGCTCACGTACGTCATCCCGTTCATCGCGGCCATCGTGCTCATCCAGATCTTCGACATCGCGGCCTTCACCGGCAACGACTGCGTGAGCTGCACCAGCCAGACGTTCCCAGCGATCGTGCTGCTCTTCATCCTCTTCGGGCTGGCCATTTGTCCGTTCACCTACTGCCTCTCGTACTTCTTCAAGGAGCACGCTTCCGCGCAGACGTACACGATCATGGCCAACTTCTTGCTAGGCGTTGTGCTCATGGTCGTGTCCTTCATCCTGGACGTCGTAAGTACGAGCAGCGCCGATGCCAACAAAGTCCTCAAGTTCTTCTGGCGCCTCAGTCCGCTCTTCAACCTGGGCAGTGCGCTGCTCAACCAGTGCCTCAGCGAGATCACGGCAGCCTTCGGTCGCACATCCGGGACGGTCAGCCCGTTCGACATGGATGTCATGGGCTGGGAGCTGCTCTACCTGGCGCTGGATGCCATCATCTTCTTCACGGTCGCGGTTGGCATCGACTTCCTACTGAGCTTCCCGAAGATTAAAGCCGCGATCTTCAAGGACCCGCACCTGGAGGACGCTCCGTATGAAGAGGACGAGGACGTGGCCCGCGAGGCTGAACGCGTACGCAGTGGCGGAGCTGACGGCGACGCTGTGAAGCTGCTTGGCATTCGCAAGGTGTACAATGGCAACAAGGTGGCCGTGCGCAACTTGTCGTTCGGTCTGCCCAAGGGCGAATGCTTCGGCTACTTGGGTATCAACGGAGCTGGCAAGACCACGACCATGAAGATGATGACAGGCGACATCCTCCCGACCACGGGCAGCGGCACACTTGGCGGCTTCGACATCCTCGGAGAGCAACTGGAAGTCCGTCGCTTGATCGGCTACTGCCCGCAGTTTGACGCGCTGTTCGAGCTGATGTCGGTGCGCGAGCACCTGGAGCTCTTCGCGCGTATCAAGGGCGTATCGAGCGCGAACTTGAACGACGTCGTCAAGATTCTCATGCACCAGATGAACTTGGACGACTTCGAGAACAAACTGGCCGGGACGCTCAGTGGCGGCAACAAGCGCAAGCTCTCGGTGGCCATCGCTCTGATCGGGTCGCCGCCGATTGTGTTCCTGGACGAGCCCTCGACTGGCATGGACCCCGTGTCTCGCCGCTTCATGTGGAATGTCATCGCTGCGATTTCCACGCAGCGCAAGGAATCGACCATCATCCTCACCACGCACTCGATGGAGGAGTGTGAGGCGCTCTGCACGCGAGTGGGCATCATGGTCGGTGGTCGTCTGCGATGTCTTGGCAGCGTGCAGCACCTGAAGCACCGCTTCGGAGACGGCTTGATGCTCGAGCTGAAGCTAATGGGTACGCCCACGCATGACATCGACGCGCGCGTGGCTTCCGTCTTCGGTGGCAGCGCCTCGACGACGACGTTCCCCCGTGCCGAGCTGCGCGCTAAGTGCGAGGCGCTGGGCGACGCGTCTTGGGCCGACAAGATCGTCATGAGTCACGCCACTGGTTACGCCTTGGCGACTGCACTCGAACGCGACGGGACCATGCGTCTTGGCATGCTGTGCGCGTGGTGGGCAGCTGAAGAGCGCTTCTTAGGGCTAGACGCGTTCCTGCGTGAGAGCTTCGCGGTAGATGCCAACACTGGAGTGAAGATGCTGGAGCGGCAGAACGACATGTGTCGATACAAGCTCACGGGCCAGGTGCCGCGACTGGCGAGTGTCTTTAGACGCGTGGAGGCCAGCAAGCAGCAGCTCGGCATCCGCGAGTACGCAGTTTCGCAAACTACGCTTGAGCAGATCTTCAACAACTTCGCAGGTCAGCAGAGCGAGGAGAAGGGCGTCGCGCGCGGCATTGGCGGCTAGATCACGCGCTACACTTTCCAGCACACAAACATCATAATATAACATTCATATCATACACAGCACAATAACCACGCGCGGAGAGCGTCTACATAGTAAGTCATTAGAGATGCATTGATGCGCGTGTTCAAAAGTGACCGCTTATCTTTTTCGGCGCCCAAACGCTTCAGCGCCGTCCTTGTTGTCTATCACCGTCATGGCTGGGTCTGTATTTACAGGTCCGCAGGCATGACACAGTTGCCGTACAGGGCCTCGTACGTCTCGCGCTCGCGACTGCATTCACACAATACACCCACAAATCGTTAGTCTAAACAGTTCCAAGCTGACAGCTTCATCATCATCACACAGAAATTCACGTACATGAGGGAGTCGCTGCCGTCCGAGCGGATGAGCACCTCGGGCGCGCGCAGCTTGCCGTTGTACTGGAAGCCCATCGAGTGCGAGTGCGCGCCCGTGTCGTGGATCACGAAGAGGTCGCCCACCTGCGCCTTGGGCAGCGGGCGGTCTTTGGCGAACCAGTCGTTGTTCTCGCAGAGTGTGCCGACGACGTGCGAGGGGGAGACTTCGCCGCCCTCGCGCTTGGGGATGGAGATCTCGTGGTACGCGCCGTACATGCCGGGGCGCATGAGGTGCGCCATGCAGGCGTCCACGCCGTAGTAGCGGCCGTACGTCTCCTTAATGGCCTCGCAGCGCGTGACCAGCCAGCCGAAGGGGCCCGTCATGAAGCGGCCGTTCTCCATGCAGAGGCGCGGCAGCGTCTCGAGTCCGTGCTCCTTCATGGCCTCGTCGAAGACCTCGCGCAGCATCGTGGCGATGGCCTCGACGTTGACCGTCTCCTGGTCCTTGCGGTACGGGATGCCCAGTCCGCCGCCGATGTTCATGAACTCGAACTCGATGCCGAGCTCCTTCTTGAGCTGCACGATGGTGTTGAACAGCACCGTGACCGTCTCGCGCCAGTACTCCTGGTTCATGACGCACGAGCCCGTCATCATGTGGATGCCGAAGCGCGTGGCGCCCGCCTGCTGCGCCTTGCGGTAGGCCTCGACGATCTGGAACGGGGGCACGCCGAACTTGGCGTCCGGGCCGCCCAGCACGTTGGACGCGGTCTCCGAGTCGGTGCGGCCGAGGCCCGGGTTGAGGCGGAAGCTCATGAGCTCGGGGCACTTGCCGCGCGCGGCCACGAGGCTGTCCACGAGCGACACGTCGTCCAGGTTCATGATGACGCCCTGGTCAAAGGCCGTGGCCAGGTCCTTCTGCGCCGTGAAGTTGGACGTGAAGATGACCTGGTCGCCGGGCACGCCCAGCTCCTTGACGATGTGCAGCTCGGCCGACGAGCTGCAATCCATGCCGCAGCCCTCCTGCTTGAGCACCTTGAGGATGGCCGGGTTGGGCAGCGCCTTGACGGCGTAGAACTGCTGGAAGTCGGGGAAGTGCGCGCGGAAGGCGGCCAGCAGGCGGCGCGCGTTCTCGCGGATCAGCTGCTCGTCGTAGATCTGCAGCGGCGTGCCGTAGGTCTCGGCAAGCGCGTCCAGGCGCTCGAGCGCGGGCGTGGGGAGCGGCAGCGGCATGGTATGTACAGACAAGTGAGCTCGAGGCGGCCAGTTGAGGTGTGTCACCTCAGCCAGCCACCATTGTGTTAAGACCGATGTTCAAGATGGGTACGCGGGCTCAGCCAATCGCAGCGCCGGAACGAGCTCTTCCAATCGGAGCGGTGGAAGAGCAGTCCGACGGCGCCAGCGGGATTATTATCGCCTCTCAGCCGCCGAGGAGCTTCACCAGCGATGGCCTGAAACCAGTTTTTTTAAACTGCGCCGAGCATTGTAACTTGTACTCGAGGAAGCCGATGGTCGAGTTCCTTGATGCACAACGCGATTGAGTCGGCTGAAAACCATTTTTTTGTTTTGGAAGCGATGTCTTGGGTCTACCCGCAATCCACACACTTTACAAGAAGCTTCACCCGCCGCCCCGATACCTAGGGCCAACACAGCATCCTGCTCCGTTATCGATTCTCTTGGAGCGGGGGGGGGGTCAGACTCCCTAGCTGAGTTTGTGCTTGTTGCGAAGTAGACGACGAACCGCACCCATTGCTTCACGCACCTTCGAGTCGAAGGTCCGTTGCACTATGCACCAGACCACAAGCCTGAAGTTTTGGCTTCGATACCAACGAATAGTATTGGGCTTTAAGGCCTTGTGCACGAGCTTCCTACCCAACTCCAACGTGAGTGTTACATGTAGTGCGGCGTAAAAGAAGCCAATTGCCTAATGAATGTTTCGTTCGTTTTGTGAAGATTTGCCCTTCACAGCAAGTTGACACTTTTCATTTTCTTTGGTGCTTCAAGACGTTTGGCGGGAACTAACTGCACTTCACATGACGGATTGATCGATCCATCATAGCTTTTAACTACACCACAGTTCATGGTTTACGGTTTACCGTCGTTCTACTGCCGCGGTACCATTAGCTCATTGAGCCGCTCTTCATCTTCTGGAAAACCGAGGAGGCTAGGGAGTGTTTGCGCTCGCCCAAGCTGCCACCGTTATTGTAGCTGCTCGCGGCTGAACCATAGCTTGACGACGATAGGTAATAATCAGACGGTGACGACGAGGCGGAGCGTAGCGCGGGGTGCCCCGGTGGTGGCGGGGTGGCCAGAGAAGCGCCCTTTGAAGGCGACAACGTCGGCATGGGCGCGCTTGACGACGACGTCACCGATTCGCAGCTCTTGCGGCGCTTTTGCACGCACCCGATGCACACGCGCACGCTGGTAGAACCCACGTCCGGTAGAGCGACATCCATTTTGGGACAGCACTCGGAACAGCAAATTTCTCCACACAAACGACAGTGGTGACGGCGACGCGATAACCCGAACTTCGCATCGCATATACGGCACCCCAGACGCTCGCGATTGTGCACCCAGTGCGGCGCATTCACGAGCAGTGACTGCGATAGACGTCGACTGGTGAGAACCTCTTCCAGACGTGCGATCTTGGCGCACAGCGCTCGTAGCTTCGCTCGTCGAGATGCCATGGGCAGCTGCGCTTTCTCCAGAATCGACGCCACGAACTGCACCTCGACGTAGCCGTCGCGCCCGCGTGGTTGACGAACCATGAATCCTGTTGGCTGAAGGTCCGTGGGCTTGGAGCCGACCTCGTCCAGCCACGACTGACAGTGCGGGCTGTAGCAAGACTGCAGCGTGCGCACGTACATCGGCGACGAGTCCGCGTTCTCGTCCCAGTCGTTCACCAAAATGCACTCGTAATCCAGCAGACAGTAGGTAGTCCGCGAAGCAAACATGCGGCTCGACTTCTCGCCAACAACCCACTTGATGCTGAGATTGCCCTGGTGGCCCGAAGCTGCCATTGCTGCGCGGTAGTCCTCCATGTACGTGGGGGACAAGTACGGCCCCGTATTCGTTGCCCGTGCCGTCGGAGTCGCGTTGCCTGTTAGTCGATCGACTTCAAGTGAGTCGCCGCGGGTGCCTCGCGCGCGTCCGGTCGAGGACTCCCGACTGATCCCTGTGAAGGGCTGTACATCCTCTTCGCTCTCCAGGTCCGAGTCCGAGTACGACGACTCGCTGTCGCAGTCAAGTGTCGACGCCTGGGACGCCATTCGCTGCGGAATCGCCTCACCATTGTTATTGATGTTGGTATTGTTGTTGCTGCGGCGCAGACGCTTCTTCTTGCGGCGGTAGACGAACGCTGACGAGGTGGTGCGCACCCCCACGAGGTGCTGCATGGGGAGTTCCATGTCCTCTCTGTCCGAGCGCACGAGCAGATCCACGACCTCTTCGATGGAGGACGGCAGCAGCGCTACGCACTTGACGAGATACTGCTGGAGCACCTTGGAGGCGAACACGTTGCCCAGCCCGGCCGCTGACGACGCGGCGTCCCACTCGGAGCTGTCGTTCTCCCATGCGCTGGCGCCGCCGCCTCCGTTCCCGTTGGCCGCCGCTGGGTCCGCGCTGGAGCTGGAGGGGTCGTCGCCGCCCTCGCTGCCGCTGACGAGCGAGTTCATCGTGTTCCAGAGGAACGTGTTGGTGCCGATGGGGCACACGCGCTCCATGACGCGCACCTTGATGGCGCCGCCCGTACCCGGGTTGTCCGTGGTGGACACGGCTGCGGCCGCCGCGCTGGCGCTCACGGGGCTCCAGTTGACCGAGTCCACGGCGCCGAAGCCGAAGAGGCTCAGCGACGTGCGCGCCTGCGACTCGAGGTCCTCCTCCACGGCGCGGGAGAGCGTGGCGCTCGTGAGCGGCGCCGGCTGCAGCGACAGCGCGCTCGACATGCTCTGCGTGCTGCTCGTGGGCTTCAGCAGCCGCACGGTGCTGCGGTTCGCCATGGCTCAAGCTGCTGCTGCTGGCTGCGTGTGATCGCCCTCGGCCCGTTGACCCCACGCCGCCGTGCAGGTCTGGAAGAGAGATAATGAGAGCCCTGGGGTCCGTCCGTCAAACGCAGGGCGACGGCACGAGGGGAGAGGAACGACGGTTTGTGCTGGCACGCACGACACCGTATTTTCGTTGGCTTAATCAAAATACTACGCAGTAGCATACCCTGCTCAAAGCAATACAGGGTGTGGGGGTAGGATGGTGTATTACTTAATGAATATATCCTATCGTGTAGAATATTGATCCGACCCAAATGCGACCGTAGCGACACCTTGGGTCCGTGACACGGAGGCTCATATACAGGTATGCGGTCTCTTAGAGTTAGCGTCACTGTCAGAGCAGCGCGATAACAGGTCCGTAATGTGCGTGGACTCCGCGCGTGGAGTTCACCGGTCGTCGCTGTTGCGGTGCCGAGCGCCATGTGGTTGTCGAGCGGGCGAAGGGCAACTGGCATCAGGCGGCTCAAGTCGGGGACCGGCTTTGCCCCTTGCTTGAGGACGACGCGAGTCAGCGATGACAGGCCAAGGCAGGAGCGGGGGTACACATGCATTCATGTACATGTGCATCGGTGCGGGTGACGAACGTTTTGCATCAAAGAGCAACTGCATTTGGCAACCACTAATACGCATACTCACTCAGGGCTATTTGATTCAAAGTGCTTCCATGAACATGAGGTCCGAGTCGCCTCCGTCGCCGGAGTTTGTGTTGTTCCCGCCGCTGTTGTTCTGCCCAGAGCCGCCCGAGTTGTTGCCCCCGTCCTGTCCCATGAAGCCGTCCATATCTAGCAAGTCCATGCTAGAGAAATTTGTGGGCGAGAGGTCGTTCGAGAAGCTCATGAAGCCGGACGACGTCCCGGTAGACCCAAGATTTGACGGCATCTGCAGCAAGCCGCTGCTGTCCATTCCACCGTACAGCGACTCGTCCAGGCTTAACGAAGACGTATCACCTCGAGAGGTTGGCGGTCCTGACTGCTGCGGCTTTTGCTGCTGCTGCTGGCCCTGGGGTTGCTGCTGAGACTGCTGGGACGGCTGACCTTGAGGCTGCTGCTGCTGCTGCTGCTGCGGAGGGCGCGACTGCTGCTGCTGCTGGTGCTGCTGCTGAGGGGCACCTTGCTGGGGCTGCTGTGAAGCGGTTTGCTGCTGAGGCTGTGCGGCCTGGGGCTGGCTAGTCGGAGCTTGCGGACCACGCTGGGCCTGCTGCTGCGCTAATTGTCGCTGCTGCGGGTTCTGCTGGCCAGCGGGCGCCTGCTGTCCATTCTGCTGGTTCGGTTGGTTCCCCTGCTGAGCAGAGAGATGCCCTTGCTGCGTCTGTCCCGGGTGCGCTCCCTTCTGCTGCTGCTGCTGCTGCATCATTTGTTGTTGCTGCATTATTTGCTGCTGACGAGCTTGGGCCTGCATCCGCTGTTGCTGCTGCTGCATTTGCTGAGCGCGCTGCTGCATGAGATACTGCTGCTGCTTCTGCTGTAACGACAGGTTTTGTCCGGGCGCGTTTACGTTGGCCGGGTTCTGCTGCTGCTGGGCCTGTTGCTGCTGGTTGGGGCCAGGCTGCTGTTGCTGCAAGTGCATTGCCGAAGAATTGGGCGGGACGGCACCAGCGGAAGGGCCAGCGTTTCCAGCGGGGTTTGCTGCTGTGGAGGGGTTCACACCGGCCGGGTTGGGGCCGTTCCCGCTGCCAACATTGGGGGTGAAGCTGCGTTTGTCCGTCTCCGTACGCAGCTTCTTTAAATACGGGTTCACAATCTTTACGATGTACTTGTACACCTTGTCCAGCTCCTCGATTTTGCGCGGAGCATGGGTCGTCTTGTCCTCGTTGAGAATACTCGCGCACAGTTGCACGTAGCTGAGAAGATACCGCAACTTTTTCTTCTGCTCGGTCTCGTCGTGGCCCTTCATGTGATCCACGTACTTCTTGAACGCGCTGTGCACCTTCTCCACGTCGTCGTGATACTTGGCCTTCAGCGCTGCGTGTTGCCGCCAGTACTCGGCCGTCATATCACCAAGAACGGTTCCATCAGGTTTCGCTGACCGCGGTGTGGTATTCGCTCCGTTGGGAGCCGCCGGGTTCGCAGGCATGCCTCCAGCACCCATAGCCACAGGCTTAGCTTGCGGCTGCGGCTGCTGCTGCTGAGGCTGCTGAGCACCGGGGTGGCCGGCAGGTCCGCCAAACTGCGGGTGTCCCGGGTATCCTCCAACCTGCGCGCCATTAGCTCCGGGGGCGGCTGCGCGCTGGTTCAGGTTGAGCGTGTTGTAGTAGGAGAAGTCCAGCCTCGAGAGCATGCCCTGGTTGGGCAGCGTCTGCGCCGCCATGACCGCATTCATGTCCGTCTGCTGAGCGCGCAGCGACTTGAGGCGGGTGAAGATCTTGTTGATGTATTCTTCCTGCGTGCGCGACTCCTTGTACAGCGTCAGCTCGTACCACGACACGTTCATCCAGAGCTTGATGCCCGGCACGGGGTCTGCCGACACGCGCACCATCTCATTGTAGCTAGACGACACACAATACCAAACAGGGTCAGATTTACCCATGGAAATTAGAGCCAACAAGGCAAACGCCGCCAAAAGACGTACATTTTGGCGATGAGATTCGCGCGGTGCTCGCGCGTGAGCTGGATCCGCCAGTCCGCGCCGCCGACGCTAGCAGCCTGAGCAGCGCCCGGCACCTGCATCCCCGGGGCGGCCGCGGCCGCCGCGGCCGGGTTCATGGCGTTCGGGTTCATCTTCATGGCCATGGATCCCATGTTCATCTGGTTCATCTGGTTCATGTTCATCATCATCTGCTGCTGCTGCGGGACGCCGTACGCGTTCATGGCCATGCCGTTCATGCCCATGGCCATGGCCTGCGGGTTGGCGCCGTTCGCGCCGGCCATCGCCATCGACATGGGCATCGACATGCCGCCCTGCATGCCCATCGCGTTCACGGCGTGCGGGTCCATCGCTGGCTGGCTGGCTGGCTGGCTGCTGGGATGCGGGTCACTCGCTCAGTCACTCAGTCACTTTCCGCGCGCTCGGGCTCCGTTCAAATGGCGCGTCGTCGGCCGTTGCATCGCTCCCGCCGTTATGCGGCGGATTGGCTGAAAACCACCTCGTCTCATTGGCTGAAATACGGAATTAGAGGATTGGCAGAAATACCCGAGCATTGGTTTTGTATGGGGAAAAGTATGGATAAGTTTTTAAACTAAAATTTGAGCGTTTCTTTGGCGATTGGCCAAAACCTAGCACGATCCCACTCTCGGGGATGTGGTACAGTGTACCACTATGAGGACGGAGGTCGTGTGCGTCCAAGCAGCACAATACCCATATCATATAGGTTTTAGATGGAGCGACACCCCTCCTTTCGACAGCGAGGTCACCAGCAAAAGCTGAACTTGTTTCTGTCCAGAAACTGTCGTCCGGCCGTCAGCCGTACCGCATTAGGAGCATTAGGAGCGGACTGCATTGCATCGGACGGAGCCCCGAGTTACGCAGGCCAAGGAAGGCGGGTGCCGTGGCCGGAGTCTTATTAGGGAAAGCCCTGCATAGAGTCGGTCAGTCAGTCACTCGGTCTGCCATGGCGCCGGTGCTCGTGCGCGCGCTGCTGCTGGCGCTGGCCGCTGCCACGACGTCGACGTCGACGGTCTCCGCGAGCTCGAACCCGGCCGAGTCCCTCCTCTCGGCCGTCGTGAACGTCCGCAAGTCGCAAGCCATCTTCTACGCGTCCAGCGGCGCCGAGGAAGGCTGGGGCGCGTCACTGGAGGCCCAGAAGCTCAAGGACGGCGAGAAGCACGCCTTCTACCCGCTCGTGTACAACGCCTCGGCGCTGGACGACACGTACGGCTGCACGCCCAAGGAGCAGCTGCTCAATGCCAGCGCCAGTAACGCCTCGACCGCGAGCTTGTCGGGCTCCGCCAGTGCGGCGCTGCTTGGGCTGCCGGACGAGCCCTTCGTGCTGCTGGTGGACCGCGGCGGCTGCACGTTCGCAGAGAAGGCGTTCTACGCGCAGGAGCTGGGCGCCGCCGTGCTCATCGTGACCGACACGCTCCAGCAGCTCTACAACCGCTCGAGCGCCGCAGATGCCACGGAGGAGGAGAAGAAGATGGAGTTAAGCTGCTCGCGCGGCTCCGGCAAGGCGGCGTGGGACGCGGACATCACCGACGTCACGTCTTCGTCGTGGGAAGACGCCGTGAATGTTCGTTCCTGCACAGGCAGCAACCGGTGCTCGTCGCACATGTGCGTGCCGTCGGGAGGCCCAAACAAGCAGGTGTGCTGCGCGTGGGATATCCCTGACCTCATGGGCTTCGGAACGACGGATGTTGTGACAGACAAGAGCCTCGTGAGCGATATCGTCGTGGTGCGGATCTCCATCAACGACGGGGACTCGCTGAAGGAGATGCTGACGACTGGAAGCGAGGACGAAGACGGTCAGCTCATGATATCCGTGTACGACCGTGACCCGCCCACGATGGACCCAGCTCAGGTGATCCTCTGGCTTGTTGCCTGCGCGACCGTGCTGGTCGGGTCTTACAAGGGTGCGACGTACGAGCGCACAAAGGCACAGCTCAAGGCAGCATTGATGGCTGCTGATGCCACCTCTTCAGACGCCATCGCCCAAGCTCGAGTGGCGTACGAGGAACACGACGAACAGGCCCCGGATCAGGAGCAGCTCGACCTCAATTCGTGGCATGCGCTGGCATTCTTGGTAGTCGGTTCAGGGTTCCTGGTGCTGCTCTTCTTCGTCAACGTGGTTATCGTGGTGGTCGTTCTCTTCGGCATCGGCTCCGTGACCGCCACTTTTCAGGTTATTTGGGAGCCTCTCATGCGGCACCTTCCTGTGAAGTTTTTCCACAAACTGCCCTGGCGTGATGTGATGTGGCAATGGGAAGATATCGTGGTGCCCGCCGCGTGGAGTATAGGGGACGTGGTGGCGCTGGCGCTGTCCATAGCAATCGCGCTCTTTTGGTTCTTCACGCGCTTCCAGTCGTACTCGTGGGTCTTCCAGGACATTTTCGGTGTTTGCTTCTGTCTCGTGTTCCTGCGAACTGCGCGCCTTCCGAACTTGAAGGTGGCCACGGTGTTGCTGGTGCTCGTCTTCATGTACGATATCTTCATGGTCTTCATTTCTCCCTACATTTTCAAGGAGAGCGTCATGATCAAGGTAGCTACTGGTGGCGCACAAAGCACTGCCACGGGTGGTGTATCCAGCGGCTTCTGTCTGCGCTACCCGACGGACACAAAGCACGACTGTCGCTCCGAGTCAATGCCCATCCTACTTCGAGTCCCCAAGATGCTGGACTGGCGCGCGGGTACCTCGCTCCTGGGACTTGGCGACATCGTATTACCCGGATTGTTGCTGGTGTTCTGCGCGCGCTACGACTACGCCACTCGGGGTCAGCTTTTCGGACGCCTGACCCCTCCACATGGCAAGTTGTTCGGTCGTCGTCCGATAGGCGACGTGATGAATCATGCTTCAGCGGTGGCCACTGGAGCCAACCGAGATCTGGACATGCTGGGAGCTGAGCACCACCCGTGTCGCCGCGGGTTGTTCTGCCTACTCATGTGGGGTTACACCATTGGCCTGCTGCTCGCGAATGTCGGTGTTATCGTCAGTGGCAGCGGCCAACCAGCTCTGATGTACCTGGTGCCTTGCACGCTCGGCCTGTTAGCGATCGTGGCATGGCGGCGTGGCATTTTGAATAAGCTCTGGGAGGGCCCACCAGAGCTCATCCCAGGGTATGTTCGTCGCGAGAGCACCACAAGCGGTGGTGGAGGACTTGACCTTGAGGATGTGACGCGACTTCGAGGATTGAGCATCGAGCCGAGTAAGGCTGCGACGAGCGAGATGATCCTTCTGCAACAACATCAGGGCGGCGCGGGCACTCCGGTATCCGGTGGGTCGTATGCTATGAGCGAAGAAACTCCTATGGGTCGCGATAGCCAGCCTGGTCAAGCCTTGCGGCAAGTATAACTTTCATCCCCGCTGTAGCCACTTTATCCCCCATGTAGGTCATCGAACAGATTGAAATATAGGTATGTGCGTTTTGCTGTTTATGCTGTTCAACATCGACTTCGAAACACAGAGCGATCAAATGCCTTTCACCCACTCGTCATCTTCGCCCCATTCGTCAGCCGCGTCTACTGCAGTAAGCTCGTCGTCCATCTCGGCTGCAAACAACGCCGAGGCCTCAGCAGCAGTAGGCAAAGCTGATGTAGTAGCCGCCATTGCAGGAGCCGCGCCAGTAGTAGCTGCAGGCGGAGGCGGAACAACCGCGCTCTTCTTGAATGTCGGCACCATGCCAAATTGCTGCAGACACAGAAAAAAATCAAAAAAGTCAGACCCAAACCACCGCATCCCCCCACAATTGCTATCAATACGTACGCTGAACAAGTCGTCTACACTCTCGCTCTCCTTCTCTGCTGACGCAGACGCACTGCGGTTGCTTGTTGGCGGCATGTGCGCCTCATCGGTCACGACTTCGAAGGAGTCACTTGAGCTGTTGGACTCGACACTCGATGGTAGCAGGTCGCCTTTACCAGCAATAGCAATTTCCTGGAGCTGTGCGTGTTGGGGTGGAGGTGGCAGCGCCTGGCTAAGCTGGAAAGGGCTTGGACTGCTCTTGCTTTGACGCGGCGTTGTCGGGCGCAGAGGGCTGGGCACAGCTGCAACAAACGGGTTCAGTTGCGGAACCTGCGCTTGCGTGGAGTTGCCCTCCCAGTCGTCCCAGTTGTCTCGGTTGTTCGCAAAGGTGTCCTCCTCGTAGTCGTCACAGTACTCGTCGTCGTCATCTTGGCTGTGGCTGAACGGTTGCTCGTCGGGCACCTGCGTGTACGCCACCTTGGGTCCCTTGGATCCAGCGCCTCCAGCTACACTTCCACTCGTAGTCGCCCCCGTCGAGCGTCGTTTCCGTCCCCAGAGCAGCAGGAAAATGCAGCAAATACCCGCCAGCGCCATCAACACCACTGGGTTCGTGCCCTGATCCAGATAGCCCGGAGCGCGGGTGTCCGCAGCGTCGTTCGTCACAGCTTCGGAGATCACGGCCGGTTCCTGCGTGCGTAGCGATGGCTTCGTCGTGACCTCCACTATCGCTACGGGCTGTGTCGTCTCTGGCTCAGCTGGGGGCTCTGTCGCTGGAGGCTCCGTGGTCACGGGTGCCGCCGTCTCCGCTGGCATTGTAGGCGCCTGCGTGTCTGGCTCGGCATTCGCACTCGCGTTATCCAAGTCAATTGTCGGCTCTTCCACGCTGGGCTCGACCTGTTCGTCTCCATCTGCAGGCAGCTGCGGGGCGCTGGTCTCAGCGGGGGGACTCGTAGTCACCACCACCACCAGCGCCTCGGCGTCCGGGTCCTGCGTGTCTGCAGCCGGCACCACGGCGTCGCCTCCGCCTGCAACTTCCTCAGCGGCTCCGACTGGTTCGTCACCCACGTTTCGCCCGGCTTCGCCTTCTCCGCTGCCCAGCGGCAGTTCGTCCGCCGCCTGCACGAGCGTCCACGCCATCTGCAGCGTCGCGGCGGCTGCAGCGGCCGAGACCAGCGCGTGTCTACCGGAGACCATCGGTCCAAGTCACTCTTCACCTTGGGCTGAAGGCGTTTCTCTCAATCAGGGCGCTTAGTGAAAAAATCCTACCTTACGTCATGATGAATGGCTTTCGGTGGGTCATGAAAATCAGATTTTGTTTCAAGAAATCGTCAAACTTCATTTTTGAATTTGAAGGTGAAGTTGATGGACCCGTCGGATGCGGAGCTGGACGAGGAGCTGCGGCGCGGGCTCCTGCCGCGTGACGACGAGGAGGATGAGGACGCTGCGCCTACCCGAAGGAAGGGCGCTCCCTCTATGGGCGCAGTGGAGAGGCTGGTGCTGTCGCCATGGGAGAAGTGGGCGGTGCACGGCCGCTTCCCCTTCAAGCTGACGCTGCACGTGGCGCTGGTGCTGCTCACCTTCGCGCAGATGCAGCTCTACGACGCGCAGAACGCCGCCTACATGCGCGCTTCACACCGCAACTGGTGCGCGCTGTCGTTCGCAGTCTCTCGCGCGCATCGACTGACATGTTGGTGGTGAATGCTTTGGCGCAGGGCCTTCTTCTTTCTGCCGCCTGCCGCCGACATCGGTGTCGTGTACGTTCGTAGCTGAGCTGCAGCCGTGCACTGTTGTTATGGATCTATGTGCTTATTTGCTGTGTTCGTGATGCTGGGTATTCTGTGGGGAGCAGGCCGCGGTTCCAGCGCGAGTTTTACACGATCAACCGCACCATGGAGGCCGTGCACTACCTGCGAGACTCGTACTTTTCGATTGGGAACGAGTCGGTCGCTAACTACGAGTATCTGCGCACGGCATCAGGCGAGATCCAACCGCTCAAGCTGACTGTGGAGCGCGTGCTGCCTCACGGTGACTTGGAGACGCGCGAATACCTCGTCACTCACGACGACGAGACGGTGGGGCCTTTCGACCCAAAGATGACGCTGTGGCAGAAGAAGCATTTGTTTCGATCGCTATTGGCGGTGAAGTTTTCCTTCCCGCTGCGTGACCATCAGTTTGGTAACTTCTATGAGGAGTGCTTCGAGTGGAAGGTGAACGTGGGGTTCCAGGTGATTGAAAGCGCCCATATCCATGTTCAACTGGAGGACTGCGAAGTGTCTCGATGCGCGAGTACACACCCGCGACCATTCTGGGCAACGGCGAGACAAAGCTTCGTATGGATGCATGCTGTCGTCGCCGTGGTCTCCATTGTCTACATGATGCTCAGCCTCAAGGCGATCCGGCGATCCTTTCACGTGTACGCTACCCAAGCGACAATCGCATATCCTTCGCCCTTTTACCTATCTAATCTGTGTGTTTGTTGTGCGTTGTACTTACAGTATGGCGCGAGCAAGAGGTTTGCTGCGAGATCACGCTAAGGAAAAAGGCAAGTTAGACAAAGGGCTACATGACGTTGCAGCGCATGAGGCTGGTGACGATAGTCACCCACCGAGTTTCGAGCGCCCACGCGAAGCGTTCGGTTCATGGACAAAAATCCCCTTCTCGCTCAAGCTCAAACTTCTCAATGGCTTGTACGTTTGTTTCAACCATTTTGTCTTTTAGGGCTGGTCTGATGTGCTTCCTGTATCCGTGCTGCAGGCAGCTTTTGGTATTTATCTCGCTCGTGCTGTTGCTTGCGAGCACGATGTGGAGCTTGCTTTTCCTGGAAGCTCACATGCCGATTCGCTTCTGGCATCGATTACTTCACGCGACGGCGTTGCTGCTGCTCTGGAGTTGCCTCGTAGGATATCTGGAGCACAACCAGCACATTTACTCGATTGTTCTGACGCTCAAGTGGGGGACGCCGCGAGTACTGCAGTTCTTGTTGGGTGTGTCGCCGATTTTGTTTGGATACGCTCTCTTCGGGACGATCTACTTCGGCAACAAGATTGAAGAGTTTGGCACCCTGAGCGCCTCCATGATCACGCTTTTCTCGCTCATGAATGGAGATATCATCATGGACACGTTTGACGCCCTGGATCTCCATCACTTCAACGTGTCCGGGAAGGTGTACCTGTACTCGTTTATCTCGCTGTTCATGTACGTGGTGCTCAACATCTTCATCGCGATCGTCGAAGAAGCCTTCTTCGCTACGCAATCCACGCGCCGCCGACTTCGTGACTTGCTCTCCGACCCGCGGGTATCACGTGTGAACGTGGCGAAGGAGTCGGATATATCGGCCGAGATGATGCGGGTTCTGCTCCAACTCATGGACTCGGATTGAGCTTCTTAGATAAGCTTGAAACTCAATATATTGTTATTTGCTGCAGAGTTTGTAGAGCTACCGTGCGGATTCAACCATGAGGTGAGTCCTAGCTGAATCCTCGCGGACAAGTTTATTCTCCAAGCACCTCGGTAGCAAGTTTCGTGACGTCATCGTCCACCTGCACGACGTGCTTGTGCAGGGACTGGCACTGCTCCTGCAGCGTGGTGATGTGGCCGCGTTGGACGTTCAGGCACTTGTTGAGTCGCTCGATCTCCTCGCTCGCCGTGTTGAGCTTCTTCTGGTAGTCGATGCGAAGCTTGTGCAGCTCCTCGCTTGTGCGGTCCGTAATCTCCTCGATCTTGGTCAATAGCAGCGCCTTATCCGCCTGGTGGATGGACATGAGCTTCTGGATCGTGTCCTCATGCGACTGCACCTTGCACTCAAGCGAGTAGAGCTGGTCCTTGACGCTGATGCGGCTGCCGGACACGGACGTGTTGGAGTTGCTAGGCGACATGATCCGCGACGACGGTCGGCGCATATCCCGCGACGGCGACTGGGCCTGCATCTCATCTTCAATATCGGCGAACATGCGCTCGCTTTCCATCGAGATCTTCATGTTCTTCATGCTGCTCGTGCCTGACAAACGCGACTCCATGGTAGTAGCTGGAACGCTGGACTGGAAGCGAGGCTGGAGGAGGTCGTTAGGCTGACAGTCGAACCGAGCGCTTGAAAGCAAATAGAAGATTGAATTGGTGCAGCGGCTCTACCGCTCAACGAGCAACTCAACTGCAACGCGCGCCAGTGGATGCCAAGCCGACTCAACGCCAATTGAACAGCAAGCCTCCATCTTTAGCTCGAGCTAAGAAAAAGCTCGCGGCACATCCAACACCGCCCTCCGCTATTGTCGGATAAGACAGGTGAGCTCCTTGCGCAGATTTAGCCGCTTGAACCAACCAGACACGAGTAGTTAGGCTCCACTTCAAGAAGCAAGGGAAAATAAATACACCAGGACGAGATGCAAACATGGCCAACTTCCTGGTGTCCTCACCTAAATAGCGTGCGCTCCATTGCCCAATACTTAAAACTCGATCGATTTCTTGCGCGGGAACGGAGCCCTCTCGCCGGTTTCCATGTCTGAGTCACCGCCCTCGACGGATAGCTCGCTGGAGAAGGAATCCCCCATGCCACTCGACAGTGAATAGCTGCTAAGAGAAGGGTAGGCTTGGTCGTCCGAGTCCGCGCTATCCTCTTGCTGGCGGGAGGCTGCCAGCAAGGCCGTGTTGGGCGTCATGGTGGTGTCCACACCCTGTGAATACTCGGACGATCCGACGGATCGAGACGCGTCGCTGATGGGCGAGAACACGCGCTCCTGGTGCTGCGTCACGATCTCAGTATCCGTGAGCGTGCTGCTCATGGGGTTGCCCGCGTACGTGTGGTAGCTCCCACCAGAGAAGCCCGATATCTGGGACGGGTTCGTGTCATGCGAGCGCGTCGTGCTCCTCGCCGCGCTCTCGCGGTTGCTCGTAGCTGTCCCCGCCTGACTCTCGCGCATCGCGACGGGCAGCATGTTATCCACGCCGCCCTTGGGCTGCGAGCGACTGAGCTCCAGCGACTGCACCACCTCCCGGCGGTTGTCGCCCAGCTGCGGCCGGTGCTTGAACCAATTGTAGAAGAAGACCAGCAGCCCCACCACGAACGCAATGGCGAGGCCAATGAGAGCCCATTCCCACGCCTTCAGTCCACCGCCGCCGCTGCCACCGTCGCTTGCTAGCTCACCAGCAAAGTCCATTGAGCCCGCCGACATTGAGCCAGCTCCTAAATACGTCGAACTTGAAGCTGAACAGCACACAGAAGCCGCGTGAGTACGATGTCCTAGCAGTCCAACAAGTCACTAGTAGCATGCCAGCACAGAACCTTGAGAACAGTTCGTCGCGTCCGCTACGGCGTTGCAGTCGAAAGTGGCGCTGCTGTTGATGCAGACGCCGTATACGTTCTTGTCGTTCTCCAGTCGCCGGCAGCTGCACGCGGTCTGGCACTCGGCCGAGAGACTGGAGGAGCCACTTGCAGCGCACGGCACGAGCGCAGAGCCTTGCTCGATGTAAAGCGCGCTGGATGGCAGCGAACACACTGCGAGCTCGGAGGCGGCGCCGCCAGCAGCGAGCGCCAGCGCCGTGAGGGTCCTTCTTGCACCGCGCCGCATTCGCGTCGTCACTCCTTTCCCTTGCACTGCAAGAAGCTCGCAACAGCCGATGCAACTGTTGGGGCATACCGGTTCAAGCCTGATATTTCACCGCCTGCGGTTACATTCCGGTATTGTGGGTGAACGGCTCACCACGATGAAAGTTGTCGCCGTGTTCTCGGAGTGACCACGCGTCAAGAACGACGCGCATAAATGTTCGTGTGCGCATGGAAAGTTACATGCATTAGGACTGTATGGTGAATAAATATCACGGATCTGCCTATGCATTTGACGATACTATAGCCAATTGGTTTCGTTTCCAGTACTGAAACACTGACATTGACACCAGGGTCCCAACTCAACATGTAATGTAAACCAGCCATGACTCAAGCACAAATGGGACCTCAACACATTGGTGAACGCGGACCAAGGGTCCACACACACTTGTCAATATATGCAAATTTAGAAACGAGAGCCCAAGCTTCGTATTTCTACACGCAATTCCGAATTTTGGAGAGCAGTCCCCGACATTTCAGTCAAGTACGGCGACTGGGGAAAATACTAGATCTCAACGGACCGGTCAACTAACGTTACAAATAGCGCGGGAGCGCGAGCTATGGGTACAGATACCGGTACTGCACCGGTCTTGCTCGATGGTTTCACCGTGTCAGGCCCAATCTGACGAAGGCAGATTGTGTGGTGGTGATCTTCCCAATCCGATCGGTTTACTCAGCATCCCACCAGAACGCAATTCGAGCCGTGCTTCGCAGTCGCTTCTTCTCGCCGCAACCGATCCACCATGGCCGCCGCACTCTGGGCTAGTTACAAGGAATGGGCCGACGCCCAGGAGACGCTCTTCCTCGACTGGGCGGACCCGTCGGGCCAGTACAAGCTCTCGCCCATGCAGGATCTGCCCGGCGCCGACTTCGCCACGGCCTTCGCCATCTGCGTCGCCTACGTGGCCTTCGTCGTGATCGGCACGGTGCGTTGTTTAGTCGCCCTGATTGAGTAAAATCTGGGTGGTGCAGCACTGGACTAACGATATCCTCTCTTCTGCCTCCTCCAGCTTATCATGAAGGCGGGCGTCCCGGCCATCAAGACCAGCTCGGTGCAGTTCCTGTACAACCCGCTGCAGGTCGTGCTGTGCTCCTACATGTGCATGGAGGCCGGCATTCTCGCTTACCGCAACGTACGTCCGCTTACCTGTCCGTTCAAAAAACCCCAGCAGCAACAGCACGGAACTCACCTTTCATCCTTTGCTGTGGTGGTAATATTCAGGGCTACTCGGCCACCCCGTGCAACGCGTTCAACGCTGAGAAGCCCGTCATGGGCAACGTAATGTACATGTTCTACCTGTCCAAGATCCTGGACTTCTTTGACACGATCTTCATCATCCTCGGCAAGAAGTGGAAGCAGCTCTCGTTCCTGCACGTCTACCACCACCTGACCATCTTCGCGGTAAGACCTCCTTCGTCTCTGTGCCGGCACCCAGCCGACCTATGTCTAATGCGCTCCTTGCCCCGCAGATCTACTTCATGAACTTCCGCGTGGCCTACGACGGTGACATCTACGCCACGATCATCCTGAACGGCTTCATCCACACCATCATGTACATGTACTACTTCGTGAGCGCCCACACGCGTGACATCTGGTGGAAGAAGTACCTCACGGCCATGCAGTTGATCCAGTTCGTCACCATGAACGTGCAGGGCTACCTCATGGTGTCGCGCTCGTGCGAGAACTTCCCGCACAAGGTGCCGGTCATCTACCTCGTCTACATCCAGTCGCTCTTCTGGTTGTTCATGAACTTCTTCGTCAAGTCGTACTGCGCCAAGCCGCGCAAGTCGTCCAACAAGAAGAAGACGCAATAGAGAGGGAAGGCCACCGATCCTCTGCTCGTTGGTGGTGACAGCCACCAGGTTTTGCGTCCGCGTGCCTTCGGTCAGCGGAGGCTGCTACAGTTAGTCAGGCTGCTGTTTTGTCGCGTGCGAGCGTTTTGGGACCAATACAACACCCGTGGGAGTGGGAAGCTGCTCCTGCGGCTTTTATCCAAACCTTTAGAACGTGTCGTTTCATGTGTCGTTTCATGTGTGGTGGTCCTTGCATCCTTAGGATTCCTTACTGACCTGAAAGTTGTAACTCCGTTACAGCAACGGAGTTATGTGAATGCCTGGCAGCGTGCTTTCACACTGCGCCCTTGGCGAGCGGCCTTGCGTTCGCGGCCTCGGCTTTGCATCGAGCTCTGATTAATGCCGTTAGTTTTCTTGTGCGATAGATTGTGGCAGAAGTTTTCGACTGCAGAGCGCGCCTCGGACGTGGAAATGGCGCATTGTCAGCACCCGAGCACGGGCGCCTGCTGTGGCTAGCCCCACCGTCGGTACAGTGATGAAAGTGTGACGAGGTCGCTGCGCTTGAGTCAGCGAGCGCGCTGTGGCGGGTGCACAGCGCGAAGCGGTCTCAATTCCCTCTCGAAGCTGATATAGGCGCTTGCTGTAGTCGCCCCCCGTGGCGTTTATGTCTGCCTCGCTGGGGACCCAAGTACGTGGCGAGCGCCGCCTCGCAGTCTCCAGGCTCGGGCTCCAGGCTCGGAGCACTCGAAGCAGCGTGCTTGGATACAACATGGATACACCGAGTGTCCGTAACGGATCCCGTAACGGCCGCTGGATGGTCCATGTGCATTCCAAGCGGACACCTCACAGCCAATCAGACGCTGCCACCACCCTAGTGGAACAGAGCACCGCGCAAGGCAACCTGTCCTGACGAGGAGGCCACCGCCGGCTTCGCTTGCACGCCTCGGCGGCGGGGCCTTTCCAGAGCAATCGAGCACGAGCGCGCACCAAATTTGAACTTTGCAGAGAATCGCGCCGGCGGCGGCGGCACGGCAGGCAGTTCGTTCGTTTGCACTGCACGACCTCGACAAGAGGAGTGCAGGCTTGCTTTGCCAGACCCACGGCCGAGCTGATCGCGGCGGCGGATGCAGCAATTCATTGCAATTATGTAAGCACCCGCATGCCAGGCTGCAGGGCTTTCGCTTCGGCCTCGGCCTTCCTTTTAGCCGGACAAACGCAGCCGCTGGAGCGCACGCTTCGCTGCTCGCGCGGCGAGGACCCCGACCGCGAGTACAGAGATCGCCAGTTAGTTTGTATCCATCCTGCCGGCTGTTCCGGTTTAAACTTGCATAGCGCGGCCCGAACACCCCGACACTTGATGCGCGGCGCACACGAGCGATCCCTCTGCGCTGAGTGTCACTCAGTGAGTGAATCCGAGCGGCGCGGCGCCGGCGCTGAACCCTGTGGATTCATTCCTCCAGTGCGACACGCTGCTGCTGCCGCGCCGCAGCTCGTCCGCTCGCAGGGTTGCAGTGATACCCAAGCTTACACCATCAATACGCCTCCTGAAGGTTGCGCTCCGCCACAGCGGTCTCCGCTACATGTACAAGACTTCTGCTGCTGCTGCTTGGACTGCAGCCTACGTGCTCGGTAACGTCCGTACGGTACAGTATGACGCCGTGGTCCCATTCCCCGCGACCACCCCAGTGCACTGATCACGCCGAGCCCGAGCACCACGCTGCTCTCGCCGCCGTGTCAGACTTGATGTTGAGCAAAAGCGGCCTCGGTCTCCCCCCGGCTATGATCTCCAAATGGATCGGCTACGTCCAAAACCCTTTGACTATAAATACCCTACCGTATCCGATTGGATGCGGTGCTACTGCGAAGTATACGAAATCTCAAGTAAAAGGGCGGACGAAATCAGGCGCTACCTGCGAGAACTGATCCTCTTGACACGCCGGACGCGCGCCATTCGTGCGCCGGACCCCACCCGTGGCGCTCACTTTCCCTTTTGGTGCCCGGCAGCTCGCACTCCGCCTCCCCGCAAGACCCTAGCAGCAGCAGCAGCAGCAGAAGCAGCACGATGGCCAGCGCACTCCTCGAGAGCTACAAGCAGTGGGCCGACGGCATGGACGTCATGCTCATGGACTGGGTGGACCCCACCCTGCGCTACCGCCAGTCGCCCATGCAGGACTACTTCCTGGCCGACTTCGCCACGGTCTTCGCGCTCTGCGTCGGCTACCTCACCTTCGTGGTGGTGGGCACGGTACGATCCTACTCCTCCTACTCTATTTCCGTATAGCGAGCGCCCTAATGCACGAATACTGACGACGGCCCTCCGCTTTTGCTGCATTCCACGCCTCCCACAGCTCGTCATGAAGTCGGGCATGCCTGCGCTCAACACGGCCCCGCTTCAGTTCATCTACAACCCCATCCAAGTCGTGCTGTGCTCGTACATGACCGTCGAGGCCATCCTGCAGGCCCGCCGCAACGTACGTGACCCTTTTCGAGGGATCTTCCCCTTGCCCCGTCCCGCCAGCTGACCTGGGGCCGTCTGTTTTCATTCACCCTTGCAGGACTACTCGGCCACCCCGTGCAATGCCTTCAACCACGAGAACCCCGTCATGGGCAACCTCATGTACATCTTCTACCTGTCCAAGGTGCTCGACTTCTGCGACACCTTCTTCATCGTCATGGGCAAGAAGTGGAAGCAGCTCTCGGTGCTCCACGTGTACCACCACGTCACCGTGTTCTTCGTAAGTCTTTCTTTGCTCTGCTCTCCGAGGCCTTCCAAACCACCCGTACTGACAAGGATGCATGTTTTTGTTGTTGTTAGTGCTACTGGGCCAACTTCCGCACGTCCTACGACGGCGACCTCTACGTGACCATCGTGCTCAACGGCGGCGTGCACGCCATCATGTACATGTACTACTTCGTGAGCTCGCACACGCGCCAGATTTGGTGGAAGCCGTACCTGACCACGGTCCAGATGATCCAGTTCCTGCTCATGAACGCGCAGGGCTACCTCATGGTCTCGCGCTCGTGCCCCGGCATGCCGTACAAGATCTCGGTCATGTACCTCATCTACGTGCAGTCGCTCTTCTGGCTCTTCATGAACTTCTTCGTCGTCAACTACTGCCTGAGCTCGCGCAAGACCCCCAAGGCCGTCGAGGCCGACAAGGAGAAGAAGACGCTGTAAATGAGTTGCTGAGTCGATCCCGTCGGTGGAAGGAGCAAGCAAGCGAGCGGCTGGGCGCGCAGAGCGGGCGTGGCACCAGGTGTCATGGCAGCGGAGACGCTGCCCGCCACTGGCTGGCCCAAGTGTATCTTCTTATTGCCAACGTAGGGTCTCCCTTCCACCATAATGGCAACACTAATACTACTACGACAGTTCCTGAACATGCGGGCTCCCTCTCCTCGCGGGCCGTACGGATAGAGCGCTCCATTCCGGCCGTGGTGGCCATTGGCCTCGGGCAACCAGATCCTGCTTGAGCTATGTGACGTAGTGCAGCCATGGGAAGAAAAAGGACAACGAACGGAGCGCGACAAAGGCGTCATCATGCCCGCAGATTGCGATCGTCGAGCAGGACAACAATGGTGGGCAGCCTCCAAGTGTTGCAGTCTCAAAGTTGCGGAGCCTGCTGGAAGACCACCGCTACTCTTTGGGGACGAAGTGGTGGGTCGAGGGTCACACGGCGCAGGCATCGCTGCCATTGTGGAGAAGGAAATTTTCGAGGGCGAGCTTGGAGCAGCTCTGCACCGAGAGTAAACGAGCCGTACAGTCCGGCTGTATCATCATGGCTTCGGTGAGACTCAAGGATATCTGCAAGAACACCTCGACGTTGCAGCTGAACTGGAAGCACTTAGCTCCTGCGGCGAACAACAGGGCGAGCTTACTGGCAATGCGGTGTGCTGCTCAACACTTTTCGGCGAGACGGATCATACAGTACAGGAGCCGGCATTTCAGATCGTGGCGCTGATAACGAACTCCACGCACATGGCATTCATCTGTAACGATGGTGCGCGCGAGGACGATGCTCACGATACCAAGAATCGTCATCGGCTTGGGCGGAGCGCGTTGGAAGCGCGTGTGGAAGCGTGAACTTTGGATCGACGACGCGCAAGAAGGACGGGTTCTGGAGCCATTTGGTCGGAGTACTTGTGTTGGGCTACCATCGCGAGCCCGTACTTTGGAGCAATGATCCGTGCTCGACGCTGATCGTGTGTGCTTACTAACCACTGGCTAGCCAATTTCAGCTTTGAAGCTCGACATACCGTGGAGAATCGATGGTGACTATCGAGATGAACACAGCGTCGATCCCAGGAAGTGGTTTGTACTGAAGGCGATACTCAGTGCTTTGCGGTGTCTCTTGTCCATCGGTATCGGAGATCGCGCTCGATCGGTAAAGGAAATCTTGTTGTGAGCTTCGCTTTTGCTACTTTTCAGCGGTCGGTCGATTACCTACCGTATGTACACGGCTCTCCATCCTTCTGACCGGAAACTTTAAGCTCAATCAAGCACATTCAGCCACTCGCTGTCGTCCACTGATTCCAAGGTCACTGCGGCACCGACCACACGCCACCACAGCGACTACGACCGATTCACCCGCCACACTTGAATAAACGGTAGGTCGCTCAATACTAAGTAGTGCTGAACATGAAGGAACTCGACCATCGGCTCCTCAAATATAAGTAATACATGTAGTGCACGCTACTTTTTAAAACGTTAACCTGGTTGCAGGCCACCGCCACCGCCGGTGAAGCTCCTCGGCGGCTGAGAGGCAATCCATCTGATTGCACCAGGAAGTTGCTGCTTTTGCTGTTGGCTCGGCGGGTGTGAAGGGCAAATTTTCACAAAAGTATCTATTCTACTCGTGCACGAGGCCTTCAGTCCAATATTATTCGTTGGTATCGAACCGGTTGACAGGCGAAGAGGGGAAGAGGTCAATGCGTTAAACCTGAAACAGGCGAAACAAGTGATATCTAAAACATTAAGTATAACTTATGGCTACCCCATCGACGTCTCCTCTTTCAGGGCATGCGCCCCTGCCCATGAGAGCCCCTCCTCAGCGAATCTGTTCATCTCCACGGGTGTGATCCGAGACGTCTTCGGTGTCGGGTTCACGCTCGTAACACCTCCGTTCCGACTTGGTTCTAGGAACCATTTCACGGTTTGCAAGTGGGCGTGGGCTCCCGCTGCACAGTGAACGGCAACGAAATGGTGCATCCGTATACCGCTGGGTTGGTTGCCGCCGGAAGTGACAACTGTTTGGAGCTTCTTAGTGAAGAACGAGCCGAACTGTTGACGATTGCCAAAGGCCTCTAGCTGTCGAGCGATCTGTGGACTCGCACAATGGTACAGTACCGAGTCGAGACCTCTAGTGCTCCACTTGGCTACGAAAGCTCGTCCGCTGGCGTCTCGCACGGAAGGTTCTTGCCATAACACCTTCGTCGACCGTTGCTTTAGCACACTGCGCAGTCTCGAGGTGTGATTCAATACAACGTGCACGAGTAGAAACCCCAGGGAAATGATGACAGCCACGAGCGAGCCGCCACTTATCGCGTAGAGATGAGGGTCCGAGTGCAGCTCCGCGTCCCGAAAGACAAGGTCAGCTCCCGCCTTGCACGAAAAGTGGATCACCAGCACCGCAGCCGCATTCAGCGACCAGAAGCGCACGAAATCATTCTGCGCAGCATGATCGAGGCGCATTGCCAGTGATCGCGTCTGCAGCGTGACCCGAATGACCCAATAGCTGCTGCTCAGAGTGGTGAGGACAAGCGAGAGGCTGCGCATTGGAATGGATGGCACGCAGTAGATGACGATCGTCCCTTCTTCTGTAGAGAGCTGGGCTGTACAACTGAGCGAGAAAATGTTGCTGAGAGTGCCTATCGCGCCGAGATACAGCAAAACCATCGTACCCGGGTGTCCAAGAGCTCCGTCAGCTGGGTCACACTGGAGCAACTCGAAGATTCCGATACGTAGCAGTGGCGCTTCACGTTTGATAAAGTCTGTGCTTCCAATACGGGTAAGAGACAGCGCCTCCCCTGCAGGTCGATACACGCTGTTCCGTATGAAGATCCACACACTCTTGAGGATGAAGATGTACTCGATCGCATAGTGCGAAGCACCGATCAAGTTGAGAATCAGCAGGAACGTGCGGATCTGCCGACTCGTATTGTCTTGGATTCGAATTCGTCGAGTCAACATTGTGGTATCAATCATAAACCACTCGATCTGGCGCAAGTTATCTTGCTCGACCACCTGGTCTTCTATGCTGGCGTCGGCAGTGATGAAGGACGAGCAGGAAGGAAGCTCAATCAAACTTCCGTTGAGCGTGCGGAATAGTACCTCCTCCGAAGTCATGAACAGTCTGCACAAAGTGTGTAAGTCCGTCTCCTGGGAATCTCGGAATTGGCAGCTACCGAATCCGTCACCTATGTAAGCTTGGTACTTTTGTACATTCCGGCCGCTCTGCTGCATGACCGAATCGACGATCGTTTGGCAATCTGGAGTATAGAGGTAGCCATACGGGGTAGTTGGTGTTTCGGAGTCTGTAACATTGACGCGAGATTTTGCCCACTTTGTGCCGTCCATTGACAGCAATGCAGAGTCCGTAAGTACCTCTGGAATGTCCAAAGCTGTATAATCCGTCGCAGATTCGCGTCGTCGCCCCAGTGTGTAGGTGGTAGTGTTGTCTAGCTCGGAATAATCGCGCTCGTCCTTCTGGAACAGAAACATCAAGTTCACAGCGAGAGTCGGGATGATCGAGGCCATGTCGCCCCCACACTGCTTGATCTTCGCTCCATCAACGTCAGCCACAGTGATCGATTTACTCATTGTCGTGTGCTGGATCGCACAGTTCCAGAACGGAGCCAAGTGCATCGTAGACACCAAGTGCATCCCGACCGTGTTGATCAGAAAGTCTGGCGTAAAGAATGACGCTGTGGCATGCGTAACCTCGGCAAAAATTGCGGCTTCTCCATTCACGTTGACCCCAACGGAGAGTTGTTGCGAGTCCAGATAATACGCTAGAAGAGCGTCGACGCCTAGTACGTCAACGAGTGCGACGTGATCACCATCAAATGACCTGGGTAGCAGCCTTACGACATCAGCTACTGATATCCCTTCGCTATACAGCTCCACAATTGCGTCTGCAACGCTGTCCGTGTACTCGGGTAGCTCCAAAGCGATAAACCCTTCCTGCGCATTTTTCATGATTTTGCGGACGACGTGCACGTCGTCAAAGTGGCGTAAATACAGTTCGGACATGTTGACGACGGCGATAAGGCCAAGCGTGACATTGCCGACCTCTTTCAAGTGCTCGTCGATTGGCGCTTTGTCGCGGTGGTTGAAGAAGCGATCGCGCGGAAACTTGTCGTGGAAATCTCGACAGAATTCGTGTTGAATCGAAGGGAACCAGTTTCCAAAGAGCAACTGTGGCTGGGTCTCCCAGGACGATAAAGAGGCTGTCACGGGTCCACACAAAGGCGCGTACACGTCTACCATAATGTTAACGGGTACTGTCAGTATCTCCGCGGGAAGGCTGTCGATTAAATCGGATCGACGCAAGTTCGATCGAACTAGGAAGTCGCTTAGTGAGAGTGTGGCTGCGTCTGTGCGGGTGAGCTTCTTCTTGGTCTTGAGATCGATCAGCGGGAGGTTCTTGCGGTCAAACGTGTCAAAGTAATGCACACCACTGGTGACAACACCCACGCTCTTGAGCTTGCGCGCGACGACCTCATCGCGGACTTCGTCGAGCGACTTGGTGACGTAGCTGCCAACGTAGTATTCCTTGAGCGGGGTCATGCTTATCCCGACGAGGGCAAACACGAAGATAGCGACGCATGTTCTGTATGAAACTTCGTAGTCATGGAATACTGTTTGCTGCGTTCTTGGTTTCTTTGCGCCGCCCTCGTCCTTTGGAAGTGGGCTCGTTCCTCGGCTGATGCCCGTCTTTCTTGTCATCACAGGTTGTGTTGTCTGTTGTTCGCTGTGCAGTATTGAATTCGGGTTACGGCGCGGACTTTGAGTGGGAAGCAAGGTCCTCTTGGGATAAGGATATTCAACACACCCGAATTGGAATGTTGGGCTCAATTAAAAAGCTTGCATTCATGACTCAACACCATAATTAGCTACCAGTCGCTGCTGTCACAGTGGATTGAATGATCCACCGTAACGCGAGCATTGCACCGGACTGCCACGGTTCTTTCATGGTTTATCCTCGTTTTACTGCTCTGATAACACTAGCTCATTGAGCAGCTCTTCATCTTCTGTCGCCGTTGTTGGTTGTTGTCCTGTGCTTCGGCAACAGCAACCAGCAGCTTCCTGGCGTCCGTGCAGCGAAAAACTTGCCAGCTGTTGCACTGCGATCCGGCATGTGCATGCGCGACCACAGGGCCGCGTGTCATCGCCACTCGCCGGTGACGCACACCGGGACGGTCTCCACACCCGCAGCAGCAACTTGTCGGCGGCAACAGGTCCCCATGGCAAGGCGGGATATGGCCCGATGGGGAACAAGTCCACCGCTCGAGGCAGCGCCCGGATGCGCAGCATTGGAAGGCCACCTCGAAGTGGCGGCCAAGCGGGCAGCAGATGCACATGCTGGCAACCCTGGCCGCGACCGCATTGTCGACCCGCAGGGGTAAGACGAATCTTAGTCCAAGATACGCTGTCAAACCAGGCGCCCGCTTGTCCGGCGTTGCAGGACGCTCGCTGCCTGCTGATGCTGCCAACGCTGCTTGGCGTCGAGACTCGACTCGCGTGCTGAGCCGCACGCGCCTTTCACGCCGTTGCCACCGTTGCTGCTGCTGTAGTGTCGGCGAAGGCGCCTCTCCTATATAGCGCCGGCCTTCGCCATGGCCCATTGATCGGCCCGCAGGCTGGCGGCGGTGCTCGCTCCTTGCTGCCATTCATGCCGCTGGCGCTCGCGGCGCGTCATGAGCCTCGTTCACGATTGGCATGTGCGGACAGTGGGACGGCGACAAGCGCCCGGATTGGTGGAATTGCGGGCCGCAGCGGCTTATTTTGGGCTCCAACGCGGTGACGCGCCTTCTTTTGGGCGCCCTGTCACGCCGCAGGTACTTCCTTCATCTCACTGCAGGAAAAGCGGAAGAAGGAAGGCCAAAAGCGCGGCTTCAATCACGCCGCCCAGTCTGCTTCTGGCCGCGCACAGCAGGGAGCGCCATCGCACTGCCGCCCTCGCCTCGCCCTCCCGACCCCGAGGCGAGCGCTGCCGCGAACTGATACGCAGCACGTACAGCCACAGTAGGGCCGTTGCCACCGCCGCCGCCAGTCTCATTCATGGCCCTGACGATGCAGACGGAGGTGAACCCGGCGAGCTGGGCGTCGCCGCCCGCGTCGCCCTCGCCGCTGTCGCTGCGGGCCACGCCGGCGTCTCCGCAGGTGCTGCGCGCCTCGGCGTCTAGTACAACGCGCCTGTCGCCCAGCAGCAGCAGCACCCCCAAACAGCAGCAACTACAGCAGCAGAGGAGGAGGCGGAGCAAGAACAAGGCCAGCGAGCCGGCCAACAGCGCGCTCGTGCTGGTGGGCATGATCTTCTTCGGCGTGCTGCTGGCGCTGCTGGTCATGGCCTTCTTCGCCTACGCGCCGCTGCTGTGCGCGTCGTGGCTCGGCATCCTCTACGTCATCGGGCTGTACCTGTCGACCGAGTCCAAGTGGCGCTGGCACGACGCGCAGGAGTTCGAGAACCGCTTCTGGACGGGCACGGCCTTCCTCTTCAGCGCGGCCGTGCTCTACATCAAGGACTCGCCGCTGGCCGTGGGCCAGTGGAACTCGACGCTCGGGCTCGTGCTCGTCTTCGGCTTCACCATGAGCGTGCACTTCTTCGACCGGTTCCTGCACCGGCAGGAGATCAGCCGGCGGCCGCGGCTCAAGGAGGCCACGCGCCAATTCTCGCATAATTTATTCAAGTACAAGGCCACGGCCGAGGAGAAGACGCTGCTCGTCATGGACTGCGTCAACTGCATCGACCGCCACTATTTACCGAGCACTATTAACAACATGATCAACCTGGCCGAGGTCAAGCGGCGAGAGCTCAAGATCTTCCGCATCCTGGCCGGTGCGGGCAAGGACGAGCTCAACTACATCCTGAACCACATCCGGCTCGCGCTGCTCTTCTACAAGGTCAAGGACCACTCGAAGCTGCGCGAGGACCAGAGCCGCACGCTGATCCTCGACTTGCTGTGCACGACGCGGCTGGCCGACCTGTCCGTCATGTCCCGCGCGCTGCTGCTGGACGCGCTCATGGTGATGAAGATCAGCGCGCACCCGATGGCGCAAAAGTGGGTGCGCAACATCATTTTGAAGACGCAGGGCGATGACTTGAGCAACTTGAAGACGTACACGGACGCCAAGGGGGACTTCCACAGCATGCACAAGCTCGTATTTAACGACGTCCGCGACCCGACCATCCGCGCGGACATTTTGACGCACATCCAGCGCGAAGCAAGTGTGCAGATCGCGCACATGCGCCTCGGCACGAAGCGCGGCCGGAACCGCAAACAGCAAGCGTGGCGCAAGGTGTTGAGCGACGTGGACGACACGCTGTACTCTTCAGGTGGACGGTATCCGGCAGGCTTGGACACGCGGTACCCTCGACACACGCTGTACCCTGGCGTGCTGCCATTCTATCGCGAGCTGGACATGGGCACCGTTGGCCCAGACGACTGGACAGACGACCGTGTGGGCAACCTCGTGTTCCTCTCGGCCAGGCCCCACGTGTACAAGGATGTTTCCGAGAAGAAATCGTACGCCAAGTTTGCTGCACTGCATGAGAAGATGGGCATGCACACTCTGCCCACGATGCTCGCAGGCAACCTCAAGTCGGGCCGTGCCTTTATGTGGCAAGGCGATCTGGAGCCTATGGCCCAGAAGAAGTTCGAGAACTTTAGCGAGTTCTACCAGCTCTACCCGGAGTTCAAGCATATTTTTGTCGGTGACAACGGCCAGGGCGATGTACGCGCCGCTGAGCTTATCGTGGAGAAGTTTGGCTCGGATGCATTGGAGGCTGCGTTTTTCCAGCGCGTGCAGCCAATGGAGAAGATGTTCAACTACCATTCGAAGGAGGACTTGGAGCGTTGGCGCAAGATGAACATCATCTTTTTCGATACGTACGTCGGCGCGGCAGTCGAGGCTTTCCGAATGAAGAAGATTCGGCTCAGTGGACTCAAGAAAGTATGCGACGATGCTGGACAGTCGTTTGAGGCGATTCACTCGTGGCTCACGCCACAAAGCCGGGAACGAGCACGACTGCTTCTTAACAGGGATCTCGCAGCGGCAAATGTGCTACTGGCTAAGAAGCTTGGGCCTTCACCTTTGGTGATGAAACCTCAGGGACTGCCACTAAACTCGATTGTGCGCACGCCGCTGGGGCGGGGTATCGTTCGTTCTTTCCGTGGCATTGATGGCATTTACCAGGTGGATCTGACCGACTGGCCGCCATCGACAGGTAATCATAAACGAGTGCGAGCGTTTTTCCCGGAAGACAGCCTCACGGTGTACGTCAGTACCGACATCTCGCCCCTCTCTGACAGCTCGCTGGAATACCTCAAGTTCTACCGCGCGCCACCAGCCCACATCTTCGCGCCACACGCGCTGGTGAAAACACTGTTTGGCATCGGTCGCGTTCAAAGTTACCGCGCCGAAGATGAGATCTATACGGTAACGATTCCTGGGGACCAGAGCATGCTGCACATGACCGCTTTCCTGAATGCCGATTCGCTGCAAGCTGTGGATGAGGAATTCCTCAAGGGTTACGCCACCAGCGGCTCGACGTCGCCGCGGATGTTCGCCGGAGTGCGCTCTGGTATCGGCTTCATCACGAAGAAGCTTATTACGTTTGTGCCTGGTGGCTCTGCGGCGAAGCCGTTGTTCGGCATTACGGTGGTTGTGGATTCTCCCTTTGGTCGCGGCGTGGTTGTTAACTTTCGGGAAGAAGACCGCGTTTACGAGCTGCGGTTGTTTGCTAGCGGAACTAAAACCCGGGGTCGTGAGCTGCCGTCACACGTCAGCGTGTTTGTCCAAGAGCGGTGCTTGCAGCTTTCGCCGGTGTCTCCACCACGAAGCTTCTTCTCGATGCTCGGGCTGGGCTACAGTGCAGCTGAGAATGCGATCGAGCAACCAGCAGGACCGGTCCCGGTTGGCTCTCGTGTCAGCACCGCCTACGGAAAGGGTATCGTCCGTAGCTACCGCTCAGTGGACCATGTGTATGAAGTGGTGTTAACTGACTGGACGTTACCTGGTGATCACGGCGTGGTCGCATATCTGACGAAATACTTTATCCACGTGGAGGATCCGGCGTTAGACGACGTTCCAGCACTTCCGCTCGCGGAAAAGGAGGTGTCATCGGAGGTCAAAACTTCTGCGCCGCCGGGCAGCGGCGGCATCTTCCAGTTACTTCGTTATGGGTTCTCGACGCCCGCTTCTGAAGCTTCTGAAGCAACCGCGCCGAGCAGGATGCCCGCAGCCACGGAGAATGCTATAGCAACAGCAGAGCCGGTCCCGGTTGGCTCTCGTGTCAGCACCGCCTACGGAAAGGGTATCGTCCGTAGCTACCGCTCAGTGGACCATGTGTATGAAGTGGTGTTAACTGACTGGACGTTACCTGGTGATCACGGCGTGGTCGCATATCTGACGAAATACTTTATCCACGTGGAGGATCCGGCGTTAGACGACGTTCCAGCACTTCCGCTCGCGGAAAAGGAGGTGTCATCGGAGGTCAAAACTTCTGCGCCGCCGGGCAGCGGCGGCATCTTCCAGTTACTTCGTTATGGGTTCTCGACGCCTGCTTCTGAAGCTTCTGAAGCAGTTGTGCCGAGTACGCCGTCCGCAGCGACGGAGTTGGACCAACCAGAGATGCCAGAGTAGCTCGTCACCTAAGTGTTGCGCTACGCCGTGATGACGGGGAGAATATTTTTATCTGTTTGCTAATTTACTGGTTCATCTGTCGCGGGCAAATCAGCGGAAAATCTGTTGCCCGTGTCGGTTTATCTGTTGCGTGGTGTAGGGACGAAAGCAACAGGTTTTCGGTACGGAAATCCTGCAACAGATTACATGTCGAGTTGACTCGGTATATCTGTTGCCTATGTGATTACTTGTTGTGCTCATGCATCGCGTAAGAGCACCCCCGCTATTGCTCAGGAAGGTGATGCATGAACTTGTGGTATTCCATTTCGGGGACTATGGCGAGCTCAGCGGTCTGCTACGGATTTATTCTGCGATAGTCATTCCTTAACTTTGCAAGCAGCTTGAGTTATTGCTGCATGCAGATGATAGCTTGCCGTTCCCCTTAGAGGCCAACGAGGACTGTGACTTCTGGCGCAGGCGTGCTACGACATCAGCAGCACAGGTATGGCAAGTCAACGTCGCCACGGGTGCGCTCTTGACGTCCAAGCCTATCACAAAGAGTGTGTGACCTATTTTAAAGCGCATGCAAGCTACTGGACTAATTGGTGCCAGGGATGAGTTACAGCTTCTTCAGTGTTTCCAAGGATTTAACAGCAGACCACGCGCTTACGGGTCGATCCACGAGGTGAAGGATCACTGCGGTGAGCGTCACGTTGTCCTCCTAGTCATTGTGTGAGTCATAACGATCAGTTTCCTCATGCGTCCATCTCACAGGCGTAAGGGGGGCAAATGAATATATTTTGCCTCGACTTGAATTCGAGGGCGTGGCGAGGCGGGTTCAGCACCTCAAGGAAGAATTCAAAGTGAGATCTAGACTGCGGCATTCGCCGGCTCCCCACTAATAGCAACATCAGCCTTAGGTTCTTACCGCCTATCGGAAAACTAGTCATCCTCACGGACTGACCCTCAAGCGGTCATAACGACCCCCATAGCCATCATCACAGGAAGAACGGCCTTGGTCGTAAGAGCGGTAGCCCTGAGGGTCGAATTTGTCATAGCCATAGCCCCAATTGTAGTAATGAGAGCCGTTGTGTCCGTGGTAGCCCCGATCGCGCGCGTACTTAAGTATGCGTGAAGTCATCGGACGGAGGTGTCGACTCACGTCCGCTGGGTAGTACGATGTAGTGCACGTGGCCACTGAGAGTGACATTAACGGAACAATGCATTAACACGAGCATCCGTCGGCCACGCCGACAACAGCTTCGGAGCTGCGAGTGGCTACAGTACCGTAGATGTCACCGCTGCCCTTCGTCTAAGTTACGGGGTTGCACTATGTAGTTCACTCCAGTCTGCGGGACTTTAGGATCTGCTCTCGTCATCCACTGTCGCTCTCGATCTCCATACTCTCTTTATCCGCATAGATATTTGTTTGAGCTAAAACTCATATTACAGCGCCAAACGGTTGAGTATGCTTGCTACTGGACTGCAGGCAGCATCCAGGAGACCGGCTCCATGATCACTAGGTTCGATGAGGAAGCGAAGTACGACTTGTACTACCGAGTACTTCGGCGTGTTTGGAGCGTGGGCACAACAGACTGTGGCGACTCGTACTCATGGACTGGACTTCTTCCTCCGGGTGCTTCCTGAGGTAGTAGAGTGCAAAGCTACCCCCTCGTGCGAAGAGCGTGGGCACTAGACAGTGAGTCCTTCAGTACTATGTATTCGCGACGTGTACAAGCTCGCACAGGGGCAAATGCCTTGGCGGCTACATAACAACGAGCGAAGAAGAGCTATTGGAGACCACGCAACTATTATTTATCTTAGTCACATGCACAGGTAAGCAAGCTCATCTCGCGTTCATGTGTACAGGTGAACGTGGCCCAACCATCTAAATCAAGATCCAGCGCAATCCAAACTTGGCCTAGTCCGAGGCGGATCACAAGTCCGCGCCCGAAGAGGGGTTGCCTGCACCAGAGCAACAGTAATTCGAGTAAGAAGCAGTGCATGTAGAGCGAGGCGCAATAGATCCGATGCCTGAAGACGTTGAGGTGATGCGGGACTGTACAGGAGCCGACGCCAGACGCGGAAAATGTGCAGCGTAGCATCTTTTGGAGCTGGAGGACGGTGTTATGACCTTCAAGTAATAAATCTACTGCTATGGCCATCCTACTTTCACATAGCCTTCGCGAAATTCATGCGAGCCCTTTAAAAGAATCCTATCAAGCATCGACCGCCTTCGGATAAATAGCAGGGGTGCTCTTACTCGATGCATAAGCACAACAAGTAATCACATAGGCAACAGATATACCGAGTCAACTCGACATGTAATCTGTTGCAGGATTTCCGTACCGAAAACCTGTTGCTTTCGTCCCCTACACCACGCAACAGATAAACCGACACGGGCAACAGATTTTCCGCTGATTTGCCCGCAACAGATGAACCAGTAAATTAGCAACAGATAATAATTACTCCCCGTGATGACGGGAAACTCAGATGAATGGGATAAATGAGTTGTTTTTGATCGAAATTGTAATTGATTCTCAATAGAAAGTTTGTTAATGCATGATGATCCTGCGACCAGGGAGCGGTTAGCTCTTTCCTGTCGGTACCTGGCATCTTCGCAGAAAAATGTGAATGAATTGTCTAGGACGAGTTCGAGCTGTGCAGGGTCTGCTTCTCTTGACTTCAGTACGAGCTACCTCGAAGTATGCTAGCAGCGACTAGTTAATACTCCCCGTACATGAACTTCATGCCACTTCATGCCATGAAGTAGTGGTCGCTGGCAGCAAGAACTCACAATAATGGATAAGTAAGAAAGTATGGCTACTGGTATTCTTGAGCGAGTTCCGTGTGCAAAGTGCTTTCCGAGGCTAAGCGTTTCTAACGATATCTACAGTGTACATGTACGCAGGCGGGCAGACTAACCCAACCCAAGCCTACTACTACTACTGAAGAAATATGAAATGTTTTTGCAGCTCTACACGGTTGATGCACATTCGGCATACTTGAAGTGGTTTTCTTGAAGTGTGGCTTGTCATGTTAGAAAAGCTGGTTTAAAAGGGGTTGAAAAGGTTCTGGGCCGGTCATGCATAAAAGCTCACCGGACGAACTTGAATTTGATCATTCCCAAATTTCTCGCTGTTAAGTTAGGTTGTGACGCAGGAAAAGTACGTTCTCGCGGCTGCTATTGAAACGAAAACTGTGTTGGAGTTTCCCGGCATCACAGCGTAGCGCAACACTGAGGTGACGAGCTACTCTGGCATCTCTGGTTGGTCCAACTCCGTCGCTGCGGACGGCTTACTCGGCACAACTGCTTCAGAAGCTTCAGAAGCAGGCGTCGAGAACCCATAACGAAGTAACTGGAAGATGCCGCCGCTGCCCGGCGGCGCAGAAGTTTTGACCTCCGATGACACCTCCTTTTCCGCGAGCGGAAGTGCTGGAACGTCGTCTAACGCCGGATCCTCCACGTGGATAAAGTATTTCGTCAGATATGCGACCACGCCGTGATCACCAGGTAACGTCCAGTCAGTTAACACCACTTCATACACATGGTCCACTGAGCGGTAGCTACGGACGATACCCTTTCCGTAGGCGGTGCTGACACGAGAGCCAACCGGGACCGGCTCTGCTGTTGCTATAGCATTCTCCGTGGCTGCGGGCATCCTGCTCGGCGCGGTTGCTTCAGAAGCTTCAGAAGCGGGCGTCGAGAACCCATAACGAAGTAACTGGAAGATGCCGCCGCTGCCCGGCGGCGCAGAAGTTTTGACCTCCGATGACACCTCCTTTTCCGCGAGCGGAAGTGCTGGAACGTCGTCTAACGCCGGATCCTCCACGTGGATAAAGTATTTCGTCAGATATGCGACCACGCCGTGATCACCAGGTAACGTCCAGTCAGTTAACACCACTTCATACACATGGTCCACTGAGCGGTAGCTACGGACGATACCCTTTCCGTAGGCGGTGCTGACACGAGAGCCAACCGGGACCGGTCCTGCTGGTTGCTCGATCGCATTCTCAGCTGCACTGTAGCCCAGCCCGAGCATCGAGAAGAAGCTTCGTGGTGGAGACACCGGCGAAAGCTGCAAGCACCGCTCTTGGACAAACACGCTGACGTGTGACGGCAGCTCACGACCCCGGGTTTTAGTTCCGCTAGCAAACAACCGCAGCTCGTAAACGCGGTCTTCTTCCCGAAAGTTAACAACCACGCCGCGACCAAAGGGAGAATCCACAACCACCGTAATGCCGAACAACGGCTTCGCCGCAGAGCCACCAGGCACAAACGTAATAAGCTTCTTCGTGATGAAGCCGATACCAGAGCGCACTCCGGCGAACATCCGCGGCGACGTCGAGCCGCTGGTGGCGTAACCCTTGAGGAATTCCTCATCCACAGCTTGCAGCGAATCGGCATTCAGGAAAGCGGTCATGTGCAGCATGCTCTGGTCCCCAGGAATCGTTACCGTATAGATCTCATCTTCGGCGCGGTAACTTTGAACGCGACCGATGCCAAACAGTGTTTTCACCAGCGCGTGTGGCGCGAAGATGTGGGCTGGTGGCGCGCGGTAGAACTTGAGGTATTCCAGCGAGCTGTCAGAGAGGGGCGAGATGTCGGTACTGACGTACACCGTGAGGCTGTCTTCCGGGAAAAACGCTCGCACTCGTTTATGATTACCTGTCGATGGCGGCCAGTCGGTCAGATCCACCTGGTAAATGCCATCAATGCCACGGAAAGAACGAACGATACCCCGCCCCAGCGGCGTGCGCACAATCGAGTTTAGTGGCAGTCCCTGAGGTTTCATCACCAAAGGTGAAGGCCCAAGCTTCTTAGCCAGTAGCACATTTGCCGCTGCGAGATCCCTGTTAAGAAGCAGTCGTGCTCGTTCCCGGCTTTGTGGCGTGAGCCACGAGTGAATCGCCTCAAACGACTGTCCAGCATCGTCGCATACTTTCTTGAGTCCACTGAGCCGAATCTTCTTCATTCGGAAAGCCTCGACTGCCGCGCCGACGTACGTATCGAAAAAGATGATGTTCATCTTGCGCCAACGCTCCAAGTCCTCCTTCGAATGGTAGTTGAACATCTTCTCCATTGGCTGCACGCGCTGGAAAAACGCAGCCTCCAATGCATCCGAGCCAAACTTCTCCACGATAAGCTCAGCGGCGCGTACATCGCCCTGGCCGTTGTCACCGACAAAAATATGCTTGAACTCCGGGTAGAGCTGGTAGAACTCGCTAAAGTTCTCGAACTTCTTCTGGGCCATAGGCTCCAGATCGCCTTGCCACATAAAGGCACGGCCCGACTTGAGGTTGCCTGCGAGCATCGTGGGCAGAGTGTGCATGCCCATCTTCTCATGCAGTGCAGCAAACTTGGCGTACGATTTCTTCTCGGAAACATCCTTGTACACGTGGGGCCTGGCCGAGAGGAACACGAGGTTGCCCACACGGTCGTCTGTCCAGTCGTCTGGGCCAACGGTGCCCATGTCCAGCTCGCGATAGAATGGCAGCACGCCAGGGTACAGCGTGTGTCGAGGGTACCGCGTGTCCAAGCCTGCCGGATACCGTCCACCTGAAGAGTACAGCGTGTCGTCCACGTCGCTCAACACCTTGCGCCACGCTTGCTGTTTGCGGTTCCGGCCGCGCTTCGTGCCGAGGCGCATGTGCGCGATCTGCACACTTGCTTCGCGCTGGATGTGCGTCAAAATGTCCGCGCGGATGGTCGGGTCGCGGACGTCGTTAAATACGAGCTTGTGCATGCTGTGGAAGTCCCCCTTGGCGTCCGTGTACGTCTTCAAGTTGCTCAAGTCATCGCCCTGCGTCTTCAAAATGATGTTGCGCACCCACTTTTGCGCCATCGGGTGCGCGCTGATCTTCATCACCATGAGCGCGTCCAGCAGCAGCGCGCGGGACATGACGGACAGGTCGGCCAGCCGCGTCGTGCACAGCAAGTCGAGGATCAGCGTGCGGCTCTGGTCCTCGCGCAGCTTCGAGTGGTCCTTGACCTTGTAGAAGAGCAGCGCGAGCCGGATGTGGTTCAGGATGTAGTTGAGCTCGTCCTTGCCCGCACCGGCCAGGATGCGGAAGATCTTGAGCTCTCGCCGCTTGACCTCGGCCAGGTTGATCATGTTGTTAATAGTGCTCGGTAAATAGTGGCGGTCGATGCAGTTGACGCAGTCCATGACGAGCAGCGTCTTCTCCTCGGCCGTGGCCTTGTACTTGAATAAATTATGCGAGAATTGGCGCGTGGCCTCCTTGAGCCGCGGCCGCCGGCTGATCTCCTGCCGGTGCAGGAACCGGTCGAAGAAGTGCACGCTCATGGTGAAGCCGAAGACGAGCACGAGCCCGAGCGTCGAGTTCCACTGGCCCACGGCCAGCGGCGAGTCCTTGATGTAGAGCACGGCCGCGCTGAAGAGGAAGGCCGTGCCCGTCCAGAAGCGGTTCTCGAACTCCTGCGCGTCGTGCCAGCGCCACTTGGACTCGGTCGACAGGTACAGCCCGATGACGTAGAGGATGCCGAGCCACGACGCGCACAGCAGCGGCGCGTAGGCGAAGAAGGCCATGACCAGCAGCGCCAGCAGCACGCCGAAGAAGATCATGCCCACCAGCACGAGCGCGCTGTTGGCCGGCTCGCTGGCCTTGTTCTTGCTCCGCCTCCTCCTCTGCTGCTGTAGTTGCTGCTGTTTGGGGGTGCTGCTGCTGCTGGGCGACAGGCGCGTTGTACTAGACGCCGAGGCGCGCAGCACCTGCGGAGACGCCGGCGTGGCCCGCAGCGACAGCGGCGAGGGCGACGCGGGCGGCGACGCCCAGCTCGCCGGGTTCACCTCCGTCTGCATCGTCAGGGCCATGAATGAGACTGGCGGCGGCGGTGGCAACGGCCCTACTGTGGCTGTACGTGCTGCGTATCAGTTCGCGGCAGCGCTCGCCTCGGGGTCGGGAGGGCGAGGCGAGGGCGGCAGTGCGATGGCGCTCCCTGCTGTGCGCGGCCAGAAGCAGACTGGGCGGCGTGATTGAAGCCGCGCTTTTGGCCTTCCTTCTTCCGCTTTTCCTGCAGTGAGATGAAGGAAGTACCTGCGGCGTGACAGGGCGCCCAAAAGAAGGCGCGTCACCGCGTTGGAGCCCAAAATAAGCCGCTGCGGCCCGCAATTCCACCAATCCGGGCGCTTGTCGCCGTCCCACTGTCCGCACATGCCAATCGTGAACGAGGCTCATGACGCGCCGCGAGCGCCGGCGGCATGGATGGCAGCAAGGAGCGAGCACCGCCGCCAGCCTGCGGGCCGATCAATGGGCCATGGCGAAGGCCGGCGCTATATAGGAGAGGCGCCTTCGCCGACACTACAGCAGCAGCAACGGTGGCAACGGCGTGAAAGGCGCGTGCGGCTCAGCACGCGAGTCGAGTCGAGTCGAGTCGAGTCGAGTCTCGACGCCAAGCAGCGTTGGCAGCATCAGCAGGCAGCGAGCGTCCTGCAACGCCGGACAAGCGGGCGCCTGGTTTGACAGCGTATCTTGGACTAAGATTCGTCTTACCCCTGCGGGTCGACAATGCGGTCGCGGCCAGGGTTGCCAGCATGAGCATCTGCTGCCCGCTTGGCCGCCACTTCGAGGTGGCCTTCCAATGCTGCGCATCCGGGCGCTGCCTCGAGCGGTGGACTTGTTCCCCATCGGGCCATATCCCGACCTGTTGCCGCCGACAAGTTGCTGCTGCGGGTGTGGAGACCGTCCCGGTGTGCGTCACCGGCGAGTGGCGATGACACGCTGGCCAGCTAAAACTTCACACGACGAAAGAAGGCAAACGCTGCTCAGGTCATCTTGGCTTCTTACGCCTCAGACTAGGGAAAGATCTAGGTAACGGATGGCTAAACACCCTCAGGCCAGGGGTGGAGCTGCGTAAAAGTCTCAGTTCCTGCTCGCGTGTACACGGCCTTCAATCCAATACTATTCGTTGGTATCGAAAGTGTACCAAACATGCTGTTTCTCTTGGACGCATTTGGCTTACAGGATCATCTTAAGCGGGTCCTCGACCAGCTCCTTGAAGGACGCCAGCCACTGCGCGCCGACGGCGCCGTCAATGACGCGGTGGTCGCAAGCAAGCGTGGCGGTCATCACCTGCGCGTACTTATAAATCTGCTCAGCGTTGGGGTCGTCGTTCGGCACCACCTTCTTCTCGATCGTGCCCAGGCCCAGCAGGCACGCCTGCTCCGGGCGCACGATGCCAGCCAGCGACTGCACGTCGAACTGGCCCACGTTCGAGATCGTGAACGTGCCGTTGGCGAGGTCGGCGGGCTCGAAGGCGCCGTCGTTGGCCTTGGCCACGGCAGCCTGGATCTCCTTGCTAATGTCGTCGAGGCCCTTGCGGTTCACCTGGGTCAGCACGGGCGCCACGACGCCACCAGCAGCCGAAGACACCATCAGGTTCACGTTCACGTCGTTGAACTGACGGATGAACGAGCCCTTCCAGCTCGAGTTGGCGTCCGGCACCTTGCGCATGGCAAGCGAGGCGGCGCGCACGATGAAGTCGTTCACGGACAGCTGCTCGTCCTCGCTGCGGCCGGCGTTCAGGCGAGCGCGCGCGTCGAGAAGCTTGTCGAGCGTCAGGTTCGTGGACAGGTGGTAGTGGGGCACCTCCAGCTTCTGCTGCGTGAACTGCTGGGCGATGGCCTGCGCCTCCGGGCTGATCGGGTAGTCCGTGTAGTCGGCGGTGGCGGTCGGGGCAGCGGCGGCGGGAGCAGCGGCAGCAGCAGGGGCGGCAGTCTCCTCAGCCGGGGCCGGGGCAGCCGTGCCGGCGGCCAGAGCGGCGTCCACGTCGGCCTTGATGATACGGCCATTCGGGCCAGAGCCGTTGATCACCGACAGCACAGCGCCAGACTCGCGCGCGACCTTCTTGGCCAGCGGGCTGGCGAACACGCGGCCCGAAGCGGGGGCCGAGGCAGCGGGAGCAGCCGGAGCAGCGGGGGCCGGGGCAGCAGCAGCAGCAGCCGGGGCGGCCTCAACAGCGGGCGTGGCCGGAGCGGCCTCCACGGCGGGGGCGGCGTCGGCCGAGAAGTTCTTGAAGGCGGCGACGTCCTCCTCCTCCATCACGGTGACGAAGATGGGCTGGCCCACGGGGACCTCGCCCGAGCCGGCCTGCACCAGGATCTTGGCCAGGTACGAGTCGTCCGTGGCCTCGTAGTCCACGACGGCCTTGTCCGTCTCCACCTCGCACACGACGTCGCCGGCCGAGATGAGGTCGCCCTCCTGCTTGTTCCACTTGGCGATGGTGCCCACCTCCATGGTGGGGGACAGGGCCGGCAGACCCACGACCTCGTGGTCGGGCAGCGAGCTGAAGGCGCGCGCAGACATGGCCGCTGAGGCCTCACGGCGCGCCGCGGCGCTGGCGTGGTGCGCGTCGAAGACAGCCACACGCTGCCACACGTTCTTGTTGCGGAGGGCAGTCTGCCGGGCACACACACACACACGAGAAGGCAATCACTTAGTCACAGAGCTCATTCATTCGTTCATGGCGGGCCGCGCTCTTTGGTGGGAGGCGCACGCACCTGGAAGCGCTGCATGGTCGATCACCTATCTACAATGGGGCCCCTGTTGAGTTGTGACGCCAAACTCCAAGCAGAAATGGTGGGTGTCTCCCCCAGCGCCACGAGTGGTCCACTCAGAGAGGATCGGCGCCCACATACAAACGCCAAGTGCCGCCCCCCGCTTTTGTCGCGTACCCAACAACAGCACCGGCGCATTGGATGAAAGTGGGTGGAGTTTTGGCCAATTGTGCGGACCGAGCGGGCTTTGAGGCACATCTGTGCTTCATGCGTGTCTCTACTCGCTCAAAGCGAGATTTGCTGCTTGGAGGCCAACTTTGCCGACGGCAAATTGCCGGTTTCGGCACGGAAATTGTTCCCGAATTGCTTCGTGTATGCTACCTAATACAAGCGCGTGGTCGAATCCATGGCCGTGCTTGTCGACCTGCAACGTCTGCGGCGAGATGTCCAGGGTTCCGTTGAGAGGCGGCCCAGAATAAGGCCGCGAACCTGTTTACGCGGCGCGCAATGCGCGCTGCCAGCACAGAAACCCACGATGAACTACACTACAACTACTAGTACGTACAGTATTTGGAATCACCCACTTGCTGTTAACATGTCAAAATGTCTAAAAAGCAAGTGGTTGATTTTGATACATTTTAGCAGCGGCTCAAGTGTTTTCATTCATTGTCAAAAGGACTATTGACTACTTCCCATTTCGATGAAGCAGTATTGCACGTAACTCCGGAAATTACAGAATTATACCCCGTTCACTATAAAATAATGCTAGGAACTTGATTTCAGCACAGCGTACCACAATTTTCGCCCAGATGGGTCACTAGGACAAATTATGGCACCACTAATATTAATGTATTCTTCGAAGTACCACATAAAATATGGGCTTTTCCATAAGGGCACCTGATAAAAGGGAAAAGTCAAGGCACTCGGCGGGGAATACCATATTTTGAATGGGACCCATCTAATACGGTAAACGCCGCATTTATAAGCACAACGGATCCACCAATTCGAAGAAACACAAATCGACCGGAAGGCACCGGGGAAGCCGATAAGAACGTATAATATCTGTTAGTACGCGACGTTTTATTGCTATACAGCGCCCTATTTTGAAAGCAGGGCGTTGTATTCGATTTTTTACAATTTAGTAATAGTTGCTCATTGCAAATATGAGTTTTAATGTATATAATACTTAAAAAAGAACGGTATATATTAATCAAGCTGATTCAAGCGACAACGTAGTGTAGCGATGCAAAAACGTAATAGATTACATCGCATCCATTAGGTAGCAACATTTGTATAATATATACTTTAAAAATTAGATTTCTTATTGCATTTTTGTTAATCCGTACGTGTGATATACTATAAGTAATAACAAAAAATAGTTGTCTACTGATTTTAAATTACTAACGTTAGTTAGAATCTTTACCTTATACCGCCCTAAGTAATTATAATATATCATTTTTATGAGGATCCCTTAATAAGCTTAATAAGAAGTGGATGACCACGATCAGTGCATGGCATTTGTCGCGGATCTTGATGAATGTGATTCGAGATGCTTTCGTTTCCGATACGTACTTCTTGTAGGCTGTTGTAATAGCAAAGATATGGATCGGAGGCGTCAGACGAGGAGCAACGGAAAAAGAAAGTAAGTCACATTATGATAACAAAAATCTAAACACTTGCCTAATTTTTCAGTATCAATATGTCATACTACCATTAATAACTTATATCAAATTGCCTTTTGTTTAGGTAAACGTATTTTAAACATATATATTAAACAAAAGAACATCTAAGGTTCTATTTTGAACAGGCGCCGCCTCTAGTCATGAACACGGTCGGGTGGACGCGGGGTAAATTCGATTCGCCAGCTGCTAACGGATCCCAGCGAGGCTTGAGGACGATAGTCAAATGCACTAGGAAAAGGTAATTACAAAGTTTCAGCGTGAATGCATGCATCATCATACCACACTTGCACAGAGTCATCTTTTATTGCAGGATTTTAGTTAACTCGAAAGGTCGCGATCGATTTGAACGCACAAGATTTCTGCATAGTCAAGTACAGAGCTATGGATACAGATCCACGCCCGCTATGCCCACGTGGTAAGCGTAAGGTGCGCTGCGATGGGAGGACACAAATCCACGAGCGCGATAGAACTGCTGTGCAGACCAAGCGAGTGCGTGGACACAAAGGGACTGACTCACAGGTATGATTTACAGGAGCGCGTTCGCATAATTTGATTGAGAGTACTACTTTGCGCTGAAAGCCTGCATGAGCAACAGGTCAGAAGCGCTCCTATCATACCTGCTTCCGCTGCTGTAGCGGAAATACGCGCTGATCAACCCGACACATACCTGAGGGCGCGATGGATGGTACGAACTATTTTTGTGTTCCCAATAATTTCTGACACAAAAAAGCAAATCCGGTAATTTACCGCGAAAGGGCGCCTCGAAGCCAATTTTCGCATCGCCATATCTCGTGATACAGGGCATTTACGAAGCAGTAAACACCTCCATCGTGCTTGTATTTTCGAGTGCTTTCGAAGTACACTGTTTTTTCTCGTACTACTACTTTCTATCAGTGGTCAATTTTGCGACGTCCCCCCAAAGGCCACTTTTAGGTACATGGCTAGGGGCGGCGCCTGTTAAACAACGCTCTACGCAAGGGAGTTGTATTCGAAGGGTGTTAAATTCGATGAGGGCGTACCAATCGGTATTTTACGTTATACTTCCATAAAATATATTTCCGTACAGTCCGTACATATTTTATTGACGGGATCATGTCGCAACATGTTACGTATTTATAAGTTTGGTGTTTCCATTTACAGCATTTATCCCAGAAGCCCGACAACCAGCAGTTCGCTGTTGGCTCTTAGCGCTCTAACTTGGTCAGCTTCACTACTTCATCTCACTGCAACTTTTCTGAGCCCCCCCCAAGCAATACTCTCAACCCTTGCCATGTCTGACGCCCTCTTTGCCCCCAAACGCTCCAACAGCAAGTTGCCGAAGCAAGTATCGGCGTTCTACTTCAAACCGCTGCTGACCAAGGACGGCAAACCTATCGGTCTGCAGGCCTACAAGGCCTGCTACAAAACACGCAAGCACATGTCCAAAACGGGATACACGAACCTCGTGGCGCAGAGCGGTCTGACCACTTCGGTTTCGAGGCCGAGATGGAGGCGGCTAGCGCCGTTGCCACGGGCACTTTGCCGCCGTGGGTACGCCAGAAGACGACTAACTGCTACGCATGGCTGCTCTGGATCGGGTCGGGAAACCTCCCGTTTTCCTTCATCGAGATGGAGACGACGAGACGGTAAAAGGTTGTTTTTTATTTGTTATGGTAATTCTGCCTAACTTTAAGTGTTTTTTTGGAAAGTACATAATCCACCACCTGTGTACAAGGCAATGCTCGGCCGCGACATGGAGAGGCTGTCGAGACGAACGTCGGTGCCGTGCTCCCGGACAACTTGGGCGCGATTCTGGACGACTGGACGCACGGCACCGAGTACTACTTGGCGGAGTACACCTGCTTTGAGCTCAACGGCGTCTGCCACTGTCCCCTGATGTCGCTCGGTCCGATCATCAACGGTCCGGATGACCGTCTCAACGCTGAGAGTCATGTGGCTGCCCTGACTGCGTTCTTGCCTTTTTGTTTTAGTAAGAAGCTCTCTAACGTTTTTTTTTCCAGTTGGTGACAACTGTGCGATGAAGAAGAGGCTGGTACGACTGACGGGGGTGCTGCTGATCGGCTGCTCGAGCCATCGTCTTAATTTGGCGGCCCGCAATTTTCTGGAGCCGTACGAGGTGGACTTGGAGCAAGTGCAGTCACGCCTGAGGCGTCTGCAAACAGTCACTCAAGCGGCGAAATCGAAGTACGCAAATTTGAATCTTGGTCCGAACCTAATTTGAACATATTCTAATTTTGGTATTTGGTTTTTGAAAAGATTAACCCCCCCGCACTCGCGGGTTTTTTCGGTCCCTGGCTTTGATCAATATACACTGTGTTAAAGCTGTATACTACATGTTAAAAGTATGCGTATTTGATCTAACTATTGCCTTCCGTAAGTACGACACATTTCTATAACCTGCGGGAAACTAGTTGACAAAGACAGACGCACATGTTGTCTAAGACGCCCTCGGATGGGTAGCTAAATTTCAACAGGGTGTATATACTCCAACTTGCAGTGTCCTTTTTATTGATGGTGAACAAAAATAAAACACAAGGGCGGGTTTATGCTGGAAGTATCCTATGATTGCATCCCAACATACCAGGCTATGCATGCCTTGAAAACAAAATCCTGCTGTACCTAGCTAGCAATCAAGTGACACGTCTTCCCAACCGCGGGCTAATGGCGTCTTAGCATTATTATAGCGCACGTCCTGCTCGGTTTTATTGGATTGGGCCACCTCCCCAGGCTGCATTCTCTCTGAGGGGTGCATATTAGTACCTACATGCGCAATATAACCCTTACAGAGCAAAATAAAGTGTCAACGGTGTTCTTGCCAGCTTACCTCTTCTTTTACATACCCTGATATATCGGACGAGATTCATCTTGTATTTCGAACCACTATGTACAATCATGTATCATATCCTGTCTGATCTGATCAGAGTACCCAAGGCATAGTAGGGGTAGCACTGTCTCATACGCATGATGGGGAGAGCGGTTCCTGTTAGCAATCTGGTAGCAATCAAATAATCAGTCTAATCCACCATTCTCTGCAATTCCTACTCGTTCTTTGTGCATATTTTCACCTACACCTGTGCATTTCACGTAGAAAAAGACGTGCTGCTCTTTTTCATAACATGTAGTCATATACAACGTATGAGTGCGGGGGGTTAAAGCCTTCCCTCAAGCCCAAGTTGAAGAACGAGACGTACTGGGGGTCGCCTTACACGATGCTAGCGGCTACTTCGAGCTAGGCAAGTTAATCAGCACAGATGACGAGGAAGTCATCGAGGAAGTGCCGTCGCCGACCGCAAACAGGCGGCTCAAGACGCTCCTGGCACAGCTGGCGGATGTGGGGTCCGTCTCTAAGAAGCTGCAGCCGAATGGCCTCAACTTGCTGGACGTGCGTGTCCTGCTCGATGGCCTTCTGGAGATCCAAACGGTATTTATAACTTATCTCGCTACGTATATACGGCTTAGATCTATTCAATTTTGCTGCTAACTATGTCTTTTTTTCTCGTTTGGTTTTAACGCCGATTGTTCACTTGCCCGACTTTGAATCGGGATTGGTGAAGGCACTGGCTGGCCAAGCCAAACGACTCTCTTGCCCCGAACGCGCCGCATTGCAGCCGTTTGTGAGGGCGGAAAAAGTCAGCGGGGGAGGCTACAGGCGAGACGGACCCGCCAAAATGGGTTTCGCTGACCGGATCTCAAAACGGCGCGAAGTGGAGCTCGCGCCGAGCACCTTCGAGCTATTGGAGGAAATTCTGCCGACCTCCAACATTGTCGAGCGTCTCTTCAGCGTTGCACGGATGGTGCTGCGAAATGAGATGAAATGCCTCACCCCGCTAACTCTTGAAATGATCCTTTTCCTAAAGGTGAACGGGAGTTACTGGAACGTGTCGACCGTGGACGCGTGCATCTAGACCGTAAGATGCTCTTTGCTTTAACTGAAAATACACTTTTTTGTTGAGCACGTTCACGTTATTTATTTCCACCTATGTGCTAGAGCCTAAAAACAACTACTTAATGCTGCTTGACTATGACGTATGTATAAATGATATTGTCGAATTCGCTACAAGGCACCGTGCAGACAGCCTGAGAAGCAGTCTAGGATTCAACTTTGCAGAACTGAGCTTGGTTTGGCGTTACCCCGTTCGCCTTTCGAGCTCTATGGTACGTCATCCCTCCCGATGGTTTACCGCCGAGATTGTAAGATGTCACTTCCTTGAGAACGAGAAGGGGTACGGTAATTTATATATTGATTTCATTATGGAGGTGTCCTTGAGTTTTCTGGGAGTGCCCTTAGGAATCCCTTAGATATTACGATAGAACCGATACTCACTTGAGTTTCGGTTTTGTCGTTATATATATATATTGCTCACCACGCATTTTGGCCGCCCGGATATTGTCCGTTCTCAGGGGATTTGAGCTCGCCAAATCGTGGTCGATGTATTTGTAAATCCCTTTGAATGCCTACGGCAGTGTGGGCATTCTGGTCGATTTGTATATATATCGCCTAGATTTCGGTTAAATAACCAATCAGCGGCTTATTCGATCATTCTGAATGCGTGTGGCGCAGCTAAATACCCCAGCTGGTTGATATAAGAACGGCAAGGAGCCGAACATGCTCGGGATAATAAGGAGTACTTCTCCGGTCCGGAAAAGAATTAACAGTTCATATAATCGACCATAATTCACGTTCTACTACGCCAAGAGAGCTGTAATTGGCCTTGACGTAAAACCCTTTGTCTGTTGTATCGCACCGATTGTTTTTTAAATGCGTTTTCCCGCCATTGCGGTCTGTATCGGCCAGTTTAAATGGTCGAATTTTGGGTGTGTTAGGTTTAAATTCGCACCGTTATCAAAAATGATCAGATTTGAGCGTAAAACTACTATTTAGAAAGCTGAAAGAGAACTTATTTGTGTCTTATGTCGCCATAACCAATCGAATCTTCCCCCTCCCCCAACGCCTGAAAAACAGCCAATCATGTTTGAGGTTTTTCCATACAAATCACTAATGTTGGCTTTTTGTCCAATGAGAGATGGTACATTAGTGAATAATAGGGTATCATAAATCGATTTGGTCGAGTTTTTTTTTAATGAAAAACCTAACGGTTTATTCTTTTCCGGACCGGAGAAGTAAGGAGAGGTATATATAACAATTCGGGTGTATATATAGAGCTTTGTCTAAAGCTTCGTGCTGAGTCGACGTCGACGCAAAACGTCTAGCAAACTGGGCAACTACGGAGTTATGGACGGCGACACGGGTGGGCGAATCAACCGTCCGCGGCATCCTCAAGAACAAGCGCAAATTCGACGATATTCAACCCGCTCAAGCCAACCGCAAGCGGTGCTGCGTATCGAATCTGCGCTTCGGACGAAAGCCTGTTCGACCGCATCAAAGCCGACAAATGATGGCGTCGTCAGGGCACCATTAACGGCTCTCAGGTGCGCCACCTGGTCGGTGAGACGGAGGGCAACTACGGCACGAGCAGGGACTGGGGGACAAGTTTCAGTTGCGCAGTGGTCGTTGGTTCTGTCTTTGCCGCAGGGAAACCAGCTCGCTCGACGAAGACACCGTGGCTATAGGAAGAGAGGAGCCTAAGTGCATTGCTAAATATCATCCCTGTGATATTGACAACATGGACAAGACATCAACATATTGGTGCTAGCCGAAGGGTACTCCTACCAAAGTCAAGACAGAAAGGCACGAAGCAATTGAAGGAGCAGATGTCTGTGTGCATCGCGTTCAACGCAGGCGGCTCTGATCGTCTCCCCCCTGCACTTCATAGGCAATCAAAGGAGGATGTTCCACTTCGGGGTCATGACGTGTTCACCGAGCTCGGTGTTACATACACGAACACAGGCAAGGCATGGATGAACACGGAAAAGTACTGCGAGTGGCTGTCGCAGCTTAACACCAGCATGCAGATGCAGCGCACTATGCCCTCGTTCTGGAAGACAATGAATCCTCCCACGATGAAGTACTGGTTGAGCGTAAGCTCTCAAACGTAAGAGTTCACAAGCCCCCCACCACCAAACACGACGACTTGCAACCCATGGGCCAGGGCATTATAAAGTACCTGATGGACAAGTACCCCAACCAGAAGGAAAACTCGGAGACCCAAACGTTTTTTATGTAATGAGGTGTAACGGGCCAGGTGTGAGCCCGCCACATCGTGCCGTTTAAAGGTTAAAGGAGGAGAAGAAGAGTCTTGCTTAGGCCAGAAGATGGTGCTCGTGGTGTCCGAGATGAAGGTGGGTAAACATGCGAGCGTGGATATCTCATCTGTGACTAACTGCGGTGTTATCATTGTGCAAGACTTGCAGGATCTTCGCGCAGGTAACACATTGCACACCGACGTCAAAATTGTATCTATCAGCAATTTGATCTCGACACAATGCTTCACAAATGGCGCGGACCATATATACGCGGTGGAAATACCGCAGCACATCATACCCAAGAGGCTTACCCTTCTTTTGTTGATCCAATGATTAAATTACCGCTTGAATGTGGCGGCAAGAAATTTGCAGGAGCAGTGCAAGCTTGCACGGGCGGCATGTTCCGCTTGCCATGTTCGTCTCATACATAGTAGTCGCGGATGCAACATCACTACGATCGAACGGGCCAAACACATAGAAGAATGACATCTTGGCTGGCACTACCGTGCGTTTCGCTACATGCGACTTCTCTTCGTCGAAAGGCCTCTTGGCGTGCGGAGTGATGTCGCAGTCATCTGAAACCCACTTATCGGTCTCCGTCACTAACGATCGGCATGTACCTACAGCACACAAGCAATACGTGTGCAAGGCACGAAATAGCGAAAGGCTTGGACCTCACTTCCGCAGCATACCATTGTTGTCACCTTCGGCACCACTAGTAGATCGAACACCGAATAAGGCAATCTGTTGCCGTAAGTTGGAGTAGCGTTCCAGTTTTCTTCTAGCCCCTTTGCTTCCTCGCCATTCAGCGTGCTGTCGCCCACTACAATCCAGTTGATCGGGTGAATACTTCGAAGATACGATTCTACCTATCTTTCGGCTCGCCGTCTATTGCTGTCATGATCAGTGTTGGGAAAAGCTTCCGAAGACGGTCGATGTTGCGTTCATACTCCCGCACTGATCCCGACGCTTGTAGATTCATTGTCTCTTCAATGACGTTCTCCTTAGCGCCACCAACCCTTTTCAATTTGTACATTGTGTTGAAGCGCGCATACACGGCGCAGAACTTGGTATTGATGCGCAAACCCCACCAACAAGAATTGCTTGGACCAGTAGCTGGTTGCAGCGATTGGTAAATGGCGGATGGTGGTGAAGAGCAATACCTGCAGCGATGCAGTTTGCAAAAAAACAAACAAAGTTATCCGTGGTTTTTTATGCACGGACACTATAGCAACAGGAACGGTTCGTTTGTCTCCATCCTTGTCCAGAAAAGTCACACCAACGCCGTTGTAGTCAGCATCCTTCATGTGCGTACCGTCGCTTTCCCAAACCAGCAAGGGTAAATCCTGGATAGATACAATCGCTCCAAACGAAAGAAACGAGTAAAACAATCGACCAGAAGTGTCAAGCTGGCAACATACCCGCGAGCCGGGAGTTTGCTGGGCGAACAATTCCATGTAAGCTGACAGAGCTTTAAAGCCTTCAGCACTGTCCCTAGCCATACCGGATATGGCCACCCTAATGATCTTATACAGGACTGGACTAGTTTCTGTTCTGCACATGTATGCTTTTAAAACCTCTATTTAATTCCTTGCGAACCCCTAGTGTGCACTTCAACCGTTCTATAAAAGCACATTAATTTTGGCCATCTTCGGTTCTTGGTTGTGGCGTCTGGTCGGCTTCGTTGTGGTGTCTAGCCTTAAATATCCGAGACAAAGATCTAAGCGAGAAAGAACCCGTAACGTCAGGCTGACGGATTATGTCACACAGTTAAATAATATTTCAAACGGTTCCCATTTCTCGATCTATCAAGGAGGCGTCGGCTAGCGAATATACCACGCAGTGGGAGTGTGCAATAAAGAATGGGTTTGAGGCCTTCCCGAAGAACAGCACATGGAAGTGAGCGCCTCTTCCTGAAGGGCGACGAGAACTCGGCTGTCACTTGGTGTTCGACATAAACGTGTCATTCAGATGGTACTGTTGACCGATTTAAGGCATGGTTGGTAGTCGATAGGGACCCCCTGCTGTAACGAATTGGCGCCCCAGTAGCTCGGTATGGGCCCCTGCAGCTTTTGCTCGCACTATCGACAGCTGTAGGTCTACACCACACAAAATGGACGTTTTTACACTCCTGGCCAAATTAATCCGGCCACCCACCTATTCGACCGTAGCTCAGTCAATACTACAGATATGGCGCTGCGGTTATGATATGTGTTTTGTATAGTAGAGAGAAGTACATTGTTTGTGTTAACAATTGCGTTTTTGCGGTTTGTGGGGTAGCTCCCATACAATAAACCGTTTGGGCATGCGGTCCAAACTTTCGGCCACCCATGCCCATAATAAAATTAAGACCAGTGTAACAAAATGAATGTATTAGTAATGCGTCTTACCACCTTTCTTCTCAATCACTTCAATGCAGCGTCGAGGCATTGAATCTAAGAGCCTATTCAGCGTAGCTTGGTCGATGCTTTTCCACGCCTCTAGTATAGCCGCTATCAGGTCTCCAACATTGGCGTACTGGTGTCCGTTCGGGTTGACTCGGCAAGCCAGCAACGCCCACAGATTCTCGATGGGGTTCCTGATCGGGTGAACGGCAGGCCAATCGAGCACGGGCACACCTTGCTCTTCAAAGAACGCCTTGGTCTCCTGTGACGTGTGAATCGAGGCGTTGTCTTGTTGGTAGACAAAGTCTACCCCGTAGTTTAGGTGAGCATAGGGCAGAAAGAACTCAGACACAGTGTAGATGTACTGTGCCGAGGCCTGCCGCCCAACGAGCACCGCAAGCTCCGTCTTGCCCTTGGCGCTGAAGCCACCCCACACCATCACCGTTCTGGCGCCTCACTGCTGTCCTTGGCGGCCACCTCACGTCGTGCCAGTAGCTTTGGAGGCCGTCGGGCCCGTCCAAGTTGAACTTCTTTTCATCTGAAAAGATGATGCGCATCCAGTCCTCCATTGGCGTAACAACCATGTGTTTAGCCCACTCCAGACGGTGTGCCTTGTGCGCGACTATCAGCACCAGCGTGTTCTCCATTTTGGTGTAGACTGGCTAGTCTACACCAGCAAGGAGACGTCGTATCGTGCGGGGTGAGCACGCGCACTGACACTCCTCCGTCAGCTGCGCGGCCATGTAGTCGCCGCTGGACGCCTTGCGAAGCAGCAAATGGGCAAGCCTCTTGGACACAACGGGCTTCTTTCCAGGCCGGCGGCGATTCTGACGTTGCGGTGCAAGGGCTCGTTCAACTGCGTTGCGTGAGCGCATGACTCGTCTTGCGATAGCTCGAACCGAGAGCTCTCCTTCGTGTAGTCCTCGAATGCGTCCTTTCTCCTGGCCACTGAGCCAAGGCGGCATTCCCCAGTGAGACTAGAAATGAAGGAAGAGTGACTAAGGCCTGCGACATGCGCAGTCGTCCATGGCTGGTGAGCAGACTTAAATTGCACAATCATCTCGTTACACTGATCTTAATTTTATTATGGGCATGGGTGGCCGAAAGTTTGGACCGCATGCCCAAAACGGTTTATTGTATGGGAGCTACCCCACAAATCGCAAAAACACAATTGTTAACATAAACACTGTACCGCTCTCTACTATACAAAACACATATCAAAACCGCAGCGCCATATCTGTAGTATTGACTGAGCTACGGTCGAATAGGTGGGTGGCCAGATTAATTTGGCCAGGAGTGTAGTACGTTCCAAAACGTATACTAAGTGAAAGTATCTACATGAGACAGTCAACGGGATTTGGGCTTGTCTTTATGTGGATGATCTTATGATCGCTGGCTGACACTTGGGCTTGATCAATGATCTCAAAACTATGTTGCGTACAAAATTTATTATGTAAAACATAGACGAGTTGGACTATTTGCGAAAAATGGAGATTCAAAGAGATCTAGGAAGAAACACACTGAGTCTGTCGCAAGAAACGTTCATTCAAGACCCTTTAGAAACGTTTCAAATACGGGACTGTACTACGGAGCCAACACCACAAGGTACGAGCGTGGTTCTAGAAAAAGAAAACAATGTAACCCCTGAACAGATAGCAGCTCAGCCGATTGATTATCGAGGTTTGGTTGCTTTATTAATGCATTTAGTAAGATGCACTAGACCTGATATAGTTAGAGCTGTAAGAGAGCTGAGCAATAACTTATCATGCTATAATAAGACTCATTGACGAGCGGCTCAGCGAGTACAAAATACTTGAAGGAATGTTGAAGAATGGCTTAGAGTACACTGGAAATAGCACTATTAAGGTAGAACGATATACAGATGCCAGCTCCGCGAATGAAAAGGAACAAAGGTAATCAATGACAGGTTATGTATGAATACTTGCTGGTACATGCATTAGTCGGAAGAGCGTTTAGCAAGATTCATTCTCGAGCTCTCTCAGCTGTCACCGGCGGAAAAACGCTGGGGCAAAGTCTGGATAACCGCGAGGTCCTTGAAATAACGATAATTCCGTTTCCAGTGCCCCCAGTTGGGCGGTTAGCTGAATGTTAACCTTCAGGGCTCTGTCACAGTCGTAGCCATGTAAACGGCTTACGGCATTCCCCCTTTTAGAGTTTGCGTCGGGGCCTGCACTTGTGTGGTGCGAAGACAGAATAGAGAGTGAGAAGCAAACGCAAATTGCGGAGGGAACGCTATGGGAAATGTTCTCCCCCCAACAAATACGGTATATTATGGATATTAGTTTGAACAGACCGGATTTATGTTGGATATCTGCACTGCTTATGACAAGCATATCTTGGACAACCTGATAGTGTGCGACACGGAATAATCTGAGAGTGGCGTTGAAGTCGATGGCGGATAGCGATTTTGCGAGAGACGCACTAACATCTGTAGTGGGAGTGTTGCGCCGTATAAGCTACTTCACTGTAAACCATAGTGAATATAAAAAGATTCAAAGGATCTGCTTTCTAGACTTTGGTGGATAATTCAAAGGACAACCAAGGGAAACTCAAATGGAAAGAAGCCAGCGCTTACTGGCGGAAACGATAAGCTGAGGGATGTGAAGGAAGAAGAAGGCTGTAATGCCATCCCCTCCGATACTGATGACAAGCACACAAAACTACTACTTCACGCAACACTACCATATTCTGTTCCAACTACCATTGACCGAGAAAAGTCCTCCATCGGATAACCAGTCGCAATAACATCGGACGCACTGGAGTCTGGACTATTGCACATACCACTGCGCATATCATCTGCCTAAGAGCTCGCGAGGTTTGAGAGGGCGCAAAGGCACTGCGGTAAGACTCCCCCTCAGGTGTAGAACAGTTGCGGTTAGACAGGTTCACTACGCCTCTGCACCATCTCCTCTATCAGTATTCACCTGT